AAAATTTCCCCCCCCCCCCCCCCCCCCCCCCTCTTCACAACATGGGAACATTGATCGTGGAACCCGGCCGCTTTCGCAACCCCTCTTAGTTGTTGATAGTCTCTTGAGGGAACTACACGGCGTGCGGAAGCATGGCAAAAAGCAAATCCCCCCAAGACGACAGCAAAAAAGTTTCATGTTCCCCCACATCTTTTCTTCCCCAAATGTTTTTTGTTATTGACTGAGCTACCAACTGCATAGGCTCATCGCAAGACGACGACATTTGCAACTTCTTTGTTTCAGGATAAATCATATGGCGTGTCTTGAGTGTCGCATTCATCATTGGGCCCTCCCGGTACCATTCCTGAAAAACCATTCCCGTCAGACACCCGGGCCTTGCCAGAAATAGAAGAAAAACCGTCTCAAAATGTGGCCGGGGAAACAAAACACAGAAAAGGAGCTGTGTCTCCCTCCTCCTCTGCCGGCCTTCTGTCTCATCGTCTGCATAGCGGTGTGGACTCTCTCGGTCGAGTCGACAGCCGTCTCGTCTCGTCTTGGTAGCGGGGAAATAGAGGACCCAGCATCGAGAATCGATCGGGGGTGATGTGCTTGGAGAGTACTAGCTCTTGGGGGCACTGTCGTATTGTTTCGCCCAGAGTAAACATTGGTTCCAGGCAAATTTAAAAAAAAGGGGGGTACATTTTCTTCGCATACGAGGATGACAAAAAGGGACTACAGCGAGGATAGTACCCAGAGGAAATCCGGTTTACTGCCGGCGGAAGGCAGCATCGGCTCCCGGGGGAGGCATGCCGCGACCACCGAAGGGGAACGGAACGCCTTCAGGGCCTCCGGGGAAACCACCCATACCGGGAGGAGGCATAAAGCCTGGTGGACCAGGAGGACCCGGGTGGCCAGGAGGAGGAGGGCCACCAAAGAAGCCCGGAGGCGGCTGCATGTTGCGCGGAGGTGGTGGACCAGCCAGGCCTTCTGGAGGAACTGGCGGGAAGGCACCAGGCGGGAAATTCGGAGGGAACATAGCGGGCATAGGTCGGCTGCCGGCAAGTCCAGGAGGTGGGATCATAGGGCCCCGTTGGGGTGGGGGAAGCTGGGCGCCACCGGGACCAAAGTTTTGGTGCAGCTGTTGGGGATCCAGGCCTGGAGGCGGTGGGCGCTGGAGGATCTGTGTAGGTTGGGGAGGGCGGCTATCTAGGTTTTCGGAACGAGAGAACTGGTCCTCAAACAAGCCAGGAGGGCCCTGGGATCGCATCTGCCGCGGCATCGGGCGCTCTCGCTGGTAATCGGCCTCGCTGTCCCGGTCCGCCAGATTCGGGACGTGCACTTGCTTCTGCGGCTGAGGCATTCGCATAAGCAGCTCTTCAGTCCGAGGCGCTGCAGGTGCTGCGCGGTGGCTCTGCATGAGCTTCATAAGAAACTCTGTCTGCGAGCTGGACGCGTTCTGGTCGGACCGACCACTGCCCTGGCTAGGCGCGTGCTGACGCTGCCCAATGAGTTCCTGGAGCATCTGCTCAGGATGGCGTGCCGACATGGGCTGAGCAGGTGGAGGAGGCATCGGGCCACGTGCGGCAAGGTCGGGGAAGGATGGCTGAGAATGACGCCCGCGAGGGTCGTCCCGCCTCTCGCCGTACTGCCGGTATGGCTCCGGCGAGGCGACGTTACTCTTCTGGCGGCTCTCCTGGGAGACTGGGAGCCCTTGGGGAGGTGGTGGCTCGGCGAATGGGGTAGCACTTGGTGGAGTCGCGCTCTGAAGTGTCTGGCGTTGGAGCTTCTGGAGCAGTACCTGGAACGCTTCCTTCTCGGCTGAGTTCGACTGAGCTGCGGCGGCTAGCAAGCCGTTGAGGCCAGGGTTAGGGGCTGGCGCGGCAGCCATTGGGGCGGGAGGTTCAGCCGGCCTGCGAGTCTCCTCTTGGGAGCTGAAAAAGGAGGTGAATCTTGATGACTTGGCGGTTTTGGCTTTTGAGCTATCCTTTTGACCGTCACTACCAGGGGCGCTGTCCTCGAGCCCACTCGAGGGCGCGAACTGTTCGAAGAATCGATCTGGACCCGTCTCAAGAGCAGGTGCGGACTCGACTTGTGGCCGGCCAGACTTGCTGGAAGAATCGGCAACTTGATCTTCGACCTTGGGGGCATTTCTTGCCTTCATGCTCTCCATGAACTTCTTGAAATCTTCTTCAGTATGGCCACCCTGCTTCTCTCCTGCAGGTTCGTCAAACCATTCAGGCTCGCGCTCATTCCGTTGGTCTTGGTCCCTGTTCCATCGCCTATCTTGGCCCCTCTCGTTGTGTTGCCTGTCCCGGTAGCTGTTCTGGGGCCGGTCGTCTGGATCGCGATCGCGCCAGCTCTTCGCTTTATCGATGCGCTCACGCTGGGTGGGTGGGCGATTTTCAGATGCAGTGTTGCCACCGCTGCCATCTTTGAACCAGGGCTCGGATCTTCCTCTTGCCAAGCCGTTACGCTTGTTGCCCTCGCCGTCGTTGGCTTCGTTGTCTCGCGTGTGGGAATCGAAGTTCCGTCGGGGACGCTCCCTGGTGGAGTCGGTCTCATCTCTATCGCGGACACGGCGATCATCTCGCGTAAACCTATCGCCCCCGCCCATGCGACCATGAAAACGCTCAGCGCCTTCGTGGCCGAAACTCTTCCTAGGCTTCACGGTGCTCCAACCCTCGTTATCCTGATCGCCATCGCCTCGTCGACGGAAATTGCTGCCGCGACCGTCACGAAAGCGATCGCTGCGGTCGTTACCGTTGTCCGATTGGTCGCCGGGTCGAGAACGGAAGTTGAACCTGTCGCCAGAATCCTGGTCGCGGAAGCCTCGCTCGCTATCGCCACCCAGCCTGTTGTTCCGCACCGTTGTCGAAGAGCTGAAACTTGTCTTGGGTGGTCCTAGGATGATATCGTCCGGGTCTGAAGGGGGGTGTCAGTCTCATGCTGTAGTCCAGAGCCGAATAGCAAGGCCAACATAGGGGCAGGTTATGACATACTGGCACTGTTCCGCGACACATGGCCCGGGCGCTTGTTTGTCTGCTCAAGAAGGGCGCCGTCATAAGTTTTGGCTCTCTCCGTGGTGGGTTTGTTCTGGTTTCGAAAGGTATCTGGCGGTGGTCTGTTCGAGTCAGTCTGTGCAGAGGGGCGAGAATGTGCGACAGAAAGCGAGGTCGAGGCTTACCCCATCCACTCGTCGGCAGGAGGAAGCCCTGGAGGTTTGGTGCATAGCGGCGAGTCTTTTAGTAGAAGAAGGACTTCTACAGAGTACCGGTGCGACATGGCTGCGGTGGAGAATTGGGCAGAGGGTTGAAGGGAGGCTTAGGTGGTGGTGGTGGCGCGAGCGAGCATAAGAAAAAGAGCGACAAATTGGACACCAAGGTCGAGATAGGCAGGAGCACCTGGGGTACGGACGGCCACAGACTGGGCGATCGCAGGACCGTCGCTAATGCTTAGCTCTGAGGGCTATTGAGGAGGACAAAGAGTCGCGATTGAGGTGCGAGGGCTGCAGAGCGGTCCGAAAAGGGAGATGAAGCTTGGGTGTGTGTGTGTGGTCGCCACAGCTTCCAGATCAATCAAGGCTTGCGCAAATGCGACGACCCGAGATGGGTTCGGCGTGGTCGTGGCGTTGGTGGAAGGAGATGTTGAAGGGTCAAGAGATGAATACCGAGCTGTGAGAGTTGAGTTTCCGGTAGGAAAGGGCTGTTGGCAGGTGATGTTGTGGTGCGTGGGTAGTGTGCGTTGCGTCCCTGTCAGGTTTGATCGATGCTGCGATGTTGGAGTGAGGTTCGCTTGGCTCTGGGACCTCGCCTAGTTCAGGTAAGGTAAAGTGCCCAAGAGTGGGAATTGGTCGTGTCCAGGGCGCTCGCATTGGCTCAGCCTGACGGCCCTGCCGCCTGCCCAAGCGTCCATGGAGGTGCAGGTGTGGATCTCAGTGCTGCACCATACTTGTACAACTACCTAGAAGTCGTTACCTAAGTAAGTTAGGTACTGTAATTACAGGGCATTGATCTCTCTCTCTTAGCCTCATCCATCTGAGTCTCGACTCGCACGCACCACAAAAATCCCCGCCGCCCCTCCCCTCCCTGCCTCCAGCTCGAGCTGCCTGCTGTCCAGCAATCCATCTTCACTCATATCTACCTCCTTTACCTCATGACTCCAGTCGGAGATTGAATGCTGCTAGTTACTTGGTGTTCGTAAACTCCCGCCGAGGGCTCCCTAGCTCCACTCCCTCCCTTCATGGAAGTAGGGCTCAGGTTCCATTATCAACATCCACAAGTAGAACACGACTACGTATGCCGCCCTCGGGCTCATTGCTCAAGTAGAATCTTGATACATAAGGTATGAAGGTATGGACGCTTTGCCTTATAGACTATTCCTACAAACGGCACAGGCATATATCCTCCCAATGTTGGTGCATTTCCTTGTCCGCTCCTCGCCTCGCAACTCTCAGTCAAGGAGAGCATCGATGCCGCCCTGGCTCCACTGCCTGACCCTCTCCTGGTCGCACGTATTCCACACTCTCCTCAACAGAGCCTTGTATATTTTGGCCTCCTCCTCGCCGCTGAACTTCGCTGTCTGGCTCTCGAGCCAGCTAATCAGGCCAAACCGCGTCACCAGCGTGTCACTACCGCCCTTGATCGCCGTGGCCCTATATACGATGCGCAGAACTTGCATCCGTACTGGCTGCCGCGCGTACGGGTTGGCAGTCAGAGCTAGCAGCCGCTCAAAGAGCCGCTTACCATGCACCAAGAACAGGTCGGCAGGTGTCCGCAGACTCTCCAGCAGGTATGCCAGCAGCCAGCTCACCTCGGCGTAGTATGCGTCGTCATTGGACGGGCCCTCTTGCAGGATCTCATACACAAGTGGGAACTTATCCAGGTTCCAGACGGGGCCAGCCGTCAGAAAGGCGTTGACTTTGGCGTAAAGGCAGTGTAGAGGATTCTTCAGCACCTTGAGAGCTCCACACGCGAAAGCCACGATATGACTGGGGAGAGGCTTTTCGTCGACGAATCCCTTGGACGATTCTGCCAATTCAGCCAAAAGCAGCCATATCTGCTCCTTCTCCTCGTAGGTCGATTCTCGGATCTTGGCTGCCATCTTCATGACGTTGGTCAATGCCTCCTTCCTGATGCTGGTGTGCTCCGACGAAAGCAGCTGTACCAGTGCCGCGGCATGTCCCTCCTCGACCAGTTCGTCAGCATCTTTGTGAACCCATCTTGAGAGCGCCGCATTATCAGAGCCGACCGAATCTGGGGTAGCCAGCATGTCCTCCAACGACTCTTGGTCGATCTCGGTTGATTTGCTGCGGGCCGTCTCCGTAGATCCCGAGACGTCCTCTTCACCGACCTCGACAGCAGGCCGTCGGGTCTCGGCTCGCATTGATGCTTTTCCAGCTTTTGCGGACCGGCGCTTCTTGCTTTCGAGAGGTAACGAATCGGAGATTCGCTTGATCACCTCGCCAAGAGCAGCAGCGTCTTCTCCAGCCGACTCGGAGAAGCCAGCATAGCCAACAATGAATCGAGCAATACTTTCGGCGGCATGGGCATCCCCGTTAGGCCCTGACAGGAAGGGTACCTGTTCCATGATGGCCAGCCACAATGGGCTTAAAACCATTGGCCTTGTGTCTTCCCTGTTGATCTGGATCTCGCTGGCTACCTCTAGGTACTTGATGGGTGTGGCAGTACATCGAGCGGCGCAATTGTCTATAAAGGGCCAGACATGCTCCAATGCGGTCGGTTTCACCCTCTTGAGCTGTCGCAAGCTCTCCATGAGAGGCGCCAGGTCCAAATAGTTGGGATTGGGCCAGACCAGCTGTTGCTCCCTCGCCACAAGATCCAAAACCCCGAAACTCGACATGGTCGTATATTCGTCCGTACCAACACACACTTTCAGGAGCGATGTAAAAGGCGAAAACGCTAGGGTGTCAGATTTCGAAAACCACCGCATCCCTGGAGAGTGCCCTGCAATAACGAGGAGGTTTTCGAGCTCGAGCAGTCTCAGCGCCTTGTCCTCGCTTGATTGACCAGCGTTCTCGAGCTGTTGGAGAACTGCTGCCAGCAGTGGCGATACATCAATTCTTGCCGAAAAGGCAGCTTGCGGTATAATCTCGTAGTAGAGGCGCAGCAGACGACTGGCAGCCTCTCGGTGGAGCAGATCGTCTGGCGGTATGGTCCTATAGGCATTGAAGGCATCCCTCATATTGGGACATCTCTGGCAGAATTCGTCCACCAGTCTTCTTGAAGACGCAGTCCACGATGCCTTGCCCATGGCCACGGCCTCTCTGTGGAGACGCAAGGCCTGCCGCAACTTTTGAAGTGCAATAACCAAAAGTCTCGTGGCAAAGAAGGAAACGAGATTGGACTTTTGGGACAAGGATCGTGTGAGCACTTTTTGTGTGAGAGGGAGTGGGAGGATGTTGTCGATAAGTATTGATGTGGGAGGCGGCGATCGGGCATACGTCAAGTGAGCGCCAAAGAAACGAGGTATGGGTATCTGAATAGTACTGAAAAGAAGGGCCGCATAACCAATCCAGGTCGCTGACAGTTTTGGCTCAAAGGTGAAGGACTTTTTGCTGATGAAGTAACCAGCAACGATTTCGGGGGCAGCCTTGAATATGGCGATGACCAGGTCGCTTTGCTTGCTGTTTGACCATGGCCGGAGTGCCTGGATGAAGTCGAACAAAACTATGTTTTCCACAGGAACGTCCCCGGTGACCTGGTCGAACAAGACAGGCTTGGCCAAGCCCGCCTCTGGTGAATCTTCGAAACCCTGGGAAGTCTGGCCGAGATCAAGCCCCTTCGGGTAGAATCCAGTTTGATCGCGCAGCACCCCAGCATTTGGGGTTGTGCAGGCATGAACCAGGAATGAATGTGCCGCATCGTCCACGGCTACGACTCCATCTCCCTGTTGAGTTTCGTGGTGATAGTGATAAAGGCCGGCGATGCGACTCAATGTCATGGAGCTCAAAAGCCTCGACTTAGCAATCCTCGGCACTTTCCTGTCCATCATGACGGATTTCTTGAGGCATTCGAGCATTTCAATGATGAGATAAGGCGGGTCGTCCTTCAGCGTCTTCGTCAAAGCGGTCACCAAATCTTTCTGAGACAGTAATTCTGCCTTGGCCTCGGCATGAAGGAACTTGAGAGAGCTCAGAAAGAAGCGTATGGCATTGGTCCTGGCTGACGGTCGCTTTCCATCCTCGAGGCCGTCGCCCAGAAACTTCACGGTCATGTTTCGAGCCAGTGACTTATAGGTATAACTCCGTGCACGGAAGATCGCTTTGGCCACGACGCCGCCGTCAAACGAGATGGCTTCGCGGACAAGTCTCAACGTGGGAGAGATGATAAACTCCTTGCTCTTGTCTGCTGATAGATTCCGGGCGAGGAGCTCCTGTTGTCTCTTGTGCAGCAGCGTCCGACAGATCCCTAAGCCGTGCGGAGTGAGATCCAGTGTCTGGGAGACGATCTTGAGCAGAAGGGCCAAGGCAACTGGCACGGCGGACATGATGTTCTCGTTGTTGACCTGTGCCGCAAAGCTCCATGTCTCCATGAGCTCTGAAAGATATACAGCATCTTCGCTCGTATCATCGCCGCGGGGTCTTGAGGCTTCGAGGAAGTCTTTCAGTATGCCCATTTTCTCAGGATCCCTCGTGTCAGCATCGTTGATTGTATCGAGGAACACTTTGAGCGATTGCAAGCCTATAAGTCCGAGTTAGAGATTGTGCATTGCATTATCTGACAGAGGTGGTCGCATATACCATGTCTAGCTTTCTGGAGGTCTTGATCAAATGTGAGAAGCTGCTTAAGCTGTCGCGCAGCATGAATTTCTTCAAAGGTGGGAGCCTCATGCACGATACGCACTCGCTTTCGAGGATTCTCCCCCTCTGGACCCCTCGGTTTCCGTTTGGCCATCTCGGCAGATATGACCAGGATAGTTGAATTGGTGAAAGCGCGCTCACTCTTCCTCACTCTTTGCCCTGCAGTTCATCCCCATTCCTAGAAATTTTGGTGGGGCCTGCGTTCTGCCTGCGCTGACCGCCTCCTTATCAAGAGAGCCATGTTCACAACCGCTTATCGGCCACGATCACTCCGTACCTTATTCTTTAGTCCTCCAGACCCTTGGTTCTTCTTTGATTTTCGAGAATTAACATCAATCGCATCACTGTGAAGATGCTGGTTGAAAAGGGAGGATTAATTGCGCTTGCCTGACTGCAAGGAGAACCAAAGGCTAGTCAGTGGCGGGTATCAAACTGAAATTGCTCTCATCATAAACCACTATGCCTGGATACAACAAAACATCACACTCTTGTTCCCCTTCACCTAGCAACCTCGAAACTCATCAATCGTCAATGCCATGGGGTCACCCCATCATTAAATCGCGCAAGTGACTCCATGTGCTCCCCCCAAAGGGACCAATCACACATGCTACATATCCTTCAGAAACTGAGCCTACTTTCCTCTATCTCGGGTTCATTGTGCCGAGGGCTGGTAGGCATTTGGGAGCTTCGGTACCTGAGGAGAGATAGGAAGTCTCGTGTCGCCACGCTCGTCCCGTGACCGGCCTCCAGTGAGTCGCCTCATTCGCGATCGCGTACCCTGTGCCAAGGGTCTGATCATGTTTTCCAAGAAGAATGAGCCTTCAGGGCCACCGGCGCCTAATCTCTCGTCATCTCCATCAGAGAAAATGTCCTCGGACTCGTCATCCGAGGTGAGATCGCCCATGATATTTGGGTGGTAAGAGGCAGGAGCCGAGGGCGATGTGATTGAGCGAGAATGCAACGCGGGCCGGGCCGAAACATTCTGGTCAAAGGTAAAAGCGCCGGGGTTCATTGTGTTGGCGTTGCCCTCGCGAGGCATGGGGGGCCTGTCAGCGAAGCCGTTCTGGAATACTGTGTTGGTGGAAGCCTGGTGCAAGATGGGCAGGATATGTTCATCGTAAAGCTGGGCATCAGATGCGAAACCCTCAGGGAAGGATTCTGTAATCGTTGCCATGGACGAACGACCATCGCTTGGGGGCCCCGTTCCGATATCGTGATCATCAAAAAAGTCGTCCAGGCTGTCAAGCTTCGTCACAAGATCCCCCACATTGCTCTCGGTGCGCACTTCGTCAGACATCATGGTGTCCGTCCTCTCGGAAGGCGGGAAGTATCCATAGGGAAATTCATCTTCGTGAAACTCTACCTCAGGGGTCGGCGTGGGGTCGGCGAACATGCCCTCTGTACTTTGACAAGTGTAGAAGGCAGCGTGAATATTGGCTCGGGTCGACTCGGTTTTCTTGGCGGGAACTGGGATTGCCCATCCAGAGTCCTCTGGGATCCCGAAGAGACTCTGCGTCCGTTCATACTCCTTGCGGATGGTCTTGGACGTGTGACGGGTCATGCTCATCCGAAGGTGGTGTTTGTCCATTGACGACCCCGACATGGTCATGATGTTGTCAAGAACTTTCAGCGCGTCCATACAAAACTCTGTCTGAAGGAGTCGTAACAGTGGAGAGATCAAGTCTGATCCATGCCCGGCGATTTCTGGGCTCCGCATATCGATCTCGGGGATAACCACACAAAGTATCCGCATCGTCTGGACCTTGACCCACGATATTTGGTTGGTGAGCAAGCCCATCAGTGTCGTAATCATCTGGAAATCGAGCCTGGGGGAGAAGTACTCTCTCAAGGCAGAAACCATTTGTACGATGAAATCATTCCCACTAGTAAAAGAGCGGGAAAGATAGCCGTCCAGAACCATGGCTATGCTCGGTAACCCCTGCGCAGCAGCCAGATCGCAGAGGTTTTCGGCGGTGCGGACAACCTTCTCACTCAGCTGCTCGGACTCCATCTCCTGCAAGAATCGAGGGCAGTTGGCAAGGATAGTGAAGAATAAACGACTGTCGTCTCCAACGAGTTGATCTGGCGGAAGGCGGACAAGCTTGTCCATCGTATTCAAGGTAGCCTCAAGGCAAATGGATGATCGCAGACCCTTGTACAGAAGGGGCTGAAGGCCTTCGAAGACGCCATCCCAATTGGCAGGTTGACCTTCCATGAACAGCCGTCGAATGGTTGCATCCTGGAAGTCAAGCCTATCCAGGAAGTCGTTCAGCATCTCAACCGCCTCTAAAAACTCGCATTCGTTGATTGACTCCAGGCAGGCACATGTAGTCCAGAACAGCTGAGGGAAGGTGATCAATTCCTCAGGGTCGAGCTTGGATATCAGAGTCTTGAGGCTGGTCAGTATTTCCATGGAAAAAGTCTGAATCTCCGTATCCTCGTCTGCAATGGTGTTGGACAGTCGGGCGAGCATGTCTGCAAGCATAATGTGATCCAAGGACGTGAGCACGCATCGGAAAATCTGGAAGGAGCGGCAAGCAAGATGTCGAACAGGACAAGACGTCGCCCAGGTCAGCGACAACCGCCCCCATTGCTCTTTAATGCCTGGGAAGGTGATCTCAAAAGTCTTGACCACTTCGCCAGTCAGAAACTCCATGGTCGGAGGAACTTTGTTATCCTGGCTGTCTACCTTGCCATTGTTGTCTTCGTAGCTCCAGACAACAGCCTTATCATGCTGGCGTATAGAGTCGATCAGATCCTCAATGGCCTTTGTAGCCGCTGAAGTCTTCTCGTCCAGTTTGGATATGACTAGTTCGTGGATGAGATGAACGAGCATCTCCCGAGCTTGTTCTTGAACCAACGGCGTGTAGTGGTCCCACAGAACGGTGACAACTTGGAGAAGTACGGGGAGGTTGTCAGATGACAGGTTGACAGGTGAAACCATCAGGTCGACCAGAAGAATCAGCGAAAGCTGTCCTAATGAGAAACCAGCTTGTTTTGTTCCAATTGGAAGCGCCTCCGACAGGTCAGCGCAGTATGGGAAAAGGCTGATATCCGAAGGAAGCGGAGTCGTTTCTCGCTTCTCAAAAGGGACCATGGCTTTTGGCGTGATCTGTAAGAGCAAGAATTCGACGACCTTGTGGCCCGGAGTGCTCTGTGTGCTCGCGAGAAACACGACGATCTGTTTCGCGTACTCTACAAAGTTTTGCTCTCGCCTCTCCAGACAGAGATTCATGATGAAGTCGAGGATGAGGCGGACGTTGCCTGGATGTGGCCCCGTTGCAAGTGCTTGCCACAGTGCTTGAACTTCATTGTGTAGTGCTCCACTGGATTTGATCGTGATCTCTAGGAGGTTGGCAAGGAGGACGTATGACTGAGCCGTCGGGCCTCCATTGGGGTCCAGCTTCAACTCTATCGATTGGATCCATGGCAAGGTGACTGCAATGACATTCCTCTGCGCAATAGCATGCAGATCCTTGAAGTAGAAAGTGAACTCCGAGAAGATATAAAAGGCAAGCTCGGTGTGCTGCTTCGACAGCCTCTCGGAGATCTTGAACTGAGCAAGCTTATAGACAGCCTTGGTTTTGTCGGAGATGCTGATGTCGAAGTCCTGGATTTTGGAGCTCCGACCCTGTTGTCTCTCTTCGAGAGCTCTCAGAACCTGCGCGGATCTTGAACGAATCTCGCTTTGATCATTCCCCAAGGTGAAAAGACAGAGACCCAGAAGCCTCCAGAACGGCAAAGGATAGTCGGGGTGCTCGGGCAAGACTTCAGTTACAACCTCGAAGTAAGACTCGAGTACCTTGGGAACATCTGCCTTGTAGCATCGTCCGATGCAATGTTCGAGCAAATAAGGATAGTCTTGATTGTGCACAATCAAGTTTTTTAGAGCGCGGCGCCCAATGACTTTCATGCGATCATTCCCCGAGGTAAAGATCGACTCGATCCAAGCGAGCATTCTGCGAACGTCGAATTGAAGAGAAACCCCGCTCTCAGTGGTGATACCGATTGGTCCTCCGCAAAGCGCGGCCATGGCACTCAACGCAGCAGTCCGAAGATTTCGCTTTTCAATCTCCATAGCCGCGGTGAGGGTGCCTCTCTCACCAACGCCTTGCTGGTCAATGATGGATTGCCGCATATTGTCTTCGCGATGTCGGATCTGGGGCTGGTTGGGCGAAAAACCACACCAGTCCTCCATCAGAGCAAAGGACGACTTTCGAGCTTCAAAGGTCATCCAACCCGATGGGTCTTTGGTCTTGTTGATGCCTTGGTACAACTCCTCGACAAGACCACAATAGTGCCGCCGCAGCTTCTGAAATTCCCAGTCCATCTGCACTTCTCCATCCATCAAGAACAGCTTGATATCTTTGGCGTAGGTCACGAGGTTGTTCATGATCCAGTCATCTTGGTAAACCTCTGGCAACTTGAGGAAATGCGCCGTAAGCTTGTAAACATGGGTGATCTCGGTTCGCAAAAGGTCCATGCGGCGATTCCGACGAGGGCTACTGCCTGTCCTTTGGTGGATGCGAGACCTCGCTTCGTCATTGCAACGCGAGACATGACCTTGGAGTTCTTCCAACAATGTCCGGTAGATATGAATATTTATCGAGCCCATAGCGACAACGACGGCATCTCGAACTGAGGCGGAGGATACCGAGAGCAATGGGTTGAGATATTTGAACAACGTACGCGCTGTCACGATCTTATCCGTAGACGAGGCGTTTCTGGATCCCTTTCGACCGTGCTGATTTCCAGCCTGCCCACCGGCAGGTGTACTGCCGGGATCGGCCAGAGTTGTGCACGCGAACACAAGGTATAGTTTCCATTGCTCAATGAGTAATTCGGGCTGCGTAGTAGGGGTGCGCCCGGTGTAACGCGCGCTGCCGGGATCCGAGCCATAGTAGAGCCCTCTTGATGGCTCTGAGAGAATAGTGATAGCTTTGTACATCTGCAAAATGCGATTGCAGATCAAGTCTCGGCAAATAGTGACTGTGAATGGACATTTTTCATATCCTGTGCGGATGAGATTGGGGAATATCTTAAACCAGAGGGTTGTGTCGTATGATACGTCGCTCGTGCACAACTCGATGAGGGCTCCCTGGTTATTGTTGTTCGCCATGCCTCGCTCCAAACGACTTCGTTCTGCAACCGAGAGGGTTTCATCCTTGAAGTTCATCAATTGCATAGAGTCATTCTCGAGGATGTCGATCAATCTCAAGTCATTCTTGGGTTCGAGATTGGGATCATCAAGGGCTTTGACGAAGTCCTTGATCAGGCGTAAAGTGGTGATTGCGAAGTAACGGACGCGCCGAGATTGAGAGCATAGGAAGAAAAGCCCATGAGCTTCCACCGTGTCGACCTCAGCCCAGACAGTGGACCGGTCAAGTGTCACGGCCCGCTTATCGGGCGTACCCGAGTCGCCGGAGTCCGGTGGGCTGTCCCGGGGTTTTTTCTTGATCTCTTCGATCCAGATCTGGAGCAATTCCACGTAAAGTCTCAGCGTATTCTCGATATGACTCGGCCCAAGCATTCCACCGTCAGACATGGTGGAATACCGATCGTCAAAATTGAAGATGAAGCGGGAGAAGCCCATAGTCACGGGTTGCGCATGTGATTGACGAGCAATTGATTTGAGAGACTGGGTGGATGATTCTGCAATGTTGTACTGGACGTGTGCTGTGCCTGTACACAGAAGGTTGATCAGGGAGTTGAAGGGTATGTCGGCCGACAGACATCTGGGCAAAGCTTGTACTGCAACGTGAAGCAGTTCATAAAAGGCCTGCTTGTGGTCTGAAATGGCCGGATGATCGTCCCGTCTCGCGAAATTGAAGGTTTCGACGATCGGAGTCTTGGGTCCAGGACTGTTGAACTTTTCGTCCAGTACTGCCTGACCTCCGAATGTATTGTCGCAGATCAGAGTAATCTTGCCCAATATCGCACAGAACCTTGTGTAGTACTCGCGCACTGTGTCACTGAGAGCCGTTAAGAGCACGGGTGTCGAGGGGTGATCCTCTTGAGCGGTAGCTTGGCTCTTTGGAATGGGTCCTGCCCGGGGCGAGCCAATGGTGGGTGATGCCGGCATGCGCTCTGGAGAGGAGGTAGAGGCATTGTACTGAGGGAAAGGCGGCCTTCCCTCTTCGCCCTTCTCAAGATCTGCTATGATGGCTAAGAAAGCTCGGATACCGATAACGATCTTGTCTGGCTCGAGGTTATCGACTTTGAGCTCCCGACCAGAAGAGAATAACTCTGCATTGATAAGCGGGAATATGACGGTCCGGAAACAGTATTCCGGATGTTTAAACCCTATAAACCTGATGATCTGGATCAAGGGCTCAGTGACAGCTGTATCGGCCGCCGTGATCGTTCTCTTGGCAGTGGGGAGAACGTTTTTCATGACCTCGTCAAGTTTGCGCGTCACGCCAGCTGTTGTATCATTTGTGCGGTAGAGATAAGTCCAGACAAGCCTCGAGACCACCTGCAATGACAACGGCTTGGTTGCGCGGTCTTTCAGCTTGGTCTGCACCGAGTAGACCAACTGGAGCCACTGGTTCGAGAAACTATCAGGAGGAGAGACGCAGAGCATGGTTGCTGTCAAGGGGAAAGCCGAGGACCAATGGCGGGGCTTGACAAACATCTGACCCAGTCGCGGACTGATGTTACTGAGCACGTCGCCCCATCTTGGGTTGGTCAGGTCGCTATTGCTGGCATTGGCCGCAACAGGTAGGAGGAGCATCTCGAGTGCTTGGCAGAAAGCAGACTTGACTTTCTGGCCATGAGATCTGCCGAAAAGCTTGCCAAGCGAAACCATGAATTCGCAGTACTGCTCCCAGGTTTCCGCCGGCGCGAGCTTGACGCGCAGATGCTTCATCCCTCCAAGCACAAGCTCCATCTTGCCATCGACATCACCACGACTGGCCAAGGTTGGGCTCCTCGCGGCATGTTCCTGAAGCGAACGATCCAGGTCGCCAAGGAACCGGTCCGCCACGCTGGCAAAGTTGATTTCGCTCATAACGCCAAGCAACTGAGCAAAGAGATTCCAGTTTGCTAGCTTTAGCGGCGACAAGTATAGTTGGTCGGAATCAGCAATCTTCAGTTGGCCAAAGATGATCCCTTCCAGCTTATCTTCCATCTCAGGCGTGATGGAGGACAGGCTACTCTGGCTGATCACCTCAAGGAGCACCCTGCACAGGATGTATATGGACACGGTTGAGCGACGCTCAGCCTGTGCGACGAACTCTTGTTTGGCAGCTAGCGAGCCGGATCCCACTGTCAGGCCATCGCTACCGACATTTCCAGCAAGTGTGTGAAGGGGCTCAGTGTTGCGCCTTTGCAGCGGACCAGGCTGCGATACATGGCTTTTGGACTGCTGCAGCTGATTTCGGGCATCGTTGGCGGCATCGCTCTTGCTTTTTCTCCATAGCATCATGGAGTCGATGAGTGGTTTCGGCTTCTGTTTCGCAATATGGCCAAGAGCCACAATCAACTGATCAAACGAGGCATCGACACCAGGCCCACATATCTGCTCAATCTGGGGTTCGGGGTCGAAGGGGACGGTGATGCAGTCATTCAGCTTCTCTTCCGCTTGTGCAATGAAAGAGGTGAACAAGACATGCAGTGCGTATTCGCCCACGGTCTTCTGTTCGTCCTTGGGGTGCCGTGAGGAATGTGAGTGGTGATGAGAATGGTCCCGGCGTGTGCGACCGCTGTGCATTCGTTCCAGTTTGCGTTGTGTTGGCGCGTGGACGGTGGTCATGTCTGTGACAGACGAAGTCCGCTCTGGGACCATGGGCCCGCCAGAGCCCATTGCGGTGCCAGAGCCCATCGTGGTGCCAGAGAAATTGGTAGGAGGCCGAGATCCAGCAAGAGGGTCAACGTCTGTACGCGTCGTGAATGACGGCATGTCCGGCCTGTCGGCAGTGAGGCCCACGCCAGCCGCGGCCAGCATTTGAGGGCTGAGAGGGCTCGAAGAGGGGCTTGCGAGACTTCCACTTCGCGAGTGTTGGATGCCATGGACGATGGAAGTCTGTCTGTGGTGGCCGTAGGCTGCGGCTTTTGGGTCGACCATTCGTTCCATTACAGTACCAATCCCCTGCCGCCCTGAAGATGCATGTGTTCGAGGAGATATGATAGTCGGCGGGGATTGAGACGAGCTAGACCCTTTGCTTCCCAACTGTAACTTTTCCAAGCTCGATTCCCTCGAATGGGCCACGGATCGAGGGAGCGGCGGTTCCATGCCAGCAGGCCGAAGTGTTCGGTTCCACTCGTCCTCATCTTCTTCATCGAGACGTGACACGGACCGCGAGTATTTCAATGTATCGGGCGCATGGTCTGGCAGCGTCTGGGACGGAGCTATAAGGAAACGAAGAACATCAGTCACAGCGCCTCGCGTCCATCAAGGAAGGAGAATAAACATGTGTTCTCCGCCCATGAAGAGAGGTGTGACTTCGTGATGACAAACTAACATCACCATTGTCCACTGTCGCGGCAGTCATTGGGGCTGTCGGATTCGGTGTTTCAGGAGCTGCAATGAGACAGGAGGACACTCACCCATTGTGCAGGTACAGCTGATCCCATGTTCCGATGGAAACAGCAGGTACCGTCAAGAGTAAACACTGCAATGTCGTTCTTGCCTGAGTCGCGATAGGACGAGGCGACGAAAGGGTCCAATGTGGAGAGGTGTGGTCACGGATAGCTCAGTGATCCAAGTTCGACCAGGTCTGGCATCGCGGCTTTTGGGGGTCGATGCAAGGCACGTAGCCAGTCAATCCAATCAGTGGCCTGGACGGGACAGGGGTGCGCGCCATCAGTGGGTGGTTTAGACACGGGGTCTCCCATCTTTGTGGAGCACATCAGAAACGGCCTGGAGGTGCAGCAGCGAATTGGTGGTCCATGAGAACCTTAAAAAAATAACATAACAGCCCAGAACTTACTCCGTGAGAAGGAAATGGGAGTAGGGGGGCTAACAGCGTGAAAGTAGCACGACGAAGGACATCATGCTGCAGGCAGAAAGCGTTTCTAAATGGACGCCTGACAAGGTTCAGATTGTTATGCCCAAAGTGGCCAGCACTGACGGGCTTCTACCTAAAGTACCTGCACATGTGAAGTTAGTGCATGGACGGACAACTTGCCCTCCTTGCCCTCCCTGCCCTACCTACCTAGGTACCTACTTCATACTTGGCACCAGCAAGTGGTCGGCACCATAACACCTAAAGGACCGGACCTGCAATGCCCCATCTTCTGCATCCTCACCGAGGGTGGTAGATGGTCGTCTGAGCTCAGAATATACTAAGTCAGGCAGTCGACTTGTATATCATTTGCATGGTCGAAGGCCCCGCACCCTTCTCGTCATTGAAAGAGTACATACCTACAGTACACATCACCACCAAACCTCCTGCTCTCGGCGACCAATCGAAGCCTGAGAACCTCAGTGCAGCCAATGAAAGCTGGAAAGCCTGTTTGCGTGGCTGGCATTGTGATGCGGGAGCCATTTTCCGACTGCTTAGGACCGATACAAATGCGCATCTGGCCAACATCAACTTGGCGAAGCCCTCATGCACGTCCCAATGATCATGTGCGTCAGAAGGCAAGTGGTTCGTTTTAAAGAAAGACCTGGAGCCAGCCAGGCTTGTGAGAACACCTAATAAGGTTACTGGCTGCGGCTGAGGTCCGATGCGAAATGAGGGGGATAGGAAGAAGGTACCGAAGAGATACCGAATTAGGTACCGCGGTGCGACCACCGGGTCGGGGCGTTGGATTCCCTTCACGATCGACGACAAGCCGAGCTTTCTCCATCCCAGGGCCGCGGGGCTGGGGGAAGCTTCTAGCACTCTGGCCTGTACTTGTAGGTTAGTGGGCGGAATCCGGACTCCAGGGCCAGACTGGAGGCGTGCCACAGGCGCGAGAGCCGGTTTTGTGAGAATAGACCCCCCCGGCACTTGTTGAGGCACCGGGTGCGCGGTCTAATCTAAGCCCGTGGGCCAGGTTCGTGCACAACTTTTTTCCCGGATCGGACGGGTGTGCTGTCACTACATGGTGTTAGACGCCGGGGAAGTATAGAAATTGAAAGACAAAGTGGTGGGGAGGTGGCAGGTAGCCTACTCCTAGTCGGTTATCTACAGTACTCGGTAACATTCAATCCTTGGAGATGCACCTCCATCAGTAATGCCCCCCTCCCCCAATGATTCCGGCAAGCACATGATCCGTACATACCTGAGCCGTGCAAGTGTGCAAGTGTCGGGGCTTTCTGGAACGTCTGCCGCCTGCCCACCCTCTCCTTTTCCGACAAGACCCTTCAAGTCGAAGCGAGAACTATCGGAATTTTGCCTCTTTCCGTTCGGCGCCTCTGATTCTTCAAGGACAGCTCTCAGCGGCCAGGTCTGAGTGAGTCGACTTCTCCAAAGTCTAGCGGACTCCCGGTACCGGACTCTGCCCACTTGGACGCTTTGCCTTTGCTGGGGTTTATCGTTCGATTGTTTGATACGTGTTCGCGGGTTTTTCCTGGCGCCCGTACCCCACTGAAATTCAACCCCCCGTCAGCCGCCGCTCGTGCTCCATTTTCCGCTCTCCCCACGCGCGACGGCCTTCTCCTATCCAGAACCCCGATTTCCTCCCACAGCTCTGTTGCTTTCCCCTCCGTGGTTGCTTCGCACAGTTTCGCAACCATAGAACGGTCTCTCGTGCCTTCAACCGTCCGTCCGCCTCGTCCGTACGCCTGCTTGCTCCGGAGCTAGTCGTCAAGATGGCTGAACTCGACACTCTGGACATCATTGTCCTGTCTGTCATCCTCTTGGGGACCTTGGCATACTTTACAAAGGGCAAGTACTGGGGCATCACCAAGGATCCCTATGCCGCTTCATTCGCCAACGCCAATGGCGTCAAGGCTGGCAAGACGCGCAACATCTTGGAGAAGATGGAGGAGTCTGGCAAGAACTGTATTGTCTTCTACGGATCCCAGACCGGGACCGCCGAGGATTATGCGTCCAGGTTGGCCAAGGAGGGCAAGAGCCGCTTCGGTCTCGAGACCATGGTCGCGGACCTTGAGGACTACGATTATGAGAATCTCGATGCCCTGCCCAACGACAAGCTCATTGTTTTCGTCCTCGCCACCTATGGCGAGGGTGAGCCTACCGATAACGCCGTCGATTTCTACGAGTTCATCACTGGCGACGATGTGTCCTTTTCCGAGTCGCGCGAAGCCCCTCTGGACAATCTCAACTACGTCGCCTTCGGGCTCGGAAACAACACCTATGAGCACTACAACTCCATGGTCCGCAACGTCGATAAGGCTCTGCAGAAACTGGGCGCCAACAGGCTCGGTGTCGCCGGAGAGGGTGATGACGGTGCCGGCACCATGGAGGAGGACTTCCTAGCCTGGAAGGATCCCATGTGGGCTGCTGTGGCTGAGAAGATGGGTCTCGAGGAGCGCGAGGCTGTCTATGAGCCCATCTTCGGCATTGTCGATCGTGAGGGCCTTACCAAGGACTCCGTCGAGGTCTATGTCGGAGAGCCCAACAAGATGCACCTCGAAGGTACCGCCAAGGGTCCCTTCAACGCTCACAACCCTTATATTGCACCCATCACCGAATCGAGAGAGCTTTTCAGCGTCAAGGATAGACACTGCTTGCATATGGAAGTTGATATCAGCGGTTCCAACCTGACTTACCAGACCGGTGACCACATCGCTATCTGGCCCACCAACCCTGGCGAGGAAGTCGATAGGTTTTTGAATGTCATTGGTCTCGCGGACAAGCGCAACGATGTCATCGGCGTCAAGGCTCTGGAGCCCACCGCCAAGGTCCCATTCCCAACGCCCACGACTTATGATGCCATCGTCCGCTACCACATGGAAATCTGCTCCCCCGTCTCGCGTCAGTTCCTGGCGACTCTCGCTGCGTTTGCGCCTGACGAGGCTACCAAGGCTGAGATGACCAAGCTGGGTGGCGACAAGGATTACTTCCACGAGAAGATCAGCGTCCACCACTTGAACATCGCTCAGGTTCTCAGCAGTGTCTCCAAGGGCCAGACCTGGAAGAACATCCCGTTCTCTGCCTTGATTGAAGGCGTCACCAAGCTGCAGCCCCGCTATTATTCGATCTCGTCGTCCTCTCTCGTCCAGCCCAAGAAGATCTCGATTACGGCTGTTGTCGAGTCGCAAATGATCCCTGGCCGCGGCGATCCGTTCCGAGGCGTTGCTACCAACTACCTGTTTGCTCTCAAGCAGAAGCAGAACGGCGACCCGAACCCCGAGCCCTTCGGCCTGACATACGAAATCACCGGTCCCCGTAACAAGTATGATGGCATTCATGTACCCGTCCATGTGCGTCACTCGAACTTCAAGCTGCCTTCCGATCCTTCCAAGCCAGTCATCCTGATTGGTCCCGGTACCGGTGTCGCGCCCTTCCGTGCCTTTGTGCAAGAGCGCGCTAAACAAGCGGCTGATGGCGAGAATGTCGGCCGGACCCTGCTCTTCTTTGGTTGCAGGAAGAAGAATGAGGACTTCTTGTACGCCTCGCAGTGGGAGGTAAGTGCCGTTCGCCTTGAGCAGTTTTAACAGTTGGTCAAAGGGTTGGTCTTGAGCTGACGCAAATACTCGTGTAGGAATTCAAGAAGGCACTAGGCGACAAGTTTGAGCTCATCACCGCCTTCTCTCGTGAGGGCGCGAAGAAGGTCTACGTCCAGCACAGGCTTAAAGAGCGTGCTGAGGAGGTCAACGAACTCTTGCAAAAGAAGGCTTACTTTTATGTCTGCGGTGATGCGGCAAACATGGCCCGTGAGGTCAACGCCGTCCTTGCCCAAATCATTGCTGAGCAACGTGGCATCTCAGAGGCCAAGGCCGAAGAGATTGTGAAGAACATGAGAGCTGCAAACCAATACCAGGTATGCCCCGCCCGTACTGCACTGAATGTCTATGTTTGGCGCGCAGAACCTGAATTGAAACATGCTAACCCTTTCTGCAGGAGGATGTTTGGTCGTAAACTTCAGGAATGGCGAAGGACGAATCTCATTATATCACGAGGCGCTCTGGAGCCAGCATGCAGTGAAGGATGCAGGGTGTCCAAGATCTACGGTATACTATTGTAATGCATGATTGGGAAATAGACATCGGAGGTGCTTCGACTGCATCCTTGACATGTATTTAAGCAAGGCCATGCAGAAGAACACCTTCCCCCTTCGGTGGGCCCATCTGGGAACAGGGCTGCAGCGACACTTTGTGTGGAGTTTTAGATCAATCGATCGTCTTTTTTTGGTTTTCTCATATCCTCCGAGTTCAAAAGACCTCTACTTCACTGGTTATATTATTTCCACAAGCCTTGTGAGCATTAATGTATCTCCCTCATCGTCAAATGGGGCGGCCCTGTTGACTGTTGAACATCGGATGATGGGTGAGGGAAAGGTGAAGACAGTGCTTCAGGGGATATCTACAAAGGAAGGAGTCACACGGTTGAGCGGCTCAAAAGCGTGGGCTCTGGCCTTTGGGATTCGCCAGGGGATGAAGACCTCGACGTATTCGGGGTGTCACTCGCTGTCCAAGAGCAGCACTGGAGGTCAAGATTGGTTGTTGGGTAGGGCTGTGTCTGGTGGGATGGATGACGAGCAGGACTACCGGCTATCCTGACCTCGATAATGACTGCATGGCTTGACAGCCTGGGACAGGGCAGGATGGCCTTTTGACGCACAGGCCGGGGGCTATAAAGCCAGCAGTCAAGTCGTCTCATCTACCTGATCTACTTTCCTTTGAAGTCCAGAGTGCCTACAAAAAAGTGGCAGTCAAAGTGGCAGATCGAAACGTCAAAACGTCTTCACTGCGCTCTGACTTTCTTCTCAGATTCAATATCACTTTTCGCCCGAGCAATCTCTCACCTCTGTCTTGACTGCCTTCCTTGGGCGAGCTCTTCCCTCCCCAGTCTTCTCAGCCCTTCCTCGCCCCTTCTTCTTCCCTTCTTCTTCCCTCCTCTTCCACTGCCTTTCGCTCCTCCCACATCCAATATCAACAACAACCCAACCACATCACCGTCAGTCACTGCATCATTAGCCTCTTTTCTCATCAGCAGCGCCCGGCTTGTGCCTTCCGGCTTCGTCGCAAATATCTCGAGTATCTCTATATCCAGAGTAAGTGGTTTCTGCATTATCTCTCTGCCCACTCCCCCTCCCTCCCCGGTCCTCCTCACTTTTCCTCCTCTCAAAACCCCAATCATCGCGCACTCGCCGGTCAGTCTCGCCTCTGCATCACCAGGTCCATGCCAACCGACACGGCCGCTTCTGGTGCTTCTCTTGTTCGATCCTCTTGGAAACTGCATGTCTAGGTACCGAGGGCAGCAACAATCGTCACAGCGACCGAGGGCCTTAAATCATTGACTTCCCCCCTTGCCCTCGACTTTGGCACCTACTGGCTCCCTCTTCATCAGCACAGCATCACCACTTTGATCCAGCAATCCTCCACAGTCTCTTCACCATTTCATCTTGCTTCACGGCTTGATCTATCTATCTTACTTCTCTCTGCACTCGCTTTCTTCATACCACCACAATCTTTGGTACTAACATCCCCAGCCCGCAGATTGACTCTCTAGTGCCACAGAGCGCCGTCTTGCCTCAGCTTGTGCGGTACACTCTGACAACATCGTGAGTGTCCCAGTCCCTTCACGCTGAGGAGATTCCAAGATGCGATACCCAAGAGTTTCTGTTTATTTGCTTTCTCCCTCTGCAGACGCAACACCAGCACATTACAGACACCAAGCCTCCTTCATTGTACGCAAGCATGAATGTTATCATTGTCAACATATTCATTGCTTGGTGCTTTTTTTTTGTCATTCTGTTCTCGGCCCATCAGGTCTCATAATATTTTTATCCATTTGCATTGGCACTTGTCCAGCTCTCGTTCCCTTCGTTCCATGCCCTTGGACCCCTCTCAGGGCCCTTGATATATCTAGGTGTCCTTCTGAGCTTACTGCCAACCTTTCCGGCGATCACCATCCACATGTGTCTTTCATTTTCATTGCGAAATCTCTAGTTCAGCGGTCTCAGATATTGTTGTATCTTCTCTTCTGTTCTGCTCAGCCATCCTCGTGGACCTCAGCCTCCTCAGTATCTGCCAAAAGCATTGCTTGGTTACGTTTTGTTCGCAACTTTTGCTGCCTCATCATCACTGGTTCGCCCTGGGCAGTTACTGACAATGGTTACCACAGGCTCGGAGAAGCATCCTCTTGATTGCCGATTTGACACCATGCAGATTGGAGTTCATCAAAACCAACGCCGGTCCGGCATGCCTCCGACTTACGGACATCCGAACATGAACCCCCACGACCCTCATCACGTCGCCGCTGCCAGCAGCACCCTCATCAACTCGATGGGCGATCCCGGCTATGGAGCTATGATCAATCAGTTCCACTCCATGGCTTTGCCCGCCGATGGTCTGATTCCCGCCGGCCCGGCCATGGCTGGACACTCGGGCTTCGTCAATGGTGCGAACCCCAACATCGTCTTTGCCTCGCCCTATTCTGGCACCGTCCCGGTCCTTCATGATCCTGGTTTTGCCGCCGCAGCATACACTATGCCGTACCCAGTCGGCGCCTTTGGTGGAGCCTACAGCCAGAACCCGCTGCCCTACACTCCAGGCCGTGCTGTTGGCTACAGCTCTGACCGCCTGTCTCGCGACGTTCCCGATCTTGAGAACCGACGTGCTTCTTACTCGACTTCTGGCACAGAGTCCTCGCCTGCCACTCCCTTCGGTATGAACTCGTCGGATCGCATTACCGCGACTCGCATCGCGTCCAATGACCGGTCTCTCTACACCACCCCTTCCCCGCGCCAGGGAATCACGGACTTCGTTGCTCAGGGTCCCAAGGCTGTCATCGCCGACCCAGAGCTGGAGCGTTTGCTCATGCAGGATCCTCCGATCCCCAAGGCCGTCCCTGCCGTTTGGACAGAGCACCTCAAGTCTCTTGACCAGTGCCTTGAGAACCGCATCACAGGCAATCGCAACGTCTACATCCGCGGACTCCACCCGACCACTGATGACGATCTTCTTTCCAAGTACGCCGAGCGGTTCGGCGAGGTTGAGCAGTCCAAGGCGATCATTGACACTGCGACCGGTGCCTGCAAAGGGTATGTACATTGCATTAACCTTGAGACGCTTTGGTTTGTCAATACTAACGTGTCGTCTAGCTTTGGCTTTGCCAAGTTCAAGGATGTCAAGAACTCTGAGAAGTGCATCCGAGGCTTCTATCGTCTTGGATATGAAGTCGGCTTCGCTCGGGTTCGTGAATTGGCAACGGTCCATCATTTGTTGGAGATTCTGCTAACATATCTTTCTGGCTTCAAGGAGAGCTTCAATGCACGCCTCAAGGCCGAGGGAGATGACTCTTCCACCAACCTCTACATCTCCAACCTGCCCAGGCACATCAACGAGAGCGTGGGTCATCTACTTGAATCGATACCTCGACTTTAGACTAACTCTTCTCAGATGCTCGCCTCGATCTTTGAGCCTTTCCACATTGTGTCTTCCAAGATCCTCCGTGACAGCATGGGCAATAGCCGTGGCGTCGGCTTTGCACGGTAAGATACTATTATCCTTCCGGCAATCATGTGTGACATTCGAACTGACGCACGCCACTAAAGCTTTGAGAGCCGCGATGTCTGCGAGCAGGTCATCGACCACTTTCACGGCATCCCGGTCGGTGAGGAGAATTTCTTGATTCAAGTTCGGTACGCCGACACTCCTGCGCAAAAGGAACTGAAGCGCATCACCGCCGAGCGACGCCAGTATCGTACCAACGAATACAACATCGGCGCCTACGGCACTCATGCCGTTGGCATGACCCCAACCATCTATGCATCTGGCATGTGGGGACGTCGTTCCGCTTCCGTCCCTTACCAGTAAGACTTTGCTTGTCCCCTCTCTAGAGCTCAACTCATGCTGACAGAAGTAGCAACACGACCCTCCGTCCGGCCGATGACAACGCTGATGCGGGAGATGCCGAGCAGGGAACCACTGAGGGAACCCAGTATGGCATCTCCCAATCAATGATGTCGTGGGATATACTAATTAATTTCTCTCAGCCAATGCAAGGCTGAGCCCTCAGCCACTCCTTCCGAAGCCGGCACAGCCGATGAAGGAGTGACCATTGTCGACTCTCCTGCAGTCAAGACGGGCAGCTCGTCTTCTTCGCCTGTCAAGAAGGACTGACTCTGAGGTGTTGGTCATTGTGCTGCAGAAAACATGTCTTATCACGGCATTTGCATCATCATTAACTATGTTCATCATCATACCATTTTGGAGCCCCCTCTTAATCAATCTCTGGTCATCAGTCAACATCCCTTCGGATTCTTGTTGCCAGAGATCCCTGCGAGGGTGGTATTATCACATTGATCTGCGTCTGTCGAGGAGGGAGACACTACAACATCTCCGAGTTGTTGAAACCAAGGATGGATTTTATCGGTGCTCTTAACACTACCATGGGTGGAGTTTTGAGTCTGACAAGCTATCACATTGTCTTGTTCTGTGTTCTTTTGTTGAACCATCTAGTTTCCAGTCTCCTTTTTTCCAATTGTCAGGGTTTCCAAGGAAACTAGATCGGATAGCACTAATTGACCCATCATGTTACCAATATCATCTCGAATGCCATGTGCCGCCGTGAACGGTAGCTTCTCTGGCTGGAAATGGGGTATTTAAACACATCTAACTGCCTATGGGAACTTGATTGGAGTCCAATCTGCCTACTTCGTAGCAGCACTGCCAATTGACAGGTTGGCCATGTCGTCTCTGGGTATCTCGACGCCTTTGTCCTTTTCTGAAAGCGGATCGCCAAGGCCCCCTTGCTCTCTAATCTCTTCATCTGGATTGCTTCCCCTGTCACTTCCTTCCTCGTATTCCTCGTCCTCTTCGCTGTCATCATCGCCACTTCCTTCATCACCTTGTCCCTCGTTACCCTTTGAAGCGTTTTGCTCTCTGATAGCAGCCTCGAGGTCTTTGGCCATCTTCTTCGTGAATCCCGACGCTTCCAAAGCAGCGTCAATACGCCTAGCTCCGTCCTTGCCTACACTCTTCTTTGCATCTTTGAAATATGGCCCCTTTTCCGTGCTGATAAACTGGAATCGCCTCTCAAAGAAGCGCTTAATACAGTTGACATCCCGATCAAAGTACATCTCGGCGTTTTGGTGATCCATCGAAACCATTTGCGGAAAGTCGATGATGACTGGCACAAGCCTGACTGCTTCTGAATCTCCATGATCGCCAGTAGTCGTGGATTCCCCATCAGCTGCACCAGAAGAATCGACTTTCTCCTCTTTGATCATAATGTTGAACTCGTTGAAGTCTCCATGAATGAGGCCATGCTTGGCCAATCTGAGAAGGAGAGCTATGAGCTCGGCGTACAAGCCAGCCGGGTCTGGTATTGACGATATCTGGCGCAGAGGGAATCCGTCGATGAGTGACATGACGATGGTGTGCCGTGACTGCGCCAAAGGATTGGGAACTGGGAAACCTTCTTCGTGGAGTGCCTGCATGAAGGCGTACTCTTTCATGGCAGCTAGCCTCGAAAGGTACATCCATGAGCCGCCCTGTCTCTTTTTGAGGTAGTCCCTGTTGGCCTTGACCGTGCGAAAGGATATGCGCCCGAGACGGTGGATTTTGAGCACTCTCTGTGTCCCGCTGTCGTCGGCCACGATCATGATATCGCTCTCCTTTCCCACGCCGATTCGGTTTCCCACGCTGTACACCTCCTTTCGCGATGCATACGTGTGTAGGGCAAGATAGTCGAGCCCGCCATAACTCAACCGGTAGCCGTCGTACTTGGCCTCTTTGACACGCGAGATAAGGCCGATCTTGGCAAGGTTCGATATGCTCCTGTGTACACCGCTGGCACCACCTCGCAGGCGCGAGAGCTTTTCTATCAGCGGGGTCGGGACGATCTCGTGATTCTTGCTGCCCATCTCGACCTGCACAGAAGACAAGAAGATTAGTTTGAGCGTCACTAAAGTAGTACTCCAAGGCTGGTGAGGGGTCTGCATACTGCGGTCAGGACTCGCCAGTCGTCAGCAATGAGGTGGCGCATGGCCTTGCTGTCTAACTTCATGATGGCGAGATACTCAGCGACACGTCTACAGCAGTTATTCGTACAAGTGAGTGCTGCGGGCCTTGGAGATCGAGGTGATGCGCAACCTCGAAACGGCGAAAAATTCCATGGACGTCAGGCTGGAAGGTGGGATGGCGATAAGGAAATTTCCGATTAGATTAGATATGGGCGCATTCTGGTGTACCACATATTCGAGACGGAAGTCGGATTATTTGCACCTTCCAGGCTCACAGCGGCCCACTTTTCCACCCAGAAGGTTTGATGGGGCGTGCCCTGCAGTCCAGCTAGGCGGCAAAGCCTCGCGTACCCATCCAAGAGCTCCAGTGTACAGTTGGTGCTGCCATCAACTCGACAGAGCTGTATCTCCATTACCTCACATCGACCTCTTCATCCACCCACGCGACTCAATCACGTTTCCCATTTCTCCCTCCCTTCAAATCTATCTCCGCCGACCAGCGCTGGCCGATATTCTGCTCGTGTTCGCCAGCACATCCAGCTCGCCGAGACACTCTGTGGGCTCGCAGACATCATCCTAGCCACCTCACCCGCGCCCATCTGTGAACATGGCGCAAGACAGCGAGCTGCCCAAGGCCAGCGACAAGGGCAAGGAGAAGGCTGTCGATGGGAAGGCTGAGGACGCCCCCAAAGGAAAAGATGGCAAGCCTGTTGCGAATGGAAAGGATGAGAAGGCAGATTGTAGGTGAACCTTGAGACCTCAGTATGTGCTCCAATGTCTTGCTGACAAACATTGCTTATAGCATCGGAGGAGCTCAGTGAAGAAGACCAGCAGCTCAAGAGCGAGCTCGATATGCTTGTAGAGCGCCTGACGGTATGATCTCCCGGACTTTTCGCACGCATTCGTTTGATGCTGACCCAAGCCCAACAGGAATCCGATGCTACCCTGTACAAGCCAGCCATAGACGCGATGAAGAACTTCATCAAGACGTCGACCTCATCGATGACTGCTGTCCCAAAGCCTCTCAAATTCCTACGACCGCACTACGAAACCATGACAAAGCTGTACGAAGAATGGCCGGCTGGAGATGACAAGAATTCATTAGCCGACGTGCTTTCTGTCATTGGCATGACTTTCTCGGATGAGGACCGACAGGACACCCTGAAATATCGACTTCTCGCCCCTTCTCAGGACATCGCGTCTTGGGGCCACGAATACGTGCGCCATCTTGCTCTGGAGATCGGCGAGGTGTACGCCAAGAGGATAACGGCAGAGGAGTCAACGCAAGATCTCGTTGATCTTGCAACGGTCCTCGTTCCCCTCTTCCTCAAGAGCAATGCCGAAGCCGACGCTGTGGACTTGATGAGCGAGATGGAGATCATCGAGGACCTGCCAAAGTTTGTGGACGAGAATACCTACGCGAGAGTCTGTTTGTACATGGTCTCCATGGTCAACCTCCTCACCTACCCCGACAACGACCAGTTCTTGCGCGTCGCTCACGAGATTTACAACGAATACAAGCAGTACACCCAGGCCATGGTTCTGGCCATCCGACTGAACGACATGGATCTCATCAAGGCCGACTTCGACCAGGCGCGTGATCCTGCCCTCAAAAAGCAGCTGGCCTTCTTGATTGCTAGGCAAAAGATCTGGCTGGACAACATGGAGGAGCTTGAGGACGATCAGATCACCGAGAGCCTGTGCAACATCCGGCTCTCGGAGCATTTCAAGTCGCTGGGCAAAGAGCTCAACATCCTCGACCCGAAGACCACCGAAGACATCTACAAGAGCCATCTGGAGAGCAGTCGCGTCGCTGGCATGACCAACCTTGACTCTGCTCGTCACAATCTTGCCGCCGCTTTCGTCAACGCTTTTGTCAACGCTGGCTTTGGCAACGACAAGATGATGCTTGTGGAGAAGGACAAGGAGAGTTGGGTTTGGAAAACCAAGGACGAGGGCATGATGTCGACGGTGGCATCCCTGGGAACCCTGCTCATGTGGGACATCGAGAATGGCCTCGACAAGATTGACAAGTACACGTATGCCGAGGAGGAACAGATTCAGGCTGGTGCCATGCTGGCCATCGGTATCATGAACTCTGGCGTCCGTCTCGACTCCGAGCCGGCGCTTGCCCTTCTGGGCGATGATGAAAAGCTGGGTCACAAGAACCCTCTTATCCGCACCGCTTCCATCATGGGCTTGGGTCTTTCTTATGCCGGGTCCAACAAGGAGGACCTGCTGGAGAAGCTTTTGCCCATCATCACCGATGCTTCACAGGACATGCAGATCTCAGCCATGGCCGCGCTCGCCTGCGGCCTCATCTTTGTTGGCTCATCACATGCCGAGGTCAGCGAAGCGATTGTCACCACCCTGCTCGACGATGACCGGAAGAACCAATTGACCGATAAGTGGACACGCTTCTTGGCTCTTGGTCTCGGTCTCCTTTTCTTCGGCCGCCAAGAGGAGGTCGATGTCATCCTCGAAACTCTCAAGGCTGTCGACCATCCCACCGCCAAGCCCACTGCCGTGCTTGCAGAGATCTGCGCGTGGGCCGGCACCGGCGCTGTTCTCAAGATCCAGGAGCTGCTACACATTTGCAACGAGCATCTTGAGGAATCAGAGGAGAAGAAGGGCGATGAGCTGCTGCAGGCCTATGCCGTCCTCGGCATCGGGCTGATTGCCATGGGCGAGGATGTGGGCCAAGAGATGGTTTTGCGGCAATTTGGCCACCTGATGCACTATGGCGAGGCCAACATTCGCAGGGCTGTCCCTCTGGCAATGGGCCTTGTCAGCCCCAGCAACCCGCAGATGAAGGTCTATGACACGCTGTCGAGATACTCCCACGACAACGACAACGACGTCGCGATCAATGCCATCTTCGCCATGGGCTTGCTCGGCGCGGGCACCAACAACGCCCGCCTCGCTCAGCTCCTCAGGCAGCTAGCGTCGTACTACCACCGTGACCAAGAGTCGCTGTTCATGGTCCGCATCGCCCAGGGCCTCGTGCACATGGGCAAGGGCACACTGTCCATCAGCCCCTTCCACACTGACCGACAGGTGCTCTCTCGCGTCTCGGCTGCGGGTCTCCTGGCGGTTGTGGTGGCCATGATTGATGCCAAGCAGTTCATCACCTCGAGCTCGCACTACCTACTCTACTTCCTCGTCACAGCTATGCACCCACGCTTCCTCGTTACCCTTGACGAGAACCTCAAACCCCTGACAGTCAATGTGCGCGTCGGCCAGGCTGTCGATGTTGTCGGCCAGGCGGGTCGCCCCAAGACCATCACCGGGTGGCAGACACAGAGCACCCCGGTTCTGCTGGCATTCGGCGAGAGGGCGGAGCTCGAGGATGAGGAGTACATCAGCATGAACAGTACTCTCGAGGGTCTCGTGATCCTGAAGAAGGCAAGTCTCACACGCACACCGCGTCTTGTTTATGTCTGATTCTCGCATTATACTAACACTTTTCCCCCTCGCAGAATCCAGAGTGGGAAGATGGCAAATAAGGGGTGGCAATGGATGGTACAAGAGGCAAACACCCGCCGTCAGCATCAAGTTCTCCTCTGAAAATATCTCGACAACTTGGTGCAGGACGGAAAGAGAAAACAACTCATGTATAATTACGCGCGATAATCATCCTAACTGCCCGAGCCGGCTGCAAGCCACCTCGGGCGGTGATTGATCATAAGGATAGACGAAGGGGAGCTTTATTCGGTTTTTTTTTTGTTATGATATGTCAACTCAGTTGTTGTGACCCGTCTCGGTTCCTTTTCTTCTCCCCGAACGGGGAACTAGAAAGGAATTGCTCCTTGAGAGGAGTTGCGAGTGCCCGTTCCCTCCTGAATTGCCTCGCCTGGCCAGTGCGTGTGGAACTGCTATATATCTTGGTGCCAGATCGGTTAGACCGGCGGAGAGATGGGTCCCCATGGACGCTTCTTTTGGTATATTAGAACACGCGCAGTCACTAGTACTTGTACAGTTGTTGGGACCTGGCTGGCCATGCGTTTGTGTGTCCTAAGACGATTCCTGTAGCATAGGTCGGTAAGTAAAGGAGGTCCATCTACAGGTAGGAAATTGATCCATGATTCCAGAGGGTTCCATGTCAAGCGTGAAGGCTGAGGTGGTGGTGGCTTGTGGGGACGCGCCTAGATAGGTACTTACTTTTAAAGTGATGGCGCGGGCGCGGGTAACGCATCCATCAATGTGCACGGGGCCCCGGATGACGCCACTCATAGCCTTGAGCCCCCATCAGATCAATGTGATAACAGCTACTCCGTATTGCCTCGGCTTCGACTCCCGCTCTCGGAAGTATTTCCCCCACAACGGGCCTCAACCCCAAAGGACAACTCTGTTTGCTCATCTACTCCTCGGCATCCAAGTGTTCTTTATTTCGTGTTTCTTGTCGTCTCCCTGGCCTTTCTGGTTACTCAAGAAGCGTTGCCAATCGCACATCCGTCGGGCTGCGACGTTAAATAACCGATACCGGTACTCTGACTCGACGACCAACATCACGAGCACACGCAAGACATCGCAGAGTCCCATCCAGCAGACATGGCGCGAACACAGCCAGCCTCGACCCTGCTCCTTCCCCTCCCCAGGGGCACTGTTCTCCTCCCGGGCGTTGTCCAGCGCATCCCCGCATCTGCCAACCGACCCGACATTCCCGCCCTGTTGTCCAGCGTCTATAGCCGTGCAGCCTCCAAGACGGCCAACGGCCGCGTCGATACCGTCCCCGTAGCGTGTGTACCTATAGCTTCGCCAAACGTCGGCCCTTATGGACAGCTCTTGATCAAGGATGTCGATCAGCTCGGCGAGGCAGCCGACGCAGCGCAACCTGATAGCAAGCGGCCCACCAAGGGGGACTTGTTCTCGTGCGGTGTTGCCGCCAAGATCACAGGCGTCGAGGGCCGCAGCTCTGCTGGTGAATTCTCCCTCCTGGTCGAGGGTCAGGCGCGTGTGAGGATAGAGAAGATCACCCAGGAACGGCTGCACTTCGAGGCGAGGGTAACATATCACCACGACGATAGTATGTCCAGGGTCCTAGCGCACCGATCCCTCATGGCAATGTTTCACCGCTAACAACACTTTCCAGTAAATGTTACCGATGCAGTCCTCGAGGACCACTTCCAACACCTCAAGACGTTGTCTCGTGAACTTGTCAACCTTCTCAGGATCTCTGCCATCCTCTCACAAGGACGGACAACTGCGAAACTTACACCACTGCTGGCGAGGCGCCTCGATGTGTTCATCAGTAAGAAGAAGATTGGAGAGGCAGGCTCGCTTGCAGACTTCATGGCCAACATCGTCGAGTCCTCATACGATGAGAAGTTACAGGTGCTGGCCCTCTTCGATGTCAAGGCTCGACTCGCGAAGGTCATCGAGTTACTTGAGCGCCAGATTGGCAACATAAAGAACAGTGTTAAGATCACAACCATCACCACGACGGCAATCCCGTTCACCATTGAGTCCGACAACGAGCAGAAAGAAGGAGAATGGAAGCCTCTCAGGCCAATGCAGGGTAGGCGGCCTGCTCTGCCCTTCGGCCTGCCATTCCAACCTGGCCAAGGGGGCAACGGCCCCATGGGCCAAGGTCCTAACAACGAACAGGAACCCGACGAAATTGGGGAACTGCAGAAGAAATTGGAGGCTGCCAAATTGAGCCCGGAGGCTGCCAAAGTTGCTGAAAAGGAGATCAAGAGACTCAAGAAGATGATGCCAGCGCAGGCCGAATACGCTGTGACCAGGGGATATCTCGAGACCCTTGCCGAGATTCCCTGGTCAGCAGTCACGGACGACAAGCTGGGCCCGGAGACATTGAGCAGAGCAAGAAAGCAGCTTGACGATGACCACTACGGCCTTGAGAAAGTCAAGAAGCGACTCACCGAGTATCTTGCCGTTCTCCGCCTGAAACAGTCTATCAACGAGGACGTTGATGCGCAGATCAAGAAGGCCGAGGAGGAACTGGTCGCAGCTGACAGCGAACCCAGCACCGATCCCGCACAATCGCCTGCCGCGGAGAAGAAGCAAGCAGCTAGCGCCCGGCTCGACATTCTCAAGAGCAAGCGCATGATGGACAAGTCGCCCATTCTACTCCTCGTCGGGCCTCCAGGAGTTGGAAAGACCAGCTTGGCCAGGTCTGTTGCTACGGCTCTGGGCCGCAAGTTCCATCGCATCTCGCTCGGAGGTGTACGAGACGAGGCCGAGATTCGAGGTCACCGGCGAACCTACGTCGCGGCGATGCCGGGCCTTATCATGCAAGGTCTCCGAAAGGTTGGTGTTGCCAACCCCGTCTTCTTGCTCGATGAAATCGACAAGCTGGGGACCTCAAGCTTCCACGGAGACCCGTCTGCTGCTATGCTGGAGGTACTCGACCCCGAGCAAAATCACACATTTGTTGACCACTACGTCGGCATTCCTTACGACTTGAGCAAGGTTCTATTCATTGCTACCGCCAACAGTCTTGACACGATCCCTGCGCCCCTGCTAGACAGGCTGGAGATGATCTATCTGCCTGGCTACACGACTCTCGAGAAGCGGCACATTGCCACGCAACACCTTGTCCCCAAGCAGGTCCGAGTCAACGGTCTTGCCGAGGATCAGGTGGCTTTCGATCAAGACGTCATCTCCAAAATCATCGAGTCGTATACCCGCGAGTCTGGCGTCCGCAACCTCGAGCGCGAAATCGGCTCTGTCTGTCGTGCCAAGGCTGTGGAGTTTGCAGACGCCAAGGACGGTGGCAAGATCGAGACTTACAAGCCGCAGCTCACTGTTGAAGACATTGAGCGCATCCTTGGCATTGAGAAATTCGAGGAGGAAATTGCCGAGAAGTCGAGCCGGCCAGGCATCGTTACGGGCCTGGTAGCTTACAGCTCCGGCGGTAACGGGAGTATCCTATTCATCGAAGTGGCAGACATGCCGGGTCACGGAAGCGTGCAGCTCACTGGCAAACTGGGCGATGTTCTCAAGGAAAGCGTCGAGGTAGCCTTGACCTGGGTCAAGGCTCACGCGTACGACTTGGGCCTGGCTGAGAGCCCTGCCGAGGATATCATGAAGAACCGCAGCATCCATGTGCACTGCCCATCCGGCTCAATACCCAAGGACGGGCCTAGTAGCGGCATGGCGCAGGCGATCGCCCTGATCTCGCTCTTCTCGGGCAGAGCAGTCCCCCCAACGATGGCCATGACGGTAAGACCCCCTTGCTCTCCGAGCAGCCGATATTTCTACGCCAAAAGGACCCTCACATTTCCCATGTTCTCAGCGTGGACAACGTGGCTGACGCGAAGGTGTGACATTTTAGGGCGAGATCTCACTCCGCGGCCGGGTCACTGCCGTCGGAGGAATCAAGGAGAAACTAATCGGAGCGCTCCGGGCAGGCGTCAAGACGGTGCTGCTACCCGCGCAGAACCGTAAGGATGTCAAGGACCTCCCTCAGGAGGTCAAGGATGGCTTGGAGATTGTGCACGTCAGGTATGTCTCATCACACGTCCCTGCTTCAGCCCGTCGAGTCCACCCCTCCACACCGTGTGACGAAGCACTGCAACTACCGACCGGTATTCGATCCCTTTTGCTGACCCTATTTGTCATTTGTTTGCAGCCACATGTGGGAAGCGATCCACCACGTCTGGCCGGACGCGCACTTCCCTGGCGAGCAGCAGTATGCAGCCCTCGAGAGTCATCTGTGATAGATGCATTCCACGTCACAACGCTCTACGTTGGCAGCGGGGATTGTCGTCAGTGAAGACGGCATTAGTATGGACAAGTACCAAGACCTTTAGCGAATCAAACGTGTGTACATTACTTCCTCTACGTCCCTGGGGCACAACTCGCCTAACCCACGCATCACACTATGCATGTCTTGGTTGTTCCCCCTTCCCCTTTTCTCAGAGGTTCATTGGTATAGAAGGTAAGCGAGGTGTTGCCTTGGCTTGTGTTTCTCGCGGTTACAAGACGATCCTTCCTGAGGCATTAGGTAGATGTGTACAAATGTTTCGCAACCTTTTCTGCCCCCTTTTCCGTCCACAGTTGGCGACTCTTTGTCCTATGTTCCCTACATACTGCAGCCAGGGCCACGTTGTCGTTGCGTTGCGTCGTGGGAGTCTCGATCAGGATAGAGAGAGCACGCTTTGGAGCAGTGCCTGCATGACCGGTAGACGGTTCTACGTTACAGATAGAGGATGTCTCTCGTCTAGATACCGAATCGAGCCAATCCCAGGAAGCGAAGGGGGATGCTGTCGTGCCCCGACTGGCCCAGGTAACGGCGCCCGGCAGAGAATGCACATCGAAGCAGCACTCTGGCCTTTTTGCGCGGTTCCATATGCATATCATAAGCTGACGCACAGCTTGTCAAGGTCATGCCCTCCTCGGAAGCGCCCCGGAAGGCCCCAAGTCTGTGTGTGTCTTTTCGATCCATTTGGTGCGAGGGTCCCTTTTCGCTTGGGACAGAGTGGTTGCGTGAATCCATGTAACGCCCCTGTGCACGCACAAGGAAAAAAACCGTTCGTTCGCCAACGACTGCAGCAATGTCTCGGCTCCAGTTGCGTTGGCTTCTCTCGGGTTCCTCCCTGGGTCGCTGAAAAATCTGGGCCCTTACTTTCCGAGGTCTGAGACATTGGCCATGAAGTATCACACTGTGTTGGGATCACGGCCGGCTCATCGCGTTACCTGCAAGTGTCCGACCCCTACCTAGGTGGCGCGGAGAGGTTGAGTCTTTGCTGGGCCAGCAGCGGAAGGGTCGAAGCCGGGGGCGGACAGGCAGGTACGCGTGTGTGTGAGGCTCAGGAATCGGAATGCCGTTATACACTGGGTTTCGGTGCATCGTGGCGCATGAGACAGGCGTAGGGTCAGACCTTTGGGGGGGGCCACTCGGCCCAAGGAGCGTGCATCCTATCGAAGATGATATGTGACGGGGTCCAGTAAACCATCTTTTTTCTGAAAGTATGCAGTCTAGATTCTCGGTTCTTCCAAAGCCTGGCAGCCTGGTGAGATGGGCCGTTTGGCTCCGATAGCCAAGGCAAGCTCTTTCTCAAGATCCCGGGGTTGAGGAGAAAACAATCCGACGTTCACGACGTCACCCCGGCGCTCACGCATGGATTGCAACCCATTTGGGCGATACTATCTTGCACTTTAATCTACTTGAGAATCCCCCGAGCTCCCCGGAACGAACCTAGATCAGCTGAAGTTGCCTGTCTTGAATCTCGATGTCGACATACCTCACTTGTCTCTTTCAAGCTGTATTCCAGGAGGCCTCTTATCAATTTGGGGTAACCTCTGGAGTCAATTGCAAAAAGGTGTCAGCCAGTATGGTCTTGACTTGGTACAGACCTTGTTCTTCTTCCGACTTCGGTACTGATGGCAAAGGTTCCAAACCAGGATGCTGGGGGTACTCACTCTGCATTTCCCACACTACATCTGGTGCACACAACAACCAGGTACTTGTATTCGATCTCTACCCGTGCAATTACAGATTAGCTCCTCAGCGTCGACACGTCATGAGATGCGTAGCTTTTCTTGCCAACCAGCCCCATTCCCACGCGGTGAACCAGGCTCCGCGGGCATAGAATGCCCTGGTTTAGGGAAACCCCACCATCGCACCCACCGATAACCGCACGAGAGTTGAATTGCATGCAATATAGGAGGGAGGCTCTTTGAGCCACATTACCTGGTAAGATGCGTCCCAGAGGGCGTCGTGTCGGGCGGGATGGGTTAGAAGGGGGATGCGGAAACTCCGCCTCCGGTCCTTTCCATGAGTACCAAGCTTGGTATCTTTTTTTTAAGGCTTTCTTCTTCTGCTTCTTCTGATATTGGCGCACAAAAAGACCAGACACTGTCTGAATAGAGCATGTTTGTTCTTGGGTTAGACTAGGACGGCCATGCCATGCCGTGTGTACTGACTGCCTGCCCGTGCCCTCAAGAGTGGAAATTCACTTGTATGTGCTTGCAGGCGGTTTCATACAGCACTGGCCAGACCACTCATCCGCGAAGATACATGGAGAAGAAAGCCGAAAAGAGAAGCAAAAACGATCTCACTTCCTTCTATTGTGAGCTCGTGAATCGTCATCGAGTTGCCCGTGGGTTGCAGTGCGTTGATACCACAACTCAGTCTTTGTGCAAGAAGCAATATTGAGCTTCTTTTAACCGCGACAGAGCAAAAGGCCCATCTACGGACGTGGTAGCACCTTTTCATATAAGTAACCTGCTATAGGTAGGTAGGGTGGTTTCGGATTAACAGCGCAGGTTAAGGATGACCATCCTGTCAGCCTTATCCGGCAGTACTATGCACGAGAGTAGCTCCCGAACCATTCCCAATAATGGCCGTAACTGTGAATTCTACATGTCCCGGCATCCTACGAGCCCATGGTCGCGTGGAGAAAGGAGGCAGAAATGATCACCAGATCATATAGCCCAGGCTGAACGGTAGGAGCAGCATCGCGAGTTCGGGTCGGAGAGCCCTTCCCAATGTGGCAACTGCCTTCAGACAGCCTTGAACGCAGTCCAAGATAGCATGGGAAAATAGTGCGACGGCTTACACGCTTGGTCTGGCAATCCTTCGCACTGATCTGAGACTCCCGTTGTCAAAGACAGGGGGGGTCCAGAGGACGGCGGATACCAGTAGGCCGCGGATCGCCCTGGGCAGGGAACTGCCAACCTTACTGATGACAAGAGTGTACAAGTCAGTGTAATCCTGTTTGGAGTGTGACGTGGATCGTTCTTTCATCTCAAGTCGAGTCGCTGTTTGTCAGTGACCTGCATGCATTCGACGGCCCGTGTCAAGCATGCAGCCCTGGAAGCTGGGCAATGGAACCGGCGGCTATTTCTGTCAGTCTCTCACCCAGGCCCCCCCTGCTCTGTCCGTCAAATCCAGATTGGGTGCCTCCTTCTTTTGCTCGTCGCCCCTTCGCGAGGCGTGTCACAGCTGTGCGCAGGATGTAAGCGTCGTCTCCAGGGTCGAGACACTCTATACTTGTAGACATGATGTGGGCAAGAGAGAAAGGGTGGAACTTGACCTGGAGACGCACGGGCCAGGAGGAGGAGTATGAGACTTGGGAGAGATCTGTGCAAAATATCCGATGGGATTGACGCCCTGGGCAGATCGAGTGAAATTCATTCGGCATATTATCCCCTTGAGCATGCTCATTTCAGGTATATGTGGTTGAAAGCGATAACATATGCGTACAGACTGGGGCCGTTACGAGGCCCGAGGCATGGTGGTTATTCTCCGATAGGCGAAATGAGAAAGTTATGCGTCGTGTGCAGGGCAGACAGGGGGGGGCCGCGCTCGAGCACATCTCCAAAAACCTCGCTTTACGTGTGGAGGAGCGTGTGCATACTTACAAGTACATTGTGCTCCCTTTCGTGATCATCCCCGGCACGGTAGGATTGAGCATGGAGCAGCTTGCTAGACTGATGTCACCGACAGGTCAGGAGAAAAAGGGTTGGCGAGCTCATAAACTTCGTGGTCTAATATCAAAAGCTCCGGCTCATTTTCAACCCTGGTCAGCCTCGACGAGAGATCAGGCTGGACTTAGACCTTTCGTCATGCGTGGTCGTTCAGGACGCTCGTCGGATACCATGGCCTCCAAGGCCATCTCGCAATCTCTTATTAGATGATAGACAGCCCCATGTCGTCAACGATAAAGCAATTTCCGCAACTGGCAGAAGGGTGTCGTACAGGAACTGTGGGACAATTCACGACTTGACATCCCTCAATCATGTCCCGAATTCTGGCAAAACGGAGGGTCGAAGATATGTAGCGAACCTGAGCTTGGTAGCCCGAGCCTGGACGAGCATTGAATAAAACAGCCAGCCCACAAAAGGGCGGATGACATGGAAAGAAGGTGTTCCATGTGTGTCGGACGAGCGTTCCGGCGACAGCACGTTACGGAACAGCGTTTGGCGTCTCCCGTTCGCTCAGTCGGCGACCACAATCTTGAATCATTGTCGAGGTCACAGCCCCCCGGTCGTCTATAGATGCCAACTACCTAGAATGAGATCAGCAGGCTGGGCCTGGGTGCATTCCTTGTACGTACGTACATCTGAGCGCGTGTGCACCCTGCACCCCAGAAGACTGGCAGACGTCGTTAGATCTCTCTCTGACTGCAAGGATAGGTACAGGCTGAACAATCATTTGTGGAAGATGTGCAGCAGGTGCTGTAACTAATGTGTAATGAGCCCAAAGAGGTAAGTGGGAAGCTGCTTTGGATCCCCTGGGAGCCGTGCACGAGAAGGCCAGATGGTGGGCTCCGTCGCCCCGTGGAAGATTGCCTGGCACGCCTGGCACCCTGGACGATGGAGGCTAGGCACGGTAGTCATCCTTGTCCGGCCCGCCCCCTGGGTTATATTACCGCAATTAAAGACAGGAGAAGAACAGGTGTTCGCCCACCCGCCTGGCCTAATGCGACCTGGAATCTCGGTACGAAGGCTGGGGATAGCCGCTAGCGTCGTTCCGGGACCACCGTACCGTAACCACTTACCCATACCAGCCCGCACTTTGGCTGTGGACCTGCGGATATCCCTGGCTCACGCCTATTGTCCGCAACGACATCTGTGCGAAGAAGCGCTGACTAGGATATTCCCAAGAGCCCGACTGGGTGGGGAGAGAGGTCCGGGATACCCAGCCATGGACTTGCTGTCCGCGGGGACTCTGTGGTCGAGAGGTCCAGTTCATTGAGACGCACCTAGGGCGCATAATGTTACGGGAATACTGTCACACACGCCGTGTCGTGCATGCATGGATCCTGTCGATCGGATGAAGGAATGGCAACACAAAAAGTGATAGGATTAGGGTCGAGGATCTCAATTCGCCGCCAACCCTGATCATGGCTAGAGTCGAAATGATTCCGGACAAGGGCTTAGGTGGGATGATGGCCCAAGCACCAGACTGCTTGCCTCGGCCGTTGAGTAAGTGGCTGCGTTTCCAACAGGATGATGACTTGCATATCTTCTCGGTACACATACTTGTAGCCAACACTACAAGTAGGCATGCCGCGAGCAAGTGACAGGCTAGATAGGTAGCCTTGCTCCTGCTCTATTTCGAGGCGTGCCTACTCCGTACAAGGCACGTTGCCGAGACCTGCCTCGACTATGCCCGTGTCGTGGTCGTCCAACAGCTGCTTCAAAGCCGTTTGAACTGGGCAGTCGGTGTCGTCCATTGGAGCAGGACGTCGAGTCTGGATCATTCACCGGTAACGCATGAATGAACGGTAGAGAAAGGCTCCAGCGGCGTAGGTAGACAGAGCAGCACTGCATGTCAGGATGGACAGGAAGTCTGTGCTCCTCCGGGGCCCGGGGGTCCTGGCGCATGAAGCAAAGACCACCGCGGGTTCAGTGCTGTCAGGGTCAGGGTCAGAGGGATCCGCTTGAGGAGTCGTGCCCACAAGCTCGGACCCCACTGCTTGAATGTCAGCGAAATTAGAGTCCCAAGCCATGTGGTTGGAGTGCGTCCCGTATCGTTAGGGTAGCATTCCACGATGGATCTGGGCGAGGGTTCACCGTTCATCCCTGCCATTCACTGGTCAGATGTGCGCTCCCATGAAATTGAAATGACAGCCGCAGTCAGGATCAAGGGGTAGCATCTGTGTTCGTCCCAGCCTGGAGAGGACCAGCTTGGTCAAGAGGAGGAGCAAACGCGTTCTTCTGCATGATGTGGCCAGTCTTGCATCTCGCTAGTACCTGCATTGGCGCGGTATCGGGGTACACTCTCCTAGGAGGGTCGCGGAACGGCACCTTGGGTAGAAACCTTAGCCGTCGGAAGGCCTGAAGTGATCAGCGAGTCGTCGAGCATGGGCCAAGAGAGTCACCGTGCACCTGACAGGCCCTGGACCTCTGAGCTCTGAGCTCTGACGACATCAGCTAATGGCCACGGCGGCGCCAACGGTGTGAGGCCGCCGTCTCAGGTGGTTCTCCATTGGCCAATGGGTCGCCCCTCTGATCGGTCGTTATTGTCCGGGCTGCGAAGCGTGCCTTACTACGGAGCAGGGCAGACAACTAGGTAAATTGCGTCCTGTGAGAACTGTGTCGAGGCTTCAGAAAACAGGGAAGCCGAGGTGGCCGCCCTGCAAGCCTGAGCCGGGCCACCTTGCATGGGCCATGTTCGCATGTTAGACCCAGCTCCAGCCCCACGTTGGCACCAGTAGCGCGCTGATAGTTCCATGATGAGAAAGCCCGGGGGTTTGGTTGCGGGCTCCATCTAATATAAGATAGCGTTACCGTCTTCCATGCACAATCGTCAAGGGGACCTCCAGGAGCGAAACCGTACGTACAAGCTGCATGGATGTAGGTAAAGGTACAAGCACCTACGGAGGGAGGGGAGCGGAGCGGAGCTGCTGGGGGGGAGGGAATGCAGGTACCTACCTTTCTGGGATACCAAATCTTGCATTGTGATGGCTGCACAGGATTGGTTTGCTGGGATCTGTTGGACTTGGAACTCGAAAAGGATCATCTCAAGTCCCAAGTGATGATGGCACACTGCTCGCTGCACTCGGTACATCCTTCCTCGCGGGAATCCCTAGCACCCCCCGCCCCACTCCCCCTTGAAGAGCAAGAGCCAACGTCTGTGTGTTAGCGTTTAGTGCATGCGCATGTAAGTACAATATGTGTGTGTGTGTGTGTGTGTGTGTATCTGGGCGGTGCGCTGTCTGTTATTCCTGCCGTCTGCACCTGCATGTGCACGCACACATGCCCCATCACGCCCCATCGCCCCTTCTTCTTCTTCAAGTTCAAGATCAGATAGAGAGACAGACTTCCCGGGCAGGCAAACCAACCTTGGAAGTTCCTGTTGTATTGAACGTGATAGCCTCGAGCATCCCGAGCTCCTGCCATCCTTCACTCATGCTTACAATTGTAAGGCACCAGCTCCTCCTCCATCACGGTCACGGGGCCACCTTCCCAACAGCATCAATGATACCCCGAAACCCCTTGACATGAATTTGATGGATCATTGATCGTGCGATGCCCCTCAAGGATCAAAGATGCTCAGGCACCGTGCGGTAGATCTTGATCGCCGTGGTGCTCTGATTCCACTGTCGAATGCCTGTAACCGGATCTCATCTGACCATCCAATGCGCTCGCTCGGTACTGGTTTGAGTGTCTTATAGGCGCATATGCCAGCCACCCTTTCATGTTAACCAACCACTGAGCGACTCGCTTGTCGTGCATCCTGGCGGGAGATCTGATCTGCTTGGTCGTCTGAACAGAGGCCCCCGTATCACATTCAAGCCATTCTCCGTGGGTGCCAGCACATACGGCCGCCCTGAAACTCACGCACGCTATTCAACTGACTGCTAGAATCGAGCAACCAAGTCCTTCGAGATAACCTCGTCTCACTGGCGAATCATCTTGGCCTCTGCTTCTTCAATTATCGTCATAGCGCGCCGCGTGGACCATCTTGCCCATCCGCCGGTCGAGCATGGCTCGCAGCCGGACATGCCAACCGTGCCGTAGTTCGACATGGCTATCACACCCTCATCAAGGCTTATTTGAGACTGTGCCATGGCTTGGCAATTGCTGGTTCCAGACGGTCCTGCTGGACACAACTACCCACCCAACATGATATTTTAGCCTCGTCTAGGGTTGAAGCCATCGTCATCAGCCAAGTGTACGAGGATCCACCCAACACACAAACCTCATAGCGAAAACCATTCTTAGCGCAACGGCTTTGATCAAGAGCCAGAGCCTGGGTAGGGACTCAGATCGTCACGGCCGCGGCGCACGCGGGAATCTGACCAAGAAAGCTATCGTGATGTCTGTACTCCGGAGTGCCAGGAGGAGCGTCCCAATTAGACCCGTACACGGCGCAGCTCATCCATCCTCTTCTCGACGTGAGCTCAGCACGGCAACCAGCTCCGCAGTAACTAGTTGACAGCGTCGACTTCGACTCTACCGACCTCAAGATATGCGAGACATATCGCTCGCCCCCGAGCCAAATTGCGCTGGACTTTGTCTTACTGCTGCTGTTGCACATCTTTGCGCCAGCTTGATACGTTGCATCTAAGCGGAGAATTTGCGTGATCCAGAATAGACGAGCATGAGACCGCCGAGCCGTGCTTGCTGTCCGGGCAGGCATGCAATGCTTCCCCAGGGATCAGCACTTGGGAAAGAATCCTTGTTCGGTTTGCTTGATATTTTACTCCCTGGAACCATGAGGGTTCGAGGGCCGGGGAGCGTGGTGGTGGCATAGCTCCCCTACCCTTGATGTCCCTTGATTAGACGGCCACCCATGACCGTTGACAGGGGGGGCCTTGTCCCCTCTCTGTTCACTCTGGCTGGCATACCCCTGCTCTGCTGGGCTCTTGTCTGGATTGCTCCGTCACCTTTAAGTTGCACGACCACCAGTCTATTTCTCTACTTGCTCGACTTGCGCGCGCAACGGCTTTACCAGATAAGCGACTCGTCGACAAGTCGAATCTTGCTTTCCAGCGCTGTCTTGGATGGCCCATTCACTCTTTTCACATAGCCGTCAACCGCCTTCTCTAGAAGACCTGCACCTGTCCGACTCTCCAGCATCCATGAGCACCGCCGCATGCAGTAACACTACGATCCAGAGACTCATTGACCATAGTACTACAATGCAGCATTGTGTCTGACCTGCTGCTCCCTCGCGTACCGCCGCCGCCTCCTTCTCAACAACTGCTTCCGAGTTCGAAGCTCTGTGGGATCATCTTGTGGACCGCCTTGAAAAAGGGTCAAAAGCCGGCACTCTCTCGGCTTCCCGGTTGCTGAACCGCATCGCCTGCCCCTTCGCTGCCCCGGCCGCTTCCAAGACTGATCGCCTTCCCACAGCGCTGGAGCCCAGCTTCAAAAGAAGTCGGACGACTTGTTGAACCGATCCCTAGGTGTCTGATGTGGGCAGAAGAGGTGGCGTAAGCTCAACCAACGGTTCGACCTGCAAAAACGGGGCGCTCATGTCAACAGCCATCTCGAAACGGAGCCTCAGTATCGTGGTGACCGCTTCGGGAGTCCCGCAACCGCCCCATCTCCCACCCTTCCCAGCGCGGCGGTGAATGAAGATCTCTGCCCTCCCGCTGAGTCTGGCAGTTTCGAATCCATGCAAGTCCTAGGTCACCGCCTCGACGTTTCCAACAACACACTCGGCAGGTGTCGAGGTACGCCCCCGCCGGCGTTCTCGGTCCTGAATTGTTCCTGGGACACATCAGACTTGAAGAGCGCTACCCGACGCAGGGACTACCCATCTCCGCCGATGTCCGGAACTCCACCTCTCCCCTCGAAACCAACTCATGAGTCCGGTGGTCGAGCTCGGGATCCCTACCAGACAACACCAGACCAGGACATCTATCGAGGGTATGCTGCCACGCACGGCGACTTCAGAGATCCGCACGGCCACTCCCAACCGATCAGGCGTTATGGCCAGGCCGCAGAGGGGCCGCGGCCAGGCTTTGCTCGGACAGACGAGTCCATCGCCTTATCCCGGCCCTACCCGGTACAGCATGGAGAAGCCATGGTGCCCCAGCACTCATATCTGCCGCTGCCTGCTCCATTGCCTGTCCAGCCAAACTATCCCGTCGCTTCGCAGCCCCCGGCGCCCGAGAACCCTACGTTTTCTTCTCCAAAATCCCAGAGGAAAACAAAGGGCCATGTTGCCTCAGCATGTGTGCCTTGCAAGCGGGCCCACCTCCGGTAAGTCGTCGACGTCCGCCTCGGTCCAACCCATCCAATGCAAGGCTAATGACCCATAGGTGCGATGGTATGTTACTGCCTTATTTCCCCTGCCTGATATCTTCCCCCAATCACGATCAATCGTTCGTTTCATCGAGAGGCGGGCTCGAGTCCATATTGCAGCCGAACAACGGGAAAAATTACCCTCGTTGGGATCTGGCCCTGAAGCCATACCCTCAGTCTTTTCCCCTTTTTGTCTGCCCTGGAAACTGCAACGGGATTGTTCTTCGAGCAGTGAGCAGGGATCTGCTCGTTGATCTGAGACGGGCCCAAAGTAGCATGATTGCCCCGGACGAGTCAGAGCTGATGCAAGATTTGGCGGGTCTGAAGCGAGTGTCAGATTTACCCGTTTCTGGAGCCAAGGCAGGAGATCCCATTTTGATCATCTAGCAAATTTCTCTCCGCCTCGCGGAAGCTCGGCCCGGTGGGGGGTTGAAACCCTCAAGTGAGGTGCCGTCAAGCAGATCGATCTTGAAAACCTGTCTCGTTTTGGCGAGGAAGCAGGCATGATTCAAGTGTTCAGCCAAGTCAACTTGACGGCAAGTTTGGAGCATTGAAAACTCAGAACGCCCACTCCATGGACTTGGCACCGTTGGCATTCCTGCATGCGATGTTATCTTGTCTTCTCACATGGCAATGAAATCATGGGATCTCGTCCTGTCTGAGCCAGGCATCAAGCTCAGCAGAACATGAGTGGCTGGAACCTTGACTAACCAGGCCACAGCCCAAAGACCGTGTTCCAGATGCCTCAGCAATGGCAAAGAAGATGCTTGTGTCGATGTACAGCATAAGAAGCGTGGCCGTCCGCGATTGCGTGAGGACAGGGACCTGAGGTATGACATCCCTGGGAGATTGGGCTACCCACAAGAAACATCGGCACGGCGGCCTCTATCGTTGTACGCTTCCAATCCTGTTGCTCCAACATTCGAAGATTCACTTCGCCGTACACAGTCATATAGGGTATTGAAGTCGCAACCCGCTGATCCTGTGGTGCCAAGGTTCATTGAGCGAGGATCTGCATCCGACGCGAACATCATCCCAGCGCCATTGACGATCTCAACGCGCATACCCGAACCAGCGGCCTTTTTGACCATGGACTTCCAGATAGCAAAGCTTTCAGAGACCTTTGCCGATGCTGTAGGGATCCAGAACGCGAGGGGGTTGAGGCTGGTGGATCTGGTCGCACCAAGCGATCGCGATCGCCTTCATGGACATCAACGCCAGATGCAACAAGAGCAAGCCCGAAGAGACCCACACTACCTACCGCCCATCTTTGGCAGACAGGAGGAGGACAGGGTCATTCAGAGCCTGGGATTCTCCCCAGAGGAAATATCCAAGTACTCCTTGGACAAGCACGAATTCGTGACATTCATCAGCCAAGACGGCCAGCCGAGGAATTTTGCGATGCGTCTGGGCCTCGCGAAACAAGAATCGGTATACTTCGTGGTTGTTCACCTGAACACTGGCGTGCGATCCCTGGGCCATCCCACACCATCACCCAACCCCCGCGATGTTCGAGAATCGCATTTCGCGTATCAGCAGCCGTATCAGCAGCCCTTTTCGCAGCCGACTCCAGTATCGGCCACTTTTGAACCTCGACGACAGCGCCTTGGAGACACGGCATACGTTGGTTCAAGACAGACGGGACCCCCTGGCCAAGGCGCCCCGGGTCAAAGTCCTGGCTTGCCGTCATCCTACGCGGCATCGCCTAGTCGACCAGACTATCCTGCGGGGTCGTCGCCGTATCAAATACCCAGGAGCGAGTTGGGTACATCCCATATGGGCGTGCAATCATCGGGGTATCGCTTGCCTCCCATCCTGGCACCACAGCAAGCAAGTCAGACTCCAAACGAGCCACCAACGTGGCCACATCAACGAGATGACAAATCTCGTGTTGATATAGGCGGTCTGATCGAGAGGCCAAACCCTCCTGGAAGGCAACATTGATGCGCGCCAAGCCCATGTCCTAGTGAGGGGACGAAGAGGAGAATGATTGACGTGAAGCACGTAGCACCTGGCTTGGCTCACCGGTGCTAGCCACGCTGAGCAGTGCTGCTATCATGCTCAAAGGATCGAACCAGCAGTCGGGACCGTCAATAGGGCCGGAACAGGGTCGACTTCGAGTCCAGAAGGACTCGCGTATCCTCTGCGGCTGGTTCTCCCGAGCAGGTATCCCATTGTATTCTGTGGCGTTGTGCGAGTCGGTTTGATAGACTTGACATCGAGTATCCCATAAACCAAACTTTTTTGTACAACAGTATGGCCGAGAAGATGGATTCTAACACACACACTGGCGGAACGGGTAGAGTTGGCTGTGTGGGGGAGGGACGGATGATTTCTATTGCGATCTAGACGGCCTTTTGTATTTGAGTCGGCGTGGTCGTTGCATTCCCGAGTTCATAGCGGAGCGAGTCTTTGGAAAGTGGTGTCCTGTGATCGGTGGTTCGTGGCCACTAGAAGGGCTGTAACATAATCGGCGATGAGTTTGGAGATTTTTTGTTCAGGGACAATTTGAGAAGAAGCCGGAGTTTGGGAGCCCAGAAGAGAACCTTCACATTATCGGTATTACTTGGAGAGTTGTCGGTTGTCCTCTGGCCCAAAGCCGGAGGCGCGTCTCAACGCGCCAATGATGGGTGATATCGTTTCCAACACACACAAAGACAAAGATCAGGAAAATGGGGTCCGCCTGTGGTCTTCTTCATGATGATTCCTCAAGGGAAAAGAAGGCTTGGATCGTATGCGAGAATTCAGGGTTCTGGGTAAGGAGAGCGGGTGAGGAGGGAGGTACAAGTTTGCAAGCCGAGGGAGGTTGGGGCCGCCAAAAGAAAGAAATGGATGCGTGTGAGAGTCACGCCCGCTGGTGGCACGCAGGCAACGCCAGAGCCGACAGACAACACGCTACCTCGATGTGGGCAATGGTTGTTGGGAATCCATCGATATATAACACGAGGCGATATAACTAATACGTTCGAGGTTCGGCGTCACAATGTGGGCTCCAGGGTTACTTGGATGTAATAATGTCAGCGCGGGTATAACTGCCATTATAAGTAATACAGGGCAGGAAGCACTCGAGGCTCAAAAAGATATTGCCTGTTCCGTGCATACATTGATCCGTCTGTTGTCAACACCCACGGAAGCGCGCGCCTTTACACCGCATCGTATTCCTGGGCCTCCTGACAGCGGATCGGCGAGATCTTGGCTGGCAAGGGACTGGGGCTGCTGGCAATCGGGGAATTTTTGGCGGGTTTGCTTGCCTTAGGGCTGCTGCAGTGGAGATCACTACATCAAGAGGCGCACCTAGCCTCAAGCGGTACCTGAGATGGGTGGGAGGGGATGGTGCCCACAGGTGGTTGGTTGGGTGTCACTTGCAGCACCCGCGGGTAGGTGCCCAGGTGGTTTGCGGGCGTTGGCGCTAGCGCTAGGGCGCAGCCTAGAAAAAACCCCGATGACCTCCCGGGCTGGCGCTGGGGTTACCCCGTCTGCGAGGACGCCACGAGGCGGCACCGCCAAGGGTCAACGTTGGATGGCGGTTTGGTATGGGCGGCCCATGTTCCAATTGCGTGCAGGAACAGACCAAAGCCGACTGGGCGTCTGCTGGAGATTGTGTCTCCCCAAGATTATGCCATCTCTTGATACCTAATACTAAGTATGTAGGTACTTTGTACAAGACAACCAAGCGAGACATAACGATACAGACCATCACCTTCTGCAAGCGCGGCCTATGGACATGGTAGGTAGTGTCTTGATACTGAACTGGAGAGAAAAAAAAACCGATCAAGTAGAGGCCATGTAGGACTTCGGCATCTCAAAAATGGGAGAGCGTCTTTTGCATCCCGTACGTCCGGCCGCATATCATACAATATCTTGATCCATTGCCCGAGGCCGCGGCCGAGACGCAGGCTGATAAGATCAGGCTGACTCGATCAGGCGGCTTCGCCTACGTTTCCTCTTCCTCTTGTGGTGGACTGCCTTGCTCGGATGCTGGTCCCATCCGATCCTCGCTTGCCTTTCCTTCTCGCATAGCTCCTTGGCAGCATTCAGTCTCGTGCTTCTCTTGCACAGGCCCCTCGTCGCTGGTTTGTGACGCAGAGGGTCCTTCTTTCACCTTGATCCTCTTCCGCTTTGGCTGGGCCTCCGTCACTCTCTCGGACTGTTGGGAACTAAAACTCGAAGCATCGGCACCCTGCTTCAGCATCTTATCGAGATCTCGCATCAGCCTGTCTTCTCCCGGCACGTCCGCCTCATGCCGGCTCTGCTCGGCCGATCTTGACCTCTTGATCCCCCGCAGATCATCGTCCATCTGCTGCTGCCGCGCCCGGGAACGCGTCATGGGCCTCGGTGACGGGACAGCCAGCAGCCGCGAAGATGCTCCTGGGCTGGATGTTGCGCAGATGATGCTCTGCTCCGCTTTTGCTGTGCCGGCGGCATTTTCTGCACTTCATTCCGCCTTAGAGACTAAACCCAAGGGGAATCTCATCATCTCGGAAGGTTTCAATACTCACCTTCGCTTTTGTCGACTCGATGGATTGTTGACGGAGGGCGACGGCTCGTCGCCCCCTTGAAGAGATGACTGTTGACTCATAACCACTGAGTTGTTCAATCCCTCGACAAAATGACAAGGGTCAAATATGGCTTCGAGAAAGTTGTGCAGTGTATATCACTGGCTGGCTGAAAGGACAGCTTCTATGACTGATGGTGGCTTCGGTGGTCAACCCTACGAATGAATGGATATCAACATCGGTCAGGACACGAGACATATGGGGAAACCTTCTCGAGCTTTATATGATCTGGCGGTGGTCAAATGACTTTCTGCGAGCATACTTCACAAAAAAAACAAGAACAGTTTGCCCAGTTTGCCCATCTCGGGCGGCAAACAGCCGAAAAGACCGCATACCGAAAACGCCATTATCCCAAAGTCACATAGGCCCATGATTGACAGATGCACAGTCAGAAGTGAACCAACAAGGGCCTAGTGGCTGCCTTGCGGCACACGATCAGGTGCAAGCCTGGAAAAGGCAGCTCATGCCCCGTTGTAGACAAGGAAGCTAACCAAAGTGATCAATAAACTCCCGGAAGGCTTGGCCAATCTATGAGCACGACTTACACGGGCTGGTAAGGGGTGGTAGTCATCCCTGTTTTCCGGCGAGTAGGGGTCGTGTTGGGGGCCAGGAATCCAACGAGCACCCAGGCAGCATGTTAAAATCATGCATTGGCGGTCAGCCAGCTTGCTTGTGACCTGAGTCAACTTCAGCCATCGTTGAAATATCGGCTGGCTGGTCCTACAACTTGGACAGCCTGCAAAGACTCATCGAAAACGCCGAACTGCGTCTTCAAGGGACCAACAGGAAGGGCTGTGTACTACGCAGCCACACAACGAAACTGAGACATTTGAATACACACGGAGAGAAGCTGGTGGTGGTTCAAAAAATGAGGCTGTATACCTTTGCCCTGAATCTGAAGTTGGGCACCGGCAGGGCCTGGGCAACTTGTTTGCCGGTCTTGGCTGTTTTGTTTCTGGGTCCGCTCGTTCCTTTCATACAAGAGAGATATGTTATTGCGAGGATATGCAACCCGCCCATGCCAGTGAGCAGTCAGGGTTGTGACGAGCCAGCTGCCTTACGGAATCCGGGGTGCCTTGTAGGCTGTGAGAGCCGCTGCTGAGGCGCAATGCGTGTAAGTGGAGACAAATAGCCGCCTCAGATGGACGACCTCGGAACCCTACACCTCCAACTCTCGACCGTGATACTGGGCTGTCTGGTTTCAGGCGACAACGTAGAACGATTAACTGGGTCAATCTCACGTTATTATGCACAACCACTATGTTCTCTTCAAGCTCATTCAATAGTATCAAGCCCCCACAATGGAGTGATCCATCGTCTGGTGGACAAGTTGAGAATAACCCCTTCATTCCTGTCCGAACCTCGTGGGCCATTGAACAGACTTTGCGATTTCATAGCCACGTAACGCCCATAAGTATTCCCGACTCTTGTGAACTCAGAAATCTGACCCAGAGATAAACAACATGTCTATCTCTGGTAGATCGAGCCCGATATATGTGAAGCCACAGTAGTGGTGCGAGCTAGAAGGGATGGCTGGAAGTGGCCTTACCAAAGCCCAAGGTCTCATTACTATTCTAGCTCCGGCCTGCTCCTAGAGTCTGAAGTGGTTTGCCACTATTATAGGGCTGGCTTTTCCCAACAAGTGATTCGGAAGCAAAACACCTGGCCTGCCGCTTCGTACTTGGCGAACAACGGGAACTGCCGATTTGGGCGTGTGTCTGGTCTAAGCCAGCGGCTTCCCATTCCGCAAGCCGGGGGATCGTCATGTGGGGCCTAGGCACCAACACCGCCGCGCTAGGCCTTCCACCCGCGCTACGTGTAGTTACATACAGTGGATGCCAGCGCCTCCAACTCAAGCATCCATTTCATCAATGGACTCGAGCAGGCAACCTTACCCCATATACTGCAGCCCTCGTTTGATACTCACGCGCGAATTGACGCAGACACACCCACGCCCTGCATGGGATGGTCTGCCGACCTGTCCGCTTCGTAGATCAACCGCTTTCACATGCCGCCCAGGCTATGACTTGTCTCCTCTGAGCCGCCTATCATGTCTGACGAGATGGATGTGGACTCCCCTCGTGGCACCAAAAGGAAAGCCGACGAGGTTGAAGCCGATCCCACCAAGCCGCGACGTATTCAGGTTAGGCTCCCGTTTTCACGCGTCCTGGCGGACAAGGAAGGGCTTCTTGCTAACGTGTGGGGGCTATGCCATAGGCTCTGGACCCGGATGTGGTCAACAAGATTGCCGCCGGGGAGATCATTGTTGCGCCTGTTCACGCGTTGAAAGAGCTCATCGAAAACGCCGTAGATGCAGGCTCCACCTCTCTTGAAGTCCTAGTCAAGGACGGCGGCCTCAAACTACTGCAGATAACCGACAATGGCTGCGGCATTGAGGTAAGCCCCCGGGCTTGGCTACCCCTGCCCTTGCTCCCAAGGTTGCATCTGTGTTAACATGGTAGGTAGAAAGAGGACCTGGCCATACTATGCGAGAGGTTTACCACTTCCAAGCTGCAAAAGTTCGAAGACCTGAGCTCCATCGCGACCTACGGCTTCCGTGGCGAAGCTCTGGCCAGCATCAGTCACATAGCTCACCTAAGCGTCACCACCAAAACGAAAGACTCTAACTGTGCATGGCGCGCCCATTATGGCAGTGGCAAGCTCGTTGCGGCCAAGCCGGGCCAGGCTGCGGACCCGAAGCCGGTTGCAGGCCGGCCCGGCACCCAGATCACGGTGGAGGACCTGTTTTACAATGTCCCCACCCGGAAACGCGCCTTTCGCTCTCCCTCGGAAGAGTACAACAAGATCATGGACATGGTCGGACGGTATGCCATTCACTGCAGTCATGTCGCTTTCTCTTGTAAAAAGCACGGAGAGTCGTCCACCAGCATAGCAATCCAGTCCAGTGCCGCGACCACGGACAGGATCCGGCAGATTTACGGAGGCAATGTCGCCAACGAGCTCGTCGAGTACGAAACGGCAGACGATCGATGGGGCTTCAAGGCGCATGGGTGGGCGACGAATGCGAACTACCACAGCAAAAAGACCACCCTCTTGCTCTTCATCAATCACAGATGCGTCGAGTCTACCAACATCCGGAAGACTGTCGAGCAGACCTATGCCGGCTTCCTTCCCAAGAATGGCCGCCCCTTCGTTTACCTCAGTCTCGAGATTGACCCGCAAAGGGTCGATGTCAATGTCCACCCAACCAAAAAGGAAGTGAACTTCCTCAACGAGGACGAGATAGTCCAGGCCATATGCGAGGAGCTCCGCTCCAAGCTCGCGGATGTGGATAAGAGCCGCACATTCATGACCCAGACGCTGCTCCTCGGGGGCGCAATGTCCGGCACGACCTCGACTATTCACAAATACAACCCTGATGGGGAACCACCAGCGTCAGCATCCTCGACCAACGCAAAGCGCACCGCTGCCTCTACAAGGCCGTACGAGAACAACCTTGTTCGCACCGACACGAACATGCGCAAGATCACCAGCATGCTGGCCCCAACTAGTGCAGGTGCAGACACCTCAAACGGCGATTCACAAGCTGCTGAGCCGATAGAGTATGAGACCACACCGGATCGGGAGCCCTCCGTCTGCCGCCTCACCAGCGTGAAAGAGTTACGCGCAGCCGTTCGCGACGATATGCACCATGAGCTGACCGACATCCTTGCTAATCACACCTTTGTCGGCGTGGTCGACGAGCGCAGGCGCCTGGCCGCTATCCAGGGAGGCGTACGCCTCTTCCTCATAGACTATGGGCGATTCTGCTACGAGTACTTCTACCAGGTTGGGCTGACAGACTTTGGTAACTTTGGCGTTATCAAATTCACTCCCGCACTCGACCTGCGTGGTGTGTTGGCCATCGCCGCGGAGCGAGAGATGGCCGCCATGTCGAGCGAGGACGCCGCCGGGCTGAGCGTTGAGGACATGGTTGATGCCGTGCTAGAACAGCTCGTGGAGCGGCGCGAGATGCTGCTCGAATACTTCTCTCTAGAGATCTCGCCGGCCGGCGAGCTCATCAGCATACCCTTGCTGGTCAAGGGCTACCAGCCGTCCATGGCCAAGCTCCCTCGCTTCCTGCTGCGGCTCGGCCCGCGCGTGGACTGGACCGAGGAGCAGGCTTGCTTTGACACATTTCTGAAAGAGTTGGCGACGTTCTACGTGCCGGAGCAGCTCCCCCCCGCGGCGGTGCCGACGACGGAGGATGAATCCGGCGAGGGGCAGGCCGCTGAAGCCCCCGAGGAGGACCCGGAAATCAAGGCGAGGAGAGCACATGTGCGGTGGGCTGTCGAGCACATATTGTTCCCGGCGTTCAAGGCCAGGCTGGTGGCGACCAAGACGCTGATGAAGGGCGGCGTCCTCGAGATCGCAAGCCTGAAAGGTCTCTACAGGGTATTTGAGCGCTGCTGAGTTGATCCGACGCGTTGCTGTTGTTCCGAGCGCATTAATCATACAACTGAATGTGAGGACTCGTCCTATTTTGATACCCAATAGCTTCCTCGCCGCCTTAGTGTACTTTGCTTCGCACTCGTAGTCGTGCGTTCCGTAACCATACAGAGGAATCACCGAATGTTGGTACTAAGGTACCGTACTTTACTCTTACTGAAACATTTGGATGCAAGGCACCTGAAGGTATCAACCTTTCGTTAGAAGTAGACCTACCCAAAGAAAAGTGGAGCCACTTTAAAGTGGTTTTCCGTCGCGTCAACCATCAGATTGACGCGTCCTGCTATCAACCCACCCCACCATTCGAACATCATCATCACTCCCATCGCTCGGAGCATCTTCTGCTGCTACGACATAAGAGGACTTGCCACGGACCTGATATCTCCTCTAGAGAACTTTCTGCACTGTATTAGAAGATGGGTGCGTGTGCTTCTTGTGTCCCCGCCCCCCAGACAATGTGGTTTTCTTGCTCTCTAACTGTACTAACTAAACCCTCTCCTCGACCAGCTTCCTACGGCGGCTACTCGAAGCCCGCATACGGCGCCCACGGCGGCGAGGACGGCGGCGGCTTCATGAGCGGATCCCAGCAGGGCAGTCAAGGCCAGGGCGGCAAGGTATGAAGCCCTCCTCCCATTACATACAAAACACCGGCCTCCCCCCCTCCTCCTCCTATTCTTGCACCGAAAAAGACTGAACTAACACATGCATGTGCCCGCCAAAACGGCAGAACTACGCCGAAGAGTCCCTCCGCCCCGTGACGATCAAGCAGCTCAACGCGTGCGACGAGTCGACGACCTCGCAGGGCGCCGAGTTCGTCTCGGACGGCCACCCGCTGACGCAGGTCACCCTCGTCGGCCAGGTGCGCGAGGTGAACCGGCAGCAGACAAACGTGACGTACCGCGTCGACGACGGCACGGGCGTCGTCGACGTCAAGAAGTGGATCGACAGCGACGCGCCCGAGGGCGCCGACGCGACGGCCCCGGGCGTCGAGCAGGACCAGCACGTGCGCGTCTACGGCCGCCTCAAGTCGTACAACAGCAAGCGCAACGTCGTCGCCACCCTCATCCGCCCCGTCGACGACTACAACGAGGTCAACTACCACCTGCTCGAGGCCACCTACGTCCACCTGTACCTCACCCGTGGCGCGCCCGGCGGTGCCGCCAACGGCGCTGCCAACGGCGGTGCCGGCGGCGAGGACAGCATGTTTGTCGACGGCGGCGGGTACGGCGGCGATGCTGGCGGTACCAACGCCAAGCTCGGCCTGTGCTCGGCGGCCGCGCAAAAGATGTACAACTACCTCGCCAACACGTCCGGCGGCACCCAGGGCCTCCACATGCAGATGATCTCCAGGGGGACGGGCATGTCAGAACAGGAAGTCACCGGTGCCGCGTACGAGCTCCAAGATCAAGGTCTTGTCTACACGCCAGAGGACAACGAGACGTGGGCAATCATGGAGTTCTGATCTGGGCGGGTGAGAAAGGATATTATTCCCGGAGAGGAGACTACGACGGATGGCATGGGGGGGCTTCTTCCAAAGGCAAGAAAGAGAGGCAAAAGGAGGTTCACTGGCGTTGGTCGTCATCACTGTATGATTTTGCTTTGTTATTGATGTTAATACCTAAAGGAAGGACTGTAACATGTGGAATGAATGATCGAATGACGACTACGCACGAGACCAAGGTGAATGGAATCGCAGGAGTAGAGGACTAAACGAGGGTAAGGAATCGAAAAAGTGATGCGATGGACCATCATCAGTCTCGCCAAAAAAAAATTGGCCAAAATACCGAAGCGGTCATCCATGAGCGAGCATCAATCTGCTTTGCGCAGGATCAGAGATCAGTTGCCCCTTGGTCGGCTCCAAAGTTCAGAGGCCATTGGCCATCTGCTGCGCCTTCTTAAGATTGCCGCCGACCTGGAGCTTGACACTGCCAGCAGCGGTGACGGCAGGGCTAGAGTAAGCAACCTTCCGAACGGCCTGGGGCTCACGGACCATGATGGACAGCCGGACGGGGATGTGCCCTCGCTCGAGGTAGATGTCCCTCTTGACCTCGAAACCAAACTTCTTGTAGTACGCATTGTTGGCCAAGGAGCTCGACTCGAGGTAGACTTGGCGCTTCTCGGCATCGGCCTAGACGGAAGGGGATCAAGGGGACGTCGTCAGCCATGACCAGCAGGTTTCCTCGTTAGAAAGGGGAAAAGAATAGTCAATTTACCCGCTCGAGCATATTCTCAAGGAGCTTCCTCGCGTATCCGCGGCCGCGGGCATTGGGTTTGGTGCCGAGGTAGACCAGATACCAGGCGTTGTCATCGCCTTCACCCAGCACCTCGGTCTTGGTTTGGTGGAGGAGCGGGAGCATCTCCTCGTAGTACCGCTTCTTCCCTTCAGGGGAGAGCTGATAGTACAGCCTCCACATGCCGCTCCGGAGGACAGTCCACCAATCGTCGACGTTCTTCCCGGGCGGCATCCTTATCGTTATGTTAGCCCAGATCGACCGGGATAGACAACGGGGAGTGGGATATGGAGGCATACCAGAGTGCGACTCCCTCGTAGTCTGGGCCAATCGTGGTCACGACTCCGTTCAGGCAATGGGCTGCCACCATGTAGGTCATGATGTCCACATGGAGCCTCCATTTCTCTTCTGCAGAGAGGTTGGACATGTCGTCCGCGTTCAAGAGGTACTGAGACAGGTCGTCGGAGGCGAACGAGTGGGACAGGGACAGCGCGGCCTCCCTGTACTCGGACATGCCGATGACACGGACGCTGTCCTCCCACTTGGCCGGGATGAGCGAACGTTTGAGCTCGATGAGCGTGAGGTTGGTCTTCACATTCGCCATGCTGGGCAGTTACGATCTTGTGAATCCTGAATGCGTAGTCCGGATGTTGTCAGCTTCGGTTTCATCGAGGCTAAATAAGGCATAAAGGCGACTGCCAGACTGACAACAAACCTTTATATATTCTGTATACTGTCACCCGTATGAACCCTTGATAATTGAGTTCTTGAGACGGGCATAAATCTAGAAGGGTGGCGCAGGCAGTGGAGGGCTGTCCGAAGTTCAATAGACATCAATCTCGGTTTTGACGGGGCTTGTCACGCAGGTGTGAGTGAAGCTTTTGCGTTATCGCGAGGTCGAGACGTATAGCTCTGTGCGGCACAGAGAAAAAGTCCTGTAGGGTGGCGAGGTCAAAGGTCAAAGAAGAAGAAGAAGAAGAAGAAGAACGCGAGAGTGGGCTGGCGAGACTAAGAAGCGAGAAGCTTCCAAGTTCAAGGGTATCCCAGGGGAGGATAAGGCAACTGAAGTCAAGCGGCTTCTCGGGTTGTGTTTGATGAGGATGGTTGATCAAAGGTAACGATGCTTGAGTTTCGGCCTACCTACAGTTATGTACCTTGATGGAAGACTGAAGACCTGTAAAGCGGCCCAGGGAAGGCAAGAACTGGGCAAGGTAGTAATAGCAAGGAGCAACCCCATAACTACAGCTGGGGATGAAAGGATCATTCCCCGCGACGCGGCACCGACAGCAAAGTGCGAGCAGATAGATCACTCGGGTGTGACGGTCCACCTATAGGCCGGACTGGATGGAGCAGGCGCGGGATGCTTGCAGTAACGTGCATCTTGTTGAGTAAGGAAAGGCTCACGGCGAGAGCCTCAAGGCCAGTACATGCGGAGCAAGATCCTGGGCAGGACGGAGGAAGTAGGGCTTTCCCTGCAACCACTGGATGCGGCCCACTGGGGGCGCCTTGATTCGCAGTCTCAACAAGCGCCCCGGCTTGGCCGTTGAGAGAACAGGCCCTTGATTGCAAGAGCGTGTCGGCTCGGTGCGCATCTGGGGCAAGCACCTAAGGCATGTAGATAGGTAAGGAGAGGAGGTGGTCGGTACTGCCGGCAGGGAGCGGACGTAGTACAAAGGCTTGGCTGTGAAGCACGGGAAGATGAGACAGGTAAGCGAAGAGGAGGAAGCCCATGTTTGCGTGCTACTGCGGTGGACGAACAGGTTGGCCACGGCCGGCCTCTACGCGTAATGACGAAACCGTCACTCCAAGGCAGGAAAGACAGGCAGGCAGGCGGTCTGGCGACGTAGGTAGGTAGGCCACGGGTCAGCAGGCTGACAAAGGAAGAAGCAACTTTGGCTCGACGCCAGAAGCCGCGCGCGGAGAGACGGGGCTGGACGCAAGGGATCAAGTGACCGAGGATGCTGCAGCGGCGAGAGGACGGATGTAGTAGGGGCATGTAGGTGTGCCCAGAAATCCCGGCCTTGTGTGTGATAAGACAACATGACACTTGTGTTGGCTCTGATACGTCGAGGCGATTTCCCTTCAGGGCCACAAGCATGACCACACGTGGGGGTTCATAGGGCTGGTTTGGCAGAGCTGCTCCGTATCGCCCGCCCTAATGTTACCGTGCTTGCTCTTCGGCCTCAACAGCATGTTAGAATCCAGAGCGTGGGTATTATTTGCTTCTTTTCTAGGCAGGTAAGGTATATATGCGTGCCTTAAAACTGAACATCCGTTCACAGACACCATGCCATCAACTCCTCATCTTCTCCAGCTCGTCCAATACCTTACATGCGGCGGATCTCTTGCTCGTTCATAAACTTCTCCAGGCCGGAATCAAGGTGCTTCCACCACTCGAACAGCATGGAATCGCAGATGAGTTTGAACCAAGGCGTAAACTTGTACGAGGGATCCGTGAACAGCTGCTTGAGCTGATCGGGCGAGACGTATTTGGTATCCCGGACCTCATTCGGGTTCACATCAAGGTCGACATTGGCCTTGATGAAGAGGATGTAATCGACTGTCTTGTGTCAGCATACCTTGCACCCAGAAGTAAACATATAATCAGGGAGGCCGCATACTTTCGTGTTCACCCCACTGGCCGTTGCTCGGCGCCTTGTAGTGGATGCGAGTGAGGAAACGGAAGTCGTCGATAGGCACCTGTTCCGGTTTTATGCCCAGCTCGTGCTCCAACTTGCGCTGCGCAGCTCTCTTGACACCCATGATCGAGTCTGGCAGGTTCGAGCCGGTCTCGCTGGGCACACCGAGAGGGTGCGAGCAGCAAGTGTTGGTCCAGAGATCGGGGAAGGTGATCTTCTCGGTCGCCCGCTGCTGCAGCAGCAGCTCGTTCTTGTCGTTGAAGAGGAAGACGGAAAAGGCTCTGTGGAGGAGACCCTTCTCAATGTTGGTCATTAGGTGGCCTGGCCAGTAGTCGGAGGTTAGTCCATGGAGAGACGAGAGCGTAGGGGGGGATCTTGAAAGACGCACAGATCTTCTTGCTTGCCTTGCCGATGGGAAGATCGTTGTTGTCCAGAACAATGCAGACCTCGTCCATGAGACGGATCTGCTCTTCGTCGTGGCCGTCGAGTGCCTCATTGTTGGTGTCGATGTCGGGGAAGAGTCGGAGGATGGTCTCGGCCGTGATCGGCTCTGTGGCCGTTGTAGTAGTGGAGGTCGAAGCCATGATGTCTATGCGCGCGCGAGCTGCGGTCTCTACTGCTAGGACTCGCGTGTGCTTCTTCCGTCTCGTATGTCGGGCCCAACTGCTTAAAGGGAACGGCGTCTTATCAACAGCAGGGAAGAGTCTGGTTGGTGTTCTGTCTTGCGAAAGCCGCCACTTCGGGAGGGTATCGTTCCTTTCGCGGGGCCCCTTGTCAATAATAAAAAAATGCGGTGGGGCCAATAGGTGCTCTCATTCTCATGGTTGGGGCGCTAGAATGGGTTTGCATTCGCTGGCTAGCGAGTGGCTGCCCAGGCCATAGCGTGCTCGAATATGCTCAATTAGCCCCCCAAGTGCTGTCAAGAGTACCGCCAGAGGGCCAGAGGCAGCCCAGATTAGGTAGGTCACTAGCATTTTCTCCACTGAAATGCGTGCGTGCGCGTAGTTGCTCCTGGACTTGGTGGTCGGAATTTGCGCCTGCAAAGGCAGAAGAATAGTCAGACTACCTGGTAGGTAGGATAATACAAGATATAAAAACAACTTGAAAGTGCATGATGGCTTGGCATTAGCATCACTCTTGGACAAGATAGATATCCGTTACGTCAACAACGGCCCGAGCCAGCCAGTTGTTTCTTGCCGCTTGCTCATTGATCTCCTGACTCGCTCAGCTTGTTGACGACGAGGAGTGTCACACAAGCCCCGATGATGGAGATTGCGATCGCAACCATGATCTACCGTGCAGCGTGAGCGGGAAAGGGTCTGGTCGCATCAAAGCGTCGGGCATTACTTACTATCTGCGTCTTCCACCCGGACTGCACGATTGCTGCTCTCCTGCTGTACTTGTTGACAGTTTCTGTATCTCATCAGTCCCACAGTCCCGAGTTGGCATCTGATGAGCGTTTATAGGACGTCTTAAGGTGTGTGCGTACTGATGTAGTTTGAAATGCCCATCACCAATGTGATGACAGACAGGGCCCAGAAGATGGCCCCCAGTGGCCTGGCCATGTCAAGCTCCACCTGCGTTGGCTGGTGCTTCAGATGGAAGGACATGACGATAGCTACCGAGACCACGGCCATGGTCACCGAAAGCCTCAGGTAGGACAGAAAGGTGCGCTCGTTGGCGCAGTGATCTAGGTAGGTAGCGCGTGTGAGTGCACACCCATGTCTCATCTTCCATCATCGCGAGGGACAGGGGCATCATACCACGAGCATCACTGCTCTCGTTCTCAAAGAGCAGCGGGCCCAGCAATGGCCAGACCCAGAAGACGCTTTCGCCGGCATACCCTCCAAACCTACAGATTCAAGGATGTCAGCCAAGATCCGTTCTCGAGCTTGATCAGAACTAGAGAGGGACACCGTACCCTCCAATGTGACCGACATCTACCGGCTCGCGGATTCTGGCCAGTGGCGCACAGCATCCCGTCGGTGGCGGCGCGTCCTCCTCGTCCAGAGTCCGGAGCAGCGGCATCGTGAAAAGCAATGACGAGTTCTGCGGCACGGATGATCCCGACGCGAAAATCAATACTCGGAACCACCAACAAGTCGATAGCCTGTACGTACGGGGTTTGAAACCTCGCAAGTGAGGCGTCACGATTTGGCGCTGAGGCCGCTCATCTGGGACAGCAGGATGGTATGCTCCGCACGCCATCGAAAACGCGCGACCAAAGGTGGGCATGCATTGCTCCCATCCATGTCAACTACAAGTACAACTGCTCACATGCCGCACCGCTCTGGCATTGGGGCCGGATCCGCGGCGGGGGGGGGGGGGGGGCGTGGGCACTCGGTAGCGGCATCTGCAGGTCTGGCGTCCAATGACAAGGTGCAGCTGATACCTGCAATAGCCGCTTTCGTCAGAGGATCAACGGTGAACCTATTGAACTTCGTACACCCATTCGCCCTCTGAGCAAACCGGAGTTCGTTGATGCACCCGCATTATCATCCGAGACATTCAGAATTAGTCGCTCAGCACAGCGTCGGAAGCTGAGATGTCGCGGTCGGTCAGGCAAGTGGTCAGTATCAATCCAATCTGCGAGGTCTCTTGACAATTACCTAGATCTGCTCAATTGTGAGGGATGCTCGTCTGTTTGTACTTTACTGGAACCCAGCTACACTAACATTTACAGGGCGTCGTCCCTAGTCTGGACTTGGCTAATAAATGGAGAAAACGGGCCTCGTGGACTCGATCCAGTTAGTAACGCGGGTGTCTGCTGTGGGCTCATCTCCCGCCATCACCGCCGTTAGGTATCCGTCTTGTTGCCATCGGTGAACTGAGTCGCTGCTTTCCCGAGATGTTCTGAGGTGACATTGCATTGACCCAGAGGCCGTCGGGTGTGACTCAAACTCCCAATACCCCATGTATCTGCTGTGCTCTGTATCACGATCTTCGATGACTTGTAGATTCACTCACGACAGAGATTTTTCCATCTTTCTTCCACTTGTTTCCCTCATCTTGGCCATGATAACCGGCTGGGACTTCATCGTTGAAATTGGCGTGCTGGGGGCCAACCCTTGATCTCAAAAATTGCCTCTCTGAACACACACATGTGGTCGTCGCCACTTCACCCTATGACAGCCTATTACAACAACTACTTTATCTGACTTTTCTAAGAACCTAAGACGACAATACAGAACCGGGGCGACTTGCAGAATGTCGGAGGGGCGAGGACAGGATATCCCAGCCGGGCCGTCATCCTCTAGGAACAGAAGCCTGAGCCGTGATTTTGCCTCCTCTTTTGTGGCATCGTTTACCGATGCGTCGCCAATTGTCCACGAGTACATCGCCAGGGACCTGGCAGACTGGTCTACCGACGAAGACGTCGATGACGAGGGGTCTGGTGATGACGATGGCTCAGATGACGAGCACCCGGGCCCTAAGCTATATGCTCGCCCGAGTGGCATCGCCTATGGAGGCTCTCGCCCAGCCATGGGACGGTCTCAACTCGAAGAGCCGAAGCTCACTCGCATCGAGAAGCAGCAGTCTATAGACGCCGAGCGCAGTTTGCTGAGGGACAACCACATCTTGCCGCCGAAGCATCCTGCGGTGGAACGACCGAGCCTATTTTGGCAAGTCTACAAGAGGCTGTTCAGCACAAAGGTTCCTCAACCAAGTCCGGATGAGGAGGTCCCTGATGTTTCTATAGTCCCTCCGACGCCGTCAGAAGAGACCCCTCTCTTGCAGCCTGCCAATGGAGAGGCCGAGCCGGATGGGCATGAGAACCTCAACGAGCAATGGGAAGCCGCCGTCGCTGCGGGCCAGATCCGCACAACATGGCAGAGAGAGGCCAAGACCATCGCCGTGTATTCGCGGTCTCTGGTCGTGACGTTCCTACTTCAGTACTCGGTCAACATCGCCAGTATATTTGCTGTCGGAAGAATAGGGAAATTTGAGCTTGGTGCTGTGAGTCGTAAGTACAGAGCGAAACCCTCTAGGCCAGCTGAACTTCAATGAGCATCTTCCTGAAGGGAAACCCTCGGAGAGAAAGCTCCTGCTAATATGGCACAGTTGCCACTATGTCCGCCAACATCACCTTTTATGCGCCGGTTCAAGGACTGGCCACCTCGCTCGACACTTTGTGCGCGCAAGCATACGGATCTGGCCACAAGCACTTGGTTGGCCTGCAGCTGCAGCGCATGACTTGCTTCCTCATGCTCTTAGTAGCACCTTTTGCCGTATTGTGGTGGAATGCTGAAGGCATCCTAGCCAAGATGCTCCCAGAAGCAAGGTCGGCCGAATTGGCTGGCCTTTACCTTCGGGTCGTGATCCCGGGTATGCCTGCATACGCCATCTTCGAGTGTGCCAAGCGGTTCGTCCAAGCTCAGGGCCTATTCCAGGCGAACACATATGTCCTCTTGATTTCCGCACCTATCAACGTACTTCTCAACTACCTATTCGTCTGGCATCTTGGCTGGGGCTTCGTTGGAGCACCTATCGCGGTGGCCATCACGCAGAACCTCATGCCCTTTCTTCTGTTCCTCTATGTTATCTTCATTGACGGCTATCAATGTTGGGGAGGGTTCAGCAGACGCATGTTTCACAACTGGGGTGAGTTCAAGTCTTCGATCGAAACCCGTTCTGTTCCCTCATCCCCTCACAGCCTCAATCTAACGGGTTATGACAGGTCCGATGATTCGCCTTGCCTTACCTGGAATGATCATGGTAGTGGCCGAGTGGTTGGCATTCGAAGTCCTGACATTGGCTTCTGGCCAATTCGGTGCTTCAGCTCTCGCCGCCCAGAGCATTCTGGTGACTATCACATCGACAACGTACCAAATCCCGTTCCCAATGTCCATCGCTGCGTCGACACGCATTGCCAATCTGATCGGGGCAAAATTAGTAGACGCAGCTAAGACCTGCGCCAGAGTTGTCAGTAATTCCCTGCCCTATTGTGTATCGTCTTGAACCTAATGTTAACCCCCTTTTCCAGGCCTTTGTCGCCGGCTGGCTTATAGGCATTTTTAACCTGGTAGTAGTCGCCACGCTGCGTTACAAGATCCCTCTCCTCTTCACTCAGGACCGCGAAGTGATCGAGCTGGTGGCCCGCGTTATGCCTCTTTGCGCCGTCATGCAGGTCTTTGATGGGCTGGCCGCAGTGTCTCACGGCATTCTTCGCGGCGTCGGGAGGCAGGAGATTGGCGGATATGCTAACCTCATCGTCTACTACATTTTGGCGGTGCCTTTATCCTTTGCAACCGCTTTCAGTCTCGACTGGGAGTTGTACGGTTTGTGGTTCGGAGTGTCTATTGGCCTATTTCTGTGAGTGTTCCATTCGTGATTACCAACCAGATCGAACATCAGCACGGCGGAAACTGACCATCAAACGCAGAGTTGCCCTCATTGAGTACGGGTACTTGTATCGCTATGACTGGGAGCTTGCGGTCCGGGACGCTGAGCACCGGAATGCCAATGCTTGAGCAGCCAAAGAGTTCATGACGAGAACAAGATTGGATATAGACAGCATTATGGGCAGTCCGGGCATGCGTAGCAAAATTTAGCGACATCTGTTTGGGTATCGACTGGACTTTTCAATTCAATTCTAGGCACATCATCGATATAATGAAGTGTTTCCAACACAGGCTCTGGCATTAACTAACGTGAACTCAAGACATAACATCCCCCAGGTCGCCGTGCGCTCATTCTATTTAGGCTCGTTCTTCTTTTTGTACTGAATAAACCGCCTCAGGTTGATCATCACCTCGTCCACGCGACTTCTGAGCTCTCCGAAGGCCCGCTTGTCGACGCCCTTGGCCATGGCCTTGAGCTTGGGCTGGCTCTCCTCGAGATGCTTGAGGAAGCCGTCCTTCCAGAACACCTCCTTGTCGCAGGCAAAGTTTTCGTCTCCGTAAATGTCAAATAGCTGGTTCAACGCCTCGACGACGTCGGCCGGTGCCGCCTGCGGCAGCGATCCGACGAGAGACACGAGGAAGACGCCGACCTCGCGGTTCAGGGCGGTCGGCGCCGGGTCGCGCGCCAGCTGGCCGAGGACGCCGATGCACTTGACGCCGAGGCCTTGGAAGGGATCCTCGGCCGCCTCGCCCTCGTTGCTGGACGACGCGCCCTTGGATGCTTGGTACAGCGAGATGAAGCGCCGGTGCTCGTCACCCTGGAGGGGCGTGCTGCCGCCGAGGCTGCGCGAGACCGCCCACGCGAGGCTGGTCACCAGAGTGGCCAGGCTGAGGTCCGCGGTGTCGCTGGAGAGGATGGGCGTGATGGCGCCGGACCAGATGCTCCGAGCGGCGGGCTGCCAGGCGGCGTAGACGCCGGCGTTCTCGCCATTGGAGAAGTCGAGGCAAGATACGGTCCAGCACAGATTGTTGAGGGCGGAGAGCGCGGCGGACTGCACGGCGAGGAGAGCGTCGCTGGCGGGGGAAGAGAGGTTGGCGAGACGGATCATCTGCGGGACAGCCTTGTGGATAAGCTCGCGAAGGGTGGGAAGATCGTCCAGCCCTGCGTCTTCTTCGTTCAGATCGTCCGGGCCTGTTACCATGTCCATGTCTGCCTCCATCTCCTCGGCCGTCATCTCATTGTCTTCATCTTCATCTTCCGGGGCCTCGTCGTCCTCGGCCTCATCGTCCATCGCGTGGTCTTCATCGTCTCCTTTAGCTGCTGGAGGCTCCTTGTTATCGTCGATGCCGGCCCATTCCGCCTTGTTGCCCTTCTCCAGAGCGGCTTGCAAGTCTGTGCCAATGACTGCGAGTATCTCAAGCGCAAGTTGCACAACCTCGGCCGAGCTGAGGCCGAGTTTCTCATCGCTCATGGACTGCTCATCCAGCTTGGTACGTTCGAGCGTTCTAGCGAGAGCAGGGACGAGCAGGGCATCGCTCGCGCCTCCTCGGCCGGGAGTCATATCAAACCACTCCAGCGTTGAGAACGCATTGTGGAGGAGACCACAAGCCAGAACGCCTCTGGAACCACCGGTCTGGGTGAAGGACAGCAGCTTAGAATAGCAAGGGGAGGCGTACTCGTCAGTGACAGCCTGTGCTACAGTGCGGCTGTCCTCAGTCAAGGTCGTGAGGCACTGCAGTGCTTCGTCGACGAGCTCAGGCGGCGTGAGAGCGTTCGAGACTATGGAGAGGAGAAATTGTGTCAATGCAGAATTGCTGGCGACCGCTGCGAGGATCTCATCACGGGCTTCCGAGAGAGCAGCAAGCAGAGATATCAGCGACCTGACGATCTCCCACACGAAGCGTTGCTGCGCCTTGGTAGCCTTATCGAAAGGCGGGTCTGAAGCCGTGAGAGTAGTGATGACCTACGAGTTGTCATGTTAGTAAGGAGAGGGTTCATGCTGGGTAAGCATTCCAGAGCGCTGACCAATTTGGAGGCGTGTTCGAGGGCAGTGAGAATGTCACTCCGGAACAAATGGACACAGAAGTCACTCTCTTCCTCCTCGGCGAGCACGCGGAGAATGTCCCAACCAGCGGCTCTCGACTCGAGACTGCTGTCGGTGAGGGTTTCACTTAGGACAATGTGCACGACCTGCTCCCGCAGTAGAAGCTTCCTGCATTTCTCGTCATGAATGATGTTGGCAATAGCCTCTGCGGCCGTAGTACGCGACTTGGGGTCTGAGCTTTTTAGATCCTTCAACACTGGTAAAATGCTCTTCTCTCGCAGGGCAGCCAGCTCCGGATCTGTGGGCGGCTTGACCGGCTTTGCGATGGGATCCGTTCGGTGAGGCCGAACCCTGTTCCTCCTGTTCTTCGCCATGTTGCACGCGAGTTTCTGAAATCTTGCGAGTTCAAAACGAGAAGAAAACACTTTCAAGTAGTTGAGACGAAAGGATCGGTTGTGAACAACTGCCGAATCAGCGCAAATCTCACAGCATGTCTCGACTTACAGGGTGAAATTTTTTGACACAGAACTTCCCACTTAAATCGACATTAGAGAGAGACATACGGAGTACACCCACAACAGAATTTTGAGAGTCGAGGTGGGGTTTTCCACCCGGCCGCTTGGCACCCGACTGAGCAACGGCAGCTATTCCTGATCATAGTTAGCGCTCCAGTGGGGTGGAATAGCGGATCGCTGTCGATCCTTACAGGGGCTTTGACCACCTAAGATTGGCGGGAGATTCGCGGCACGCGCCAGCAGCAGGACAGCTGTCAGATAAGGTTTGTTCCATTCATTCTGCAAGCTTCAGTTGCATATCGAGCTGATTCCCATCTCCTCCCACCACGAGACGAGGTCATCCACGCTGCATTGTCGTCCTTCTGCTAGACGCAATCTCCCCCGCAAAGGCATGTCGTGCCTCCGCACATAATACGATCCTCGAGCTATTCATCCTATACTAGGCTCTGATGTCAACTACCCTGTGACGTACCGCGAAAGCACGACAAAGCAGACACGGCTGCCCAGGCACTCGCGCCACGTAGCTTCAGGTCCTCCAGGAGCATGAGACACTGCTCCGGTCCATGATGCAGTCATTTTTCCTAACCGACGAAGAGCTGGGCAAGAAGGATGACGACCACCAGGCCTCCAAGCATATCCTGCGGCCGAAAGGCTGGGCCCCTGCGCGTGTTCCTCCACGCAAGTCCGTGAAGCGATTGTTCATTGCTTTGATCATTGGTCTTGCTGTGTATCTGTTCATAAAGAACATACCGACTGACCTGGGTGTGAGGGATCATCGACGCCCGTCCTACTACCACCCTAGCGATCATAGCGACCTGAAGACCGACTTCCCTGCAAAGCCGGCCCCGCCACCGCGTGGGAGAACCCCAAAGACACCCACGGCCGCGTCCTCGAAAGATCATAGTTACAATGGGCCTCTACGATTCCTGAACCTTGCCTCGTCTCTGCACGGGATCACAGGCACCAGAGGAGGTTATTTGAACAATAAGAACGTGCTCTTTGCGGCGGCAAGTTTGAAGAGTGCTGCAACACTGTTGCCATTGGCATGCTCGATGGGCGCCGAGCGGCTGAACTACGTCCACTTTGCGCTTATGAGCAGAAGTGATATCAGTATAACGGAGCTGGGGAAGGTCAATGGGGTCGACGAGTCGTGCCAGATCATCTTCCATGGTACGTAGGCGCATGCCCAAGGGTCATTCTCACGCAGAACTCGACTTTCTAATGGCCCGCAGATGCAAGGCCCGATGCCTCGACTATTTCCACAGATGATCGGCTTGAGAGCAGCAGTGCTCGCGCTTTGTGTAGGTAGATTTGGGATCGAGAGGCCAAGAATGAGATGCTGACTGACTTTTGCGCAGATCATATACAAATGTATATGCACCCACAAGCTGTCATCGTCGACGGTTCAGACACAGAAGAGCCATTTTTCAAAAAGGGCATGCGGAAACAGGCAGAGATTTCCAAGATGACATTGATCGAAGTGCCTCGCAACGCTGCCAAAGAGCTGACTTGGATGACGAGGCTGGAAAGTGCCTCACTTGCAGCTTGGAATCAAGTCAGCATCGACATCCTGATCCACGCCCCTCCGGACGCATCTGGGAGTCTTATTAGATTGCTGCGCTCTTTGAGCTCTGTCGACTTCTCCGCAGGCTCGATTCCGCATCTCACCATTGAGCTTCCCCGGGAGATCGACCCGCCTACTGAGAAGTTCCTAGAGTCCTTCCAGTGGCCTCCAAAACGAGTTCAGAACCCGAGCAATGCTCGATTGCTGTCGCTCCGTCATCGGATACCCCGACACGGGGTGAGTGAGGATGAAAGCTCGGCTCGGTTCCTCGAATCATTCTGGCCAGTTGATCCCCAACATTCCCATGTTCTCGTCCTCTCCCCTCAGGTAGAGGTCTCTCCGAACTTCTTGAATTGTATGTCTTCAATCTGCCTTCGCCGCCCGAGACCTCCTGCTCACTTCTTTTTAGACCTCAAGTACACAGTGCTTCATTATCGGTATTCGAACACGGCTCTGGTCGAACAATGGGACCAGCGGCTCTTTGGCATCAGCCTGGACCTGCCTTCTACGAACATAGATGCCTCTACTGCCTTTGCCCCACCGTCGCCTCTTGTTGATACCAAAGGCTCCAAGCCCAAGGTCGACGAGGTCGTCAACTTTTTATGGCAGGCGCCTAACAGCAATGCGATGCTGTTCTTGGGGCAACGATGGGTTGAGATGCACAGCTTTGTGTCCCACTTACTAAACAAGGAGCAAGCCCTTGAGCAACCACCCCCGCTTCTAGCGGCCAAGGTTGTGAGCAAGAAGTACCCAGCTTGGCTCGAGCATGTCTTGAGGCTATGCAGAGCGCGAGGCTACTGGACCTTGTATCCGGGCAAAACTACTGCGAGCAAAATCGCGACAATCCATACCGAACTGTACACGCCGCCCGAAGAATATGACAAGGAGCTGGAAGGCGATCATGAAGATGTGAGCGAGGCCGACCTGGTGCCCGGGTCTCTCCTCGAGCATCTTCCTAACAAAGGGTCGCTGGCACCATTTAGCGAGCTGCCACTGATAGGCTGGGCTGGCAACAAAGTGACCTTGGGAGAGCTAGACTCGACCGCCCTGAAATACACTGCGGATTTCAAACAGCAGGTCGGAGGCTGTGATGATGCTGCATCCAAACTACAAGCACCACACAAATTTGCAGACGACTTGTTTTGCATCAAAGGGAAGAGGGATAACGCAGCTGCCACGAAAGGTAAGAAAGGGTCGACAGCAGCGGACAGTGACACGTCCAAGAGTGAAAAGGAGTCCCGGAAACAGACTCCTGCGGAACAAGGGTCAGCCTCAGGGCACTGAGAAGTCCCGGGACGGAGTGAAGGACCTCATCACAGAAATGTTCTCGATGGCGGTGACAACCGTTTATGTTTGATTAGTTGGGTTCAAAGACGAATCCTAGGTGACAGCTCACCATCTTGCGGCAATCGAAAGCTGCTTGAAGCCATATATCCATATCTATTTGATATCGTGGCCATGTAATCTAATCCGCGGCTGGAGCGTTCCCTCGCGCTGAGGATAGGTTAGGAGAACACAGCATGGAATCTTCTGAAGACAATCAAACTCACGGTGACTCTGTTCGGCTTCCCTGCGCCGAGTCATCCCAATACGCCGGCTCGTGGCATCTAGTAAAAATCAAAGCAAAAAATCATTAGCCATGCACCAACACCGCAGAGTGCTTTCAGCCAATGGGCTTGAGCTTCTTCTTCTTCTTCCCGCCGCCGTCGGCGCTGCCGGACTTCCCCTTCTGGAACTGTCGCCAGCTGTTGATCCGAACATCTCTCGTAGCCTCCCAGTCTTGCTCGTGCTGCCTCTTGCGCTTCCGCTGCTCGATCTCCTCCTCCTCGCGCCTCTGCTCCCGTCCCTCCTCCTGCATCTGTGCCTTCATCTGTCGCCGCCGCCTCTGCTCGTTCTCGATGAGCACGAACTTGGTCTTGTCCGCCCAGAGGCGCTTGAACTCGTCGGTGCGCGTCTCGGGGCTGTCGGCCGTCCACTTCTTCTCGCGCATGAGCAGGGTGCGGGCGTCGGCGATGGCCTCGTCAAGCTTCTCCCTATGCTTCTCATCCAGGAGCTCGGTCTGGGCCTTCTTGAGACGGTCAAAGGCGTCGGGTGCTAGAGGGTTGCGGGTTTTGTCGGGATGGATCAGCAGTGATTTCTTGCGGTAGGTGACCTTGATGTCGGAGTCGGGAACGCCGGGCTGCAGGCCGAGGACAGCATAACTAGTGCAGGGTCAGCATTGAAAGTCGACTGAGGCAGAGAGATCGCGGAGGTGAGTGACTTACGCATCAAGTCTGAATGCATTCAGAATGCGATTAATCTCGGCATCCTTCGTAGCCTCCTTGGTCTCAGACTCGAGGATGTCAAGCGCATCCCGCGTGTCAACGGGCTTTTCCTCCGTTGATGGCGATGCCGACGCCATTATCGAGGTCTTGTCTGATTATCAAGTGCGTTCCAGTAGGATGCTGAAATCCCAAGTGTCGTAGTAGCAACTAGTCAATTTCGCCAAAGCACACGACAGTTGCAACCGAGAGATGATGAGATGCGGTTGTGACAGCAGGCTGGCGTTGTTGGCTGCGCACCATGCGCCCATGCGCGCCAGCCCCCGATAAGATAAAGCGATAAGCCGCCCCACGTCTCAGATAAGAAAAAAAATTCGGGGATCTGGTCCATGATAACGGGACGATAGCGCAGAGACAGCAATTCTTGGGCTTGTGAACCACTTCCTCACGAAGGCTCTCTGTAGCCATACCAGACCGGCTTTTTCTTTTCTGCCAAAACCATTCTTTGTCGAGTCGCCAGGTGTAACATACACCACGAACTCAACATGCGTGGCCGCGCAGCTTCTCCGGCCATGTCGGAGAACGAGATGGACATTCTCGACTCCCTCTACACCGACGACGTCGAGACGAGCAAGAGCAATGGCAAAGGCAAAGGCAAGGTTGTCCATGACAGCTTCGACTTGGACATGGGCGGGATCTTGGATGCCGCAGGCGATGGTGAAGACGGTGGCAACGACGGAGATGCGGCGTTCATTGCCTTGAAGCAAGCGGCTTCCTTCCGAAAGAACACAAATCTGAAGGGCAAGACGGTCAAGAAGGGCGGAGGCTTCCAGGCCATGGGTCTCAACGCGAAGCTGTTGCAGTCCATCACTCGCAAGGGCTTCTCTGTTCCGACCCCAATCCAGCGCAAAACGATCCCCTTGATCCTGGACCGGAAAGATGTCGTCGGCATGGCGCGTACTGGTTCCGGAAAGACTGCTGCCTTCGTCATCCCGATGATCGAGCGCCTGAGAACGCACAGCGCCAGAGTTGGAGCGAGAGCGGTCATCATGTCACCCTCTCGTGAGCTGGCCCTCCAGACGTTGAAGGTTGTCAAAGAATTCGGCAAGGGCACCGATCTTAGGACGGTGCTGCTGGTGGGTGGTGACAGCCTGGAGGAGCAGTTCGGTTTCATGGCGACCAACCCCGATATCATCATCGCGACTCCCGGTAGATTTCTCCATTTGAAGGTCGAGATGTCTCTGGACCTGTCTTCCATACAATACGTCGTGTTTGATGAGGCCGATCGGCTGTTCGAGATGGGCTTCGCGGCCCAGCTCACAGAGATTCTCCATGCTCTGCCACTTTCGAGGCAAACGCTGCTGTTTTCTGCTACTCTGCCTACTTCTTTGGTCGAGTTTGCGCGTGCCGGCCTCCAAGATCCTAGCCTGGTCAGGCTGGACGCAGAAAGCAAGATATCGCCGGATCTCGAGAGCGCATTCTTGTCTGTCAAGGGGGCCGAGAAGGAAGGAGCGCTACTACATATACTTCACGAGGTCATCAAGATGCCCACGGGCTTGCCAGAGGGCGTGCAGGAGGAGACGTCAGAAAAGCCATCCAAGAAAAGGAAACGTGAGTATAGGCCGAATCAAAAGGAGAAACCGACTGAGCATTCGACCATCATCTTCACGGCGACGAAGCATCATGTCGAATACATCGCCGCTATCCTGCGGGAATCTGGATTTGCGGTATCCTACGTCTACGGCTCTCTCGACCAGACAGCGCGGAAAATCAACGTTGACGATTTCCGTCGGGGTAGGACTAATATCCTGGTGGTGACGGATCTGGCTGCTCGAGGTATCGATATCCCCGTGTTGGCCAACGTCATCAATTACGACTTCCCTCCCCAGCCCAAGGTGTTCATTCATCGGGTTGGTCGTACTGCTCGTGCCGGCCAGCGGGGTTGGAGTTACAGTCTTGTGCGGGAGACTGACGCGCCTTACTTGCTTGACCTACAGCTTTTCTTGGGCAAAAGACTAGTCATTGGCCGGGAGAGCGGAACGTCGGTCAACTTCGCTGAGGATGTCGTCGTCGGTGCGTTACCCCGGGACCAAGTCGAATCCCAGGTTGAGTGGCTCCAGAAGCTCCTTGGAGACAATGTGGATATCAATTCACTACGCGATGTCTCACTGAAGGCTGAGAAACAGTACTTCAGAACACGGACTTCTGCTTCCAGCCAGAGTGCAAAGAGGTCGAGAGAAGCTGTCGCTACCAAGGCTTGGACGCAATTGCACCCACTTTTTGGGGATCTTGACAATGCTACGGAGCAAGCCCGAGCGAACATGCTCGCCGTCATCAGTGGTTTCAAGCCTCAAGAAACTATTTTCGAGATTGGTCTTCAAGGCAAGAAATTTGTGCGCAACGAGGCTGCGGAAGTTGTCAAGAACATGAGGGCCAAACTGAAGCCGCGAAAGAAAGCCGAGGCTGACGAGGAGAAAGACGGAGGAGATGAGGAGATGGCTAATGAAGACTCTGAGTTTGATGACGAGAATCTGCCAAAAGCGACTGAGGAGACTAGTGATGCATTGGCTACATTTGATTCGGATTCATCAGAGGAGGAAGCCTCAGATTCGGAGCTCGAGGTCACGGTCTCTAGCAATGCCGCTCACAACAAGAAGAGCAAGGGCGAGAACTCATGGCAAGACCCCGAATTCTTCCTGTCGTACACACCACGCACGACCAACGCGGCAGAGGAGCGCGGGTACGGCGTGCACTCAGGCACTCAGGGCTCCAACTTTGTGGAGGCGGCAAGAGATGCCACCATGGATCTGACCAACGACGATACCGCCAAGGCTTTCGGCGTCCCGACGCGGTCCAAGATGCGCTGGGACAAGAAGAACTCCAAGTACGTCGCGCGAGCCAACGACGAGGACGGCACCAAGGGTGCCAAGATGATCCGCGGCGAGAGCGGCGTCAAGATCGCGGCGTCGTTCCAGAGCGGGCGCTTTGACAAGTGGAAGAGGGCCAACCGCCTGGGCCGCATGCCGCAGGTAGGCGAGGCCGAGAAGGCCGGCCTGGCGCGCCAGGTCTCGTCGGCCGCCCCCGGCAGCAGCGGACCTCTGGGAAGCGGCGGCCCTCGCTACAAGCACAAGAAGGAGCAAGCGCCCAAGGAGGCCGACAAGTACAGGGACGACTACCACGTGCGCAAGAAGCGCGTGGCCGAGGCCAGGGAGAAGAGGATCGGCAAGTTCAGGGACGGCGAGGGCAGCAAGCGCGAGCTCAAGAACGAGCACGACATCCGCAAGGCGCGCAGGGTCCAGGAGCTCAGGCGGGAGAAGAACGCGAGGCCTGCGAGGAGGGGCGGCAAGAAGAAGTGAACTGGTTGATGGCGGCGGGGGAGGCGCGGGAATGTGCATGCGGCTTTGCTGACGGGCGGATAGAGTTCCTGAAGGGGGTACAAGGCTGAGCCAGGGGGCTTGACATGAGCCTCATGATCGCGGCCTCGGGGAGCGATTTCTTCCCTTTGATTTATCTATAGGATCTACCCAATAGAACGAGCGGTGGTGTCCGAGCGGACCTGCTGCGTACCAGAACATCTTTTTTTCCCTTCATATTCAATCACCCTGTGAGAAGTGCACCCCTGACAAGATCTGACACCCGAGGTCAGCATACCCTTCTTTTTCCCTGCTGAGGCCCGGTCTGCCATCAGCCCAGTGGCGCATCTAGACACAACCATAATGTGACGAGAGATTGGGAAAAGGTGAGATCTGACTTGCCCCAGCTAGCGACTCTTCACAAACGCGACCGGCCGGGCTTACGTCACTGGTCAGTTGCCCTTCTTCCAAGGATAGAATCTCTCGCTCACCTCACACACTAAGCCATTGCAGCCAGCCTCGTTTCTCGACTCTAAGCAGAAACTCACCAGGTGACAGACAGCGTGGAAAAGCAGAGAGGATGCTTCTGGTCAGACTGAGGTTCCATCAATCAATTGCGGCCAGCGTACGCAAGCGGGCGCCACGATACCCACGATGGCTCTGAAGTTATGTGTCTGCACACCCATAGAGAGACACACACACATATACATATATATATATGCCCAGAATCTTCCCGTCGCTGATCTGAGAGAGTGTGGAACAGAAGAAGTCTTCATCACAAGTCGAAAGCACAAAGCCCCCCCCCCCCCTCAAAGCCCAAAGAACACCTTGTAACCAGAGCATCGTCAAAACTCCCATTTGTTGCCATATATACATTCTCGTTTCGTTAGACCTCGTCAAGTCAAAGTCAAAATGGTCATCCGCAAGCGCTGCCTCCTCTGGGACTACACCAACACGCGCGACCGCCCGGGCGCCATCGACCAGCTCAACTTCAACGGGCCCTTCCGGTCGGTCGCCAACTGGAACACGTGGGCGCCGCCGGAGCTCAAGGGCCGGCTGCCGTACTACCCGCAGGCGCGCACGCCGGCGCAGCTCCAGGACGGCTCCGAGGACTACCGCAACTTCCAGGCCGTCATCGGCGCCGCCGGCAGCAAGCCCATCAAGGTGCTCTTCCTCAACGAGCCCGAGCGCATCCCCTGCAGCCCGCAGCAGGCGGCGCAGCTCTGGCGGCAGAAGATGCTGCCCCTGCGCCGGGGCCACGGCAACGTCAAGCTCGTGGGGCCCAGCTGCGCCTCCGACGACGCCGGCCACAAGTGGCTGCGCGAGTTCATGGGCGCCATCGGCGGCGACAAGCCCGACTTCCTCGGCTGCCACTGGTACGGCACCGACGCCGGCGCCTGCAAGAAGTACCTCGAGGGCCTGCACAACGAGTTCAAGCTGCCCCTCTTTGTCAGCGAGATCGCCAGCATCAGCCGCGACGGCAACCAGGTCAACGCCTTCACCGCCGACATGGCCGACTGGATGGACCACCAGGGCTTCGTCGAGGAGTACGCCTTCTTCGGCTGCATGGCCCACGTCGCCGACAACTTTGTCAGCCCCGCTGCCCAGCTCATGGCCCCCGACGGCAAGTTCACCCCGCTTATGAAGCGGCTGATGAACGACCAGCCCATGAAGAAGTAAAGGCCCAGTGGCCAGGTTCTCTTTGTGTCTCTCGTATGCATATCCATCCCTATTTCCGGAGTTCTTGGGGCCAGGCTCGGGTCGATGAGTTGGCGGTCACTTGTATATGTCGCGGCCCCTATTTTGCTTGTCTCTATTAGATCTCTATTCGTTAGAGTTGGATGAGAGGTTTATCTTTTTCTTACCACAGTCGCTCATTCTCAATACACTTAGTCTCGAGTCCAGTCCTCTTTGCACATGGACATACATTCCCTTGCCCATATTGTCGCTAAAAGATGGTAAAACGTTTCACTGAATAATAGTAGAGCCCCAGTGACATCATGGCCTCGAACTGAAAACCTGCACCGTTCGGAGCCGTACCACTTTGGTGTCACGCCTGGCTGGTCGTCCAGGGAAAGGTCATTTAGTGCTCACTGCAAAGTCGATCGGCTGCCTCCAGACTTTATTCTTCATTGCTGACAAGAGTCTATATGCTTCCAAGCCTGATTTATTTGAATCCATTTCCTGGTCGTAAAAGTAGCAGGTCGCCGCGAAGGGTATTATTACATATGCGTTGAACTTTGTACAAAGGAGAAGAAAATGTTGATATGCAACGTATTGGTGCGAGCCATATTTGCCAAATGAAAGGCACCTTCGAGTAGAAGCCTCGTTACTCGCTCGCGCTCTCCTTGGCCGGATACCCTGTCAGAAGAATTAGCACTGAGATAAGATGCACAAGGGTCAAGTTGCACAAAGACTTACACCATGAACAAACGGCAATAATGCAGTACAGGCACATCAAAAGCATGCCCTCGAGCCAATGGCTCTTGCCGTCCGCAATCAGGTAGTTGACGAGCAGCACGGAGACAAACAACACGGCGACCTGGAAGATATCGAAGCTCAAGGACATGTCGTCGAGGCCCATACCCCAACCAATGACAACCAGGAGGGGGATAATGAACAAGGCAACCTGCATGCTCGAGCCGATGGCGACACCGATGGCGAGATCCATTTTGTCCTTGATGGCGACAGTGACTGCGGTAGCGTGCTCGGCAGCATTGCCGACAATGGGAAGGAGGATCAGACCTAGGAACTCCTTGCTGATGTGGCCCCGGGTGGTCACATCATCGATGCTGTCGACGAGAAACTCGGCACAAAAAGCGATGACGACAGTGGAACCAGTGAGAAGCCCAAGGGCTACGAAGAAGTGCAGTTGCGGCTCTTCGCCTTCTTCTTCATCTATGGGCGGCTGCATCAGCATCCTGGAGAGACGCTGATTGTCCTCATGGCCCGAGACGCCATGGGCGATCAGGCCCACTGGGTTGGCCAAGCCCTGCTTGATGTCCTTGGAGTGCTTGAAAGGCTTGGCAGGCACCTTCTGACTCTCCTCCGCAAAGACCGCTTGATGGGTCTTGAGCTGGAAGAAGAGATAACCGCCGTAGACGAAGAGCAGGATAATAGATGTGCCGCGGGAAAGGGCGGCAACATCGGCGACCGAGGTGATGCTGGCCACGTCAAAGACGGTGGGGACGATGACTCCGGCGACAGCCAAGGCCAGCAGACTGGCGGCAGTTTGCGCCACCGTGGTGTTGAAGAACTGCTCCTGTCTTCTAAGTCCACCAAAGAAGAAGCACATGCCCATAACAAGGAGCAAGTTGGAGAGGATACTGCCAATGAGAGACGTCTGGACGATGACGATCTGCTTTTTAACCAAGGCCATGACGGCGACAATCAGCTCGACAGCATTGCCAAAGGTGGCATTGAGCAGGCCACCAAGAGTTTCGCCGGTCCGGAGCGCTATTTCCTCGGTAGCGAAACTCAGCATAGCAGCCAAGGGAACGATGGCAACAAAGTTGACAACGAAAATGGCGACGGGATCGACAGAGGTGAAGTGGAGGCCAATGCCGACAGGGGCCGCGAAGAGGAGTATGTTGATCCACGAATTCAGAAAGGTCCTCTGCAGCTGGTTGCCAACCGTGAATGGCTCCTTGGGCTCGACATGCTTGAACAGCCTATGGTCCTTTTTCTTCTTGCCCTTCTTCTCATCCTCGGCATTCTCCCGAGCCTCTCCCGTCGGCGATGCAGAGGATCCAGCCACGCCGCGTTTCCTCATGCCAGAGGTCGTGTTGGTAGGCGTCAAGTGGTCGTTCAGCTCCGTCTCGCCGCTATACTGGCCACCGCTGCTCCCCGTAGGATCTGGCACGTCCTCCTCCTTGGACCGCTCGAGTTGCTCGGCGTGGATGTCATTGTTTGCACCCGACAGGTAAGACGTGGGGGCGGTCTGAGCATGTTCGATAGGCGACCCGACGTCTTGGGTCTCGTCTCGATCTACTTGGCGCTGGGCCTCGACATCCCGCGGGAATGTTTCGCTCCGGTTGTTTTTCTTGCGCCATTGGATGTGCGCGAAGGGGCTGAAGCGCGCGTCGGTTTCCTGGCGACTAAGGGTGTGCGCTTGGCGCTTGATATGATAATGACTGACTGGAGCCTCCATAATGGTTAATAAATGAGGTCTTGGTCAGACGCAGGGCTATGATGCCATTTCCCGGGGAGTTTGGGGAACACAGGCCGAACGGATGACGACTGTGGCAGGAGGGTAGGGAATGGGCCGCAACGATTGGTCTCGGGTTTTAAATATGAGATTTGGGGAGACAAAGAGAACACTGCTCGAGTGCTCCCCTGGAAAGATACAACAGCGATACAGAACAAGAAGAAGTAAGAGTAAGGATATCTGCAGTGAAGTGAAATGAAAGCCACAAAAAGGGAGGGCTGTGCACACCGAAGAAGAAGAAGAAAAGGAAGCAGGTGAGCAGCAGGAGGAGTGAGTGGTGCGAGCTAGCCTGGAGTGGTGACGAGGATGCAGCACCTATGGAAATGGTGAAGTGGTATCAAGTATCGAAGTGAGCGTGCTAAGGTGCAGGTGGGTATTGCTGCCCGGGAATTGCCAACGAACGGGGCGCGTGTTTTTAGTGTGGGGAAGGGAGTTTAGCGAGCAAAGTGCAGGGCTCATTCAATCCCCCCATGGACCATGGGTGAATGAATGTATGGAAATAACTTAGGTAAAAAGAAAAGAGATGGTGTGGAAAGGGGGAATTAACCTACACGCCATCGTTCCAGTCCAGTTTTCTTGCCGCTTCCTCGGCCTAGCTGCGTTGGACTTTGGGGCGGGCCCGCGACTTGTTGACGCACCACAGGCGAGATGGTCTCTAAATAAGCGAAACGGGGAGCTCGCTCTGGTGCATGTAATTATCCAGTTATCTCTCTGGTCGGAGGCCGCCGAGTCAAGTTACTGCACGCTATTCCGCGCCGCGCCTGGACTGCTCGAAATAGTGAAACTGGCCGGACAGAGTCGAAAATTGCGGATGTGGGCTTGCTGAATGTGAAATGCTTTTCTGCCTCGCAGGCTGACTGTCGTCGTGCCGTTCGCTTTGAAGCTATGTTGTGATTGACTTGTCGTGCCGTTTGGACTTGGCTGCTTTCGGCTTCCGACGATGGAGGGAGTCGTGGCCTTGAATCGAACAAAGCTGGTAGGAGGAGATCTGGTGAATTTATACTGCGCGTCTGTCGTGATGCCTGTGAGACGCGTTGGGGAGTGACCACGACAACCAGAGGGTCTAGAGTCGAGTTCCAAAAGTAGCACGGAGATATACGTGTAGGAGTGCGTGAGAGGGGAGGGAGAGAGAAAAGAAGAGTAAAGCGGTGACACGCAGAGCAGGAGAGACGGGGAGTGGGATGGATCGAAGTAAAGTATCCCGGGTGCTCTACTTGGGGAAACAAAAGAAAAGCAAGATTCGCATCCCCAGCGTCGGCAGCCACGAATAAGGTATTAAGGTAAAAAAGGTTAACAGCGTTTCAGCAGGGGGAAGCTGCTTCTGCCGATATTGATTGATCCCAATGCAGACTACCTACATGCAATTTCATCTCCCGAGCAGCAACGCCCCTTGTCGATCGCTGCTGGTCAGGTACCTCCCTACTATGCCTACTGTCATCAAGGTACCTACGCTTGTTTGCGCCCTAGTATGGGATATGGATGACGATGTGTTGGATTGCACACAAGGGGCAGCTTGCGCGCTTGCTGGCCCATCTCGCCTAGGCCACCAAGGAGGTACCTACCTCAGCTGAAGAGAGGACCGACTCTACTTCGCTTTACCGCAAACAGACAAATGGGCCGCCGCGGACTCAAAGCAAACATGAATTCATTCCCTTTGACCACCACAGTCACATCTCGCTCGTGGTACTCTCCCTAGTAACTGGAGTCGGGTCGCTCAAAGGGACAGCTCAGAGCTCGACTGCAGTCATCCAATGGGCAGGCAGATGCCGCCGGTCGATTGATCGCCCTGGCCTTGGTCTCGATATCCATGATGGCCGTCCGTGAGGCGAGTGTGCTGTCATTCATCCCTGGTCCGTCCTTCAACTACCGGCGGCGCTCCAGAGTGTCCCATGGCTGCCCGTCCACCCTCCCACACAACACACACCATTTCCCTGGAATCGATACCTTTTGATTCCGCGCCATGACGTCGCCGTGCTTCACCAACTCCGTCAACGTTGTCGCACCCGAGCATACTGGCACCAAAAGCCCTCAAATGGACACCCTCCGTCGGTGGTGACGACAATGCCCAAGCAACGGGTACCACCAGACGAGGCCGATGTCAGATCAAGCAAAGAGCCAAGATGGCTCGGCGCAGTCAAGATCTCTTGGGCATTCTTGGGGGATGCGGGTATTACCCTCCCAAGCTTTCTTGGCGCCTTGGCCCCAAATATCCTCTGTAATATTGCTCTCTTGGCGAAAAAGCGACGATCAATACGCTAAGGATGAAGCCTGTTCGCAAGTACGGAGTAGGTAGGTATGTTGGTATGTAAATACTGACATGTTGCAGGGCGCAATTAAGGCGCGTCACTGCAAGATATGCGCATGGATATATTTACTACAAGTACCTAGCTTGACCAACACGTGTGGCATCAGGGTACAGTGCAGCATCGCGCATCCAACTCACCCCCAGCATCGCTTCCTGTGCCTCCTATTCGCTTGATACCTATCCTGCCAACGGTTGGTCATCTGGCCTCACCGCATCAAAGATCAGGTCTGAAAGAACAGTAGCCAACGAATCAGGCGCGTACCACTGTGGCTGAGCCCGCTTTGCCCCTATGTAGCATTCTTAACTACCTACTTGGTAACGTGGTGGAAGACAACTCCAGATTCTATATGTCCCGTGGAGGGGATCACCACGCAGGTGGTAGGCCCCGAGCGCGAATCGGGATCCGAAAGGATCCTTGTACATGACCATGCAGACAGAGCAACTATCAAATTTCCCTCACACTGAGCGCCCAAATGCCCCCCACGGGCGGCCTCCCGCCTCCCGGCTTACATGCAAATCGCTACGCCAAAAAAATATAATCATACAACACCAGATAAAGCCTCAGCGCGGTCTACGAACGGTCCCTGAAGCTCTGACCGGGTATCCCCTCCTGCACGCTCCCCCTTCTGAAAAATCGCTGCGATGGTGTCAGGCTCACGGCCGGACTGCCCAGGCGCGGCCCGGGGCTCATCGCCGGCGGTATGCCGGTGTCGAGCCCCCCGAGCACGCTGGCTCCCAGACCGAGCGCGGGGATATGCGCGTCTGGTATTGGGCTCAGCGTCGTCGATGGCGCTGCCGATACACGCGGTGTCGCGGCCACCGTTTCGTTGCCCTGGTCAAAGGCTTCCTTGTAGAAGGCCTTGAGCGCATTCGCGTCCTGGCAGAAGGCCTCGAGCTGCTCCAGCACCGATTCGGGTTCGGGCGCCGTCCCTGACTGTAGCGGGCCCCCTTTGACCGTGATGTTGGGCGCCTGCGCCTCCGTGTTGGCCGGTCGCACCATGGGCGAGTTGAAGAAGGTGGGTTTCACGATGGGCGACGAAAACGGCGTCGCTTCGGGTGCGGGTCCCGGGAAGGGAGTGTACCCACCGCCCGATACGCCGCGCCCCGGTAGACCAAGTCCCCGGTCCGCTGAACCTTGTTGCTCGAAGCGTTGCTCTTTTTCGCGCGCAGCCACGGCCCTGGCACTGTAGACTCTATTGGCGAGAATCAGGATGTCGCCCTCATCTGTAATCTCGGCGAGGAGCACGCCGGAGCGGTGGATGAATTGCGTATACTTGAATTCCGGCTTGCCCCAGGAATAGCTGACATCAACATTGCTCGGGAAATTTGATGCTGCCTCCACGTCAAGAACGAAGTCGAAACGACGTAGCAGTGCTCTCTGATAGAAGAACTTCCCAGGCTGGGCTTGCGGCGCAAGCGAGTTTGCTTCGTAGTAGTTTACGGGCTGCTGTTTAGGCGGCCGTTCGGCCAATGGAATGATATAGGGCCTCCGGAAGGGATTCGTCTCAGAGATTGAGCACGCCTCACCAAGCGGGACCTCAACCAGACGCAGCCCGTATGGGAGTGTTTCTCTTGCCCATAACTCGATGACGTCCTCGATCAGTTTCGCCGTAACATTAATCCAGTCGATCCTGACGTGGTAACAATTGTCCGGGTTGTGGAGTCGGTCATAGTGAAGATCGATCCTTTCGGGTCGGTATGAACGTTTCCGATGATCAACATCATACTTGATAACCTTGCTGAGAACAACTCTTGGTTTCTTGCCTGGTGGGATCAGCGTTGTGGGCGTCGATGTGCCAGAGATCGGGGAGTAATTCTCCTGAATCGAGGTCGATCGTGGCCCCCCTGGACGTGGAGAATCCCGTGGTGCCGTTTCGGTCAGCGGGGTGGCAGGGGTCGACTGCTCCTTTCGTCTTTGATTGAACCATCCTTGCGATGGTTTGGCATAGTCTGCGGCGATACGGTAGAAGTAGTTGCCGTCTTTGAAGGGATGCCGTTTCGAAACGTGGACAAAAAGGCCTGGCTCCCGTCTCACCTCTTTGCTGACACCATCTTTGTTTTCCTTGTCTCTCTCTTTCGCCCTGTCCTCTTCAGTAGCCATGAGCATGTTTCCAAAGTCCACCGCATCCTCTCTCGTATCCAAGTCCTCGAAGTTGTCAAGCAGCCAGCTGGTCATATCGGAGCCAATGAAACAGTTGTGATAAAGGGTGAGATGCCACCTGCGGTTCTGCATGCGTACGCCCCCTGTCTCCACAGGCTGTTGCATAGCTTCAGCTAGGGCAGTGATGTTGACATTGGTTTTACGAAACTGATCAGCATTGGTGACTAGATGGCCCTTTCTGCTGCCTGCTTCCAGACCTTCTAACAAAGGCAGTGTTTCGAGCTCCGCGGCAATGACGACTGAGGGATCGTCCGTTTTGTAGACGATATCCAGCGGGTTGGGATCTCTTGTTTGACCACGCCCCACGCTCTGAAACCGGCGCTCGGATGGCGGGATGTATCGGTGCTTCTGCCATAATTGGCCAAGCCTGCGAATACCCTCGAGCCGACATTCTTCTTGATCCTGATCAGAAGCCGCCGGCCCCTTACAAGGAATGGGAATGAAGACAAATCTGGCTCTCCAGAAGCGGAGGTTTTCTGTCATCTCATCGTGATGGCCGGCAAGATATGAATCGATGTAATTCCAGTTTCGCTCAACGCGAGGGGTGATAATGTCAATGTGTGCGGTCTCATAGCTCCGATCCAGGATTGTGCGGATTGCCGGCTTGTACACAGGCATCCTTCCGTCGCCGCTAAATGCCGAGTCGGTCGATTTGCGAATATATATGTTGACCTCAACCTCGCTTCCATTGACACATGACAACTGGTGAATGATGTTGCCGACAGTCATGAAAACGCTGGTGCCATCCTCTGCCGCATGCTGTCGCGAGAATACATCGGCAATCTTGAGTTGCTTTTGGCCAAAGGCATTTGCGATGGCTTGACCTACAATAACCTGGAATCCTTGCGAGAACCGCAAGCTCACTAGTTCACGGAGCAACTCTTCTCTGCTCCTCGGCTCTTCGCTCATCTCGTCTTCTAGCTCCTGGGAGATATTGTAGGGCTGCTGTTGGTACTCGGATTCGAATTGTGTTTTGGTGGGGAAGTATTCTGTTGTAAGTGGTACGGCAGCAGGAGCGCAGAGAGCACGCCACTTCATAGCTTTCATTTCTGACGGTCGGGGAAAGACGTGTTGCCAACGGCTGTAAAGTGCTGTGTCGTCGATCTTACTTGCAGCAGGGTTCGAAGGATTGAGGATGGTCAACCAAGGTGACAAGGCTGCAGTCGGCGATAGTGTTGAGGGCAGCTCAGGGATCGCATCCGCAAGGAGTTTGGAGTTGTAGAGCTTGGAAGCAGCCTTCTGTGCCTCTTCGGCTCGTAGAGCATTTGAGAATCGCAGGTCTCGATCGTGCGACGTGAGGGTTTTAGACGTCATGGTGGTCGCCATGACAGAACCGGAAGCCATCGCACCAACGCCGTCTAGCGTTTCTTGAGCGCTTTTGATGACGATCGGTCGGCTGGGGGTACCCTCCCGAAGAGAGTTTATTGCGGAAGGGTAGCCATGAGATCCAACCCTACCCGACGAAGGCGTGCTGGTCCCGCTCACTGCAGTCTCAGAAGATGATGGCCGCATTTGGCCCTTAGTCGGCGTCATTCTGGACGAATGTCCTGCCAGGGGCGTAGGAGCCACAGACCTCGACGCGGCTACCGTCTCCGCCTTGACCTCTGCTACAGCAGCCTTTGGCGCAGCAATGCCAAAGCCTCGCTGGCCTAGACTGATCTGGCGCATGAACTTGGGTGCTTTGACTGGTGACACAGTTGCTTTGGTGCTTAACAAATCAGTGCCCTTGCGTACGCTAACCATGGATTCTCGTCTCTCAGCGCCAGATCTCTGTGTAAAACTTGACGACAAGTGTGCTGTAACTGATGGGCGGCGGTCGCCGATTGATGTACCGAACAATGTGCTGTCTTCCATCAGTTGCTTTCGAGTTCCCTCTTCAAGCTCCCGGCCAGACAAGTGAAGTCGGGAGCGTCTGGTCTTTGGTAAACGTGCTCTGCCTTCGTCAAACTCTCGGAGCTGCTTCCATAGCATCTTCTCCTGTGGGTTCGCATATCTGTCGGGGACAAATCTGTGGCCGTAAACATGGTCGTAGAGCGTGTCTGGGATCTTTCTGTTGTGGATGACAAGCATGTCTTCGAAGTCCGTGTGGCGTGGCCTGGGGGTGGTGAGTGGCTGAATGGCCTTAGATGGGAAGTACGGATCAGTGTGCAGAGGAGCTGTCTCGATCTCGTTCGTCTCGAGCACACTTCTCATTTGCAGGTCATACATCCGACAGCGAATGGTGAAATGTTCGCGAGACTTCTGATCGGTGTTCTCGAGGACAGAAAGCGCGATGCCCTGGTAGAAGAGAGTGTCGTCCGAGGTCCCATCCCAGAAAGAGACATGAAGCCATTGCGGGAGTGCATAAGACCACTCATTCGCAGGGTGACTAGAGAAGGAATCTCCTCTAAGAGTGATATCAGTACCTTTACTGGGAGAGAACGAGCCCACAGCACTGTTGTAGCTCCCTACAATCGGAGTCTGCTGTTTGGGAGTGCTGTCATAGCTGAGATAGAGCTTTGGTCGTGTTGTCGCACGACCATCGCGGTATTGAGGATTGCGGTAGCGGAAGAGGGGCACCGAATGAAGCGGCATCTTTGGAACGCAGATGAGATCTATCCCCAGTCCATTGCCAACCAATGCCTCTGTGGTTCGCAGTAGGGCATCGTACTCCACTTCGAAAACACCAGGCCCTGCAGTAATCACGGCGACCGAAATACCGGTCCGCATCAAGTCCCTGTCGATGTAGTCGTGGGCGAATAAGGAAGACGCCATATTGATAGCCTCCAAGAGATTGCCGTACATAGCCAAAGACGGTTCGGCTTTGATCTGGTGTATCGCTGATTTCTTTCCTTCAGACTGATCCATGGAGAGTGCCCCGTCCGGCTGCATCGCTGTTTGGTGGTAGAGATTGATGTCACGGCGAAAGTAGTTAAACTCTCGCTTGAGCTGGTATAATATTTTGGTCCACTCGCCACTGGCCATTTCACTGACCACAATACGGTAGAAATCCTTGTAGGGCCGCTTGTTTCCGGAGCTCTGAACGCCGGTGTAGTAGTCATCGAGGGTGTTGCTCTCCGCAAGGTCCGTGCTTAATCCCGTATCGTATTCCACACGAGCAAACATGGCAATACTCACGAGATGTTTGACCTTCAGTACCTCCCACTTCTTGAAGAGGGCTGGCAGAAATCCGTTCACCACCTTGTTGAACATGATTTCGCCGGAGCCGTCCGAGTCGAAGTCCCACATCTCCCTTGACATCTGGATGAACAGTACATACCGTGCAGATTCGCTTCGGAAGACTGGTTTCGTGTTTGACCCAAAATACGCAGACTGAACTTTGCGGCCTTCCACAAAGACGGCTGTGATCTTGGCTTTGATCGTACCAAGAAACAAAATGGATTGGCCCTTGTACACGGTCCTCTCTGCCAACTCTGTCCTTGTCAGCCTCCACATATCCGACCTCGAGAGGTACTGGTCCTTGAAGGAAAGCTCGACATGCGATGCCTCGATGGCAGGGTTGCTGCCATCAACCTTGGGCAGAGTGCTATTAGCTCAGGCTCGTAATGGCGACAAATCATCATGTCACATAGCATACCGGAGTCAGAACAACGCTTGCGCCATTTTTCATACCAAAAGCATCGGCTATACGTTTCGCAACATAGAGCTCAATCTTTGGATATCTCGTCTTGAGATCCTTTGGCATATCCTGGGCAATGAACAAGTATCGGCTCGCTGCAACACCATCGCTGTTGGACGGCTCCTGGCTTGATTGATTCGGCCACTTTTCCTGTGATGACTGTCGTCGAAGGCTTCCGTAGGAAGGCTTCTCAGACAGGGTATTGATGGCCATCAGGGTGCCAGGCTTGATTTCATGGTCGAAGAGGTCGAGGTTGAGCATAACATCCTCGCTGACGAGCGACTCGTTTACCGTCACGACGCATTTTCGCTCCAAGCCATTGCGCTTCCCTTGGGGAAGCTCGCGCACTGTCGAATGGCTAGACATTGTGTCAGGGGATCTAGGGCCATCGAGATGTTTGTCAAGGCTTGTTCGACTGAACTGGCGAAGGTGTGACGACCAGTGCGGAGCCTTCCGCGGCGCCGACGACGACGAACCATTGCGGGACAGCGGCATGGCGGAACTCATATGTGGCACCGGCTGAAGAAAGGAATCGCATCACCATTTTGGGGCTGCCCGTCTCTAGTTGAGGGCGGAGAGGTGTGCACAAGGCGAATGCAGAGGAAGGTAGTTCAATTGCGATTAGAAGCTAGAATTGGCTCGCTGAAGCTAATGATGCATGCATAGCGGCAGAATGATGGGAGCTCTGATTGTGGTGGCACGCAAGGCTGTTCACCGCCTTTGATTTCCCCACGCAGCCCCTGCACCAAGGTAAGTACAGCGCTCTTGACACCCCCCACTCCGGCGGAGATCTTGTAGCCCAGTAGCGAACTATCACCCGGAATTATCCCCTTCAAGTGTGGTGACCACAGGCCTATTTTTATTACCCAATACTTGATCCCGTAATAGGTGGCACCCCCCTAGAAGGGACGTGCTTGTTCAGTTGCCATGTTTGTGTGGTCGCCACACTTGAAGGGGGTTGTTTCACGATGATGCACAAGGCCTGAGCGCGCTCCTACACTCAGGCGTTTACTCACAACATCTGGCAGCTCCGTGTGAGACCCGATCGGTCCTTTGTTGGCAAGTACACAAACAGGTAGTGGGTGATCCAAGTCGACACCCGACTGGAGTGGTCACCATACAAACTGCTCATCCTTGAGGCAACACGGACCCTTTTGTCAGACTTGGGTGTTTGCTGAAAGGCAGGTTGATACAGAGAATGAGATGCGTTGGGTCAGTGTAAGTGCCAACTCAGGGGGCTAATGCAGCGAACTGAGGGACTTAAGATACCCATTCTTTATATTTAGACACCTACCTGCTAGGTAACTTGATACCTATACCTAGGTAATGTATATCCATATATAGGTTAGGTAGGCACCTAAATTATGAGGCTACCTACCTGAAGCACACAAACTACCTAAGACTAGATGATGTGGTGTTGACAGCGGCGAGCGAGCCCCTTGCGGCGGTTGCTTCAGCGCCTATCTCCCCGCGGAGAATAAGTGCCTCGGGACCTAGCGAGGATCCTTGCAACGGCGGCGAATGTCCCCACAGGGCCAAAGCTTGTTACACTTTTTGGGTCCTAAGCAAGCGCAGACTTATTTCCATATATCGCCGCTTCCCTTCTCAAAAGTCGCCGCGGAAGCGTCACCAGGTCCCTTGATCTGTTTCTGTTTCACGTATCCTTCAATTATTGTGTTCCCATATGATCCTATAAATTCTTTTTTATTTTCTCTCTCTTGCTCATTTGCACATCCTCTACCACCTTCAGAGTAAACCTGTTCGCCCGCAACGTAATCCGTCACCTGGCACAGCTCACGTTTCGGGGCGGCAATCACTTGTTAACGGCGAACTAGCGACCTGCGTGACACCTCGTTCTCGACATTCTACCCTGTCCTTTCATCTACCTACCTGCCTTACGTTAATTCCAATCTCCTTGGCATCCAGCCGCAATCATCGCCCAGGCACGCTCACGCAAATAGACGACCTAGAGGAAAGGAGAGCCTCGCGAGAAATCGAGACGAATAGTTTCAGGATGGCATTCTTCAAATTGACCCCGAAGCGACGGCTCATGGTGACAATTGGCATATCATTCTCATTCTTCGTTGCCGAGATCGCCAGTAAGTTCCCGTCAGATCTTATTGCCAAGCTCTGATACAACTGGTGATTAACTATAGCCTGCAGTTGCCTTCCTTACCAAGTCGTTGGCCTTGTTAGCCGATGCTTTCCATTATGTAAGACCTACCAGTGTCTCATACTCCTAGGGACTTAATATTTTTGTCCTGGCCTGACCCCCAATCAGATGAATGATTTGATCGGATTCATCGTCGCCCTTGTGGCCATAATAGTGAGTCAGTTCTGCAAAATTTCCACTGACAGACAATTAACGGTCTCCCGCAGATTTCAGAGCAAAGCAATTCTCCCCAAGACTTGTCTTTCGGCTGGGCCCGAGCCAGGCTTCTCGGAGCCTTCTTCAACGGCGTCTTCCTGTTCGCCTTGGGCATCAGCATCTTTCTCCAGTCTATCGAGAGATTCATCTCGCTTGAGCGTAAGGCAACTCGTTCAAAACTTGTAGACAGTTGTCACAATTGTCACTCACACTGGCCATAGATGTCCAAAACCCCAAGCTGGTCCTCATCATGGGCTGCGTTGGTCTCGGCTTGAACTTGATCAGTGCCGCGTTCCTGCATGGTAATCCAAGTGTTCCAACAATCATAGTGTGCATACATGTCAGGCTAACGTCTCAACAGAGCACGATCACGGTCCACCAGGGGGTGCAGACAGTCCTGTTCAGGAGCATACTGTCAACGGCACCAATGGGTCTGTTGAAGTGAGTTCAAGGTAGTCCGTGATCAAGTCTCTACACTGGCGCTAACAGGTTTGTTACAAGCTGCCTCGACCGCACGCCGAGCATCGCCACAATGTTGCCAAGCTTAAGAGTCCAGGCCACGACCTCGGCATGCTTGGTGTCCTCATTCATGTCATTGGAGATGCAATCAACAACATTGGCGTCATCATCTCGGCACTCGTCATCTGGTTGGCGGATTATGATGCACGTTTCTATGCGGATCCAGGTACTAGTGTTGGGATCGCCTTTATGATCCTCATCTCCGCGATCCCTCTCGTCAAGAATAGCGGCACGATCCTTCTCCAGAGTGCTCCGCGTGGTGTAAACATGGAAGACGTCAAGCATGACCTTGAAAAGGTTCGTACAATTCAACCTTAACCCTCGACGTCCAGTGCTGATCCCGAAGTTCAGATCGACGGCATCGAATCCATCCACGAGCTGCACATCTGGCGGCTGGACCAGAAGAAGGCCATCGCCTCTGCTCATGTCGTCGTCGAGGACCAATACATCAGCAGTTTCATGGACAAAGCCCGCACAGTGAGCGAGTGCCTGCACGCCTACGGCATCCACTCTGCCACGCTTCAGCCCGAGGTGGCTGTATCATCTCAGATTATTGCTGCGGCTAGCCGCGATGGGGAAAACGCCGACTCGTCCGCAACCGGCGTTGCCTCCATAGCATCCTCGCTACGCAGGCGGAGACTCGAAAGTACAGAGTGCCAGATATTATGTGGCAGTCTCTGCGAGGATCTCATGTGTTGCAAGTGAGGCGAGGTTGGCAGCTGAGCTGCTCGTCGTGCCTGCCCTCCACTAGAGTCGGCTGAGAGGCGACTATCTTATGCATAATGACATTTGCATCGCATTGCGCCTTTGGGCTAGACTACTCTTAGGGGAGGGCCTTTCAAGCTCGTCGCCAGCCAGTCATGCCCGAACGTGGCTCTTCTGAGAGGGCTCGACAGGCCGGGGACTGCCGGCCCCGATCCCGTGGCTTCGGCGAAGAAGCTAGAACAAGTCTGCAGAAGCGACCACCTAGCAACAGTGGACGTGGGGGTCATGCGAAATTCAAGTTGGAGTTTGGAGTCTGGATGGGTGCACAGGCAGAGATGATTCTTGCTCGTCGCGCCAACGATTCTTGCGACTTGGAAAGCAGTGTACGATACTACTTGGCTTGTACAAAAGCGTGATGACGATTCAGTGCCGTCTCCATATTTTCTCAGGGTAACTGCACTTAGGAAAAGGAAGCCATCTGGAACCCTCGGGGCGGTCAAGCGAAATAGACATCGGTTCTTCCCATTTAGGCAGATGTGCTGGGAGCTTCTGTGCGGACGGTACGTCATTGCGTTCTCTGACGGGACGGGCTCCTTTTTGAGACCCGGGGGCAGAGAGAATGAAGACACATACCCTAGGAAGAAAAAAGAAGAAGGAAGGCGCTCAGCCGCGCCTTTGCAACGTCACCTGCGGGATGTGGGAGCGGAAAAGTTGCGGTGAAGAATGGATGGGCGGCGCCCTGCTTTTTGGCCCGTGGCTCACGCCTGTCCGTGATGTCGCACCAGCCGGGGTAAGGTAGGCAGGTAGGGAGCCCGTGTACAAGTAATGGTATCTCTCAATGGACTTCCGTCAGCCATTCTGACCCCTGGCTGGCAGGGGTCACGGCAAGCGAGGGCCGGTCCGTCGCAGAGACGAACGATGAGCCGGCCGACATGTGTGAAGTCATGGTTGGAAAAACGACTGTTCACTTTCTTCGATGCTCTGTGCAAAACGCCAGGGCGAAACGGGGGTTTGATTGCAAGGGCGTGTGTGTGTGTGTGTGTGTGATGTAACTTTCCAGGGGTCCCGGATAAAAGCCATGTGGCGGAGCGGGAGAGAGCGAGACCTAGCTAATCTTTGAACAAGTGTGATGCTCAACGGACTGGGCGGTACATGGATAGCCCCGTCAAGCTTGCAGGTCTACCATCAGCGTAATTTGCAGCTATTTGTGTGCTTGCTCCGCGGAGCGACATTTCGTGAGTCGGTTCTCGTGGCCTTTGGACATGGAACCTGGGAAAGTAGTACGGGGACGGATGTGTAATGGTAGTTCAAGTACTGGCTCCTGGCAGACCATACATTCTCTCTTTTCTCTTTTTTTTCCGGCCTCGGAAGTTAGGAATTGAAAGAGTATTGTTCGCTGCCCACACCGGGTTAGTTAGTCTGGAATGGATCGGAACATAATAAGTGTGGTGTGTGTGGCCGGAGCATGTTGGAACTCGATTGTCAATGGTTCCCGCTAGACTACCGAATGTTGGTTTCGGGAGCTGGTCCCCTAAAGAACGCTGAGAAGAAAAATTCAAAGAAAAAATCTCGGACGAGTGAGAATGTCGACTCTGGTCTCAATGATCCCTCGCTCGAGAGGTGCGACCTATGACATGACGGTGCTCCACGGATTGTCAGATAGGCGGATGCAATGCAACTTTAAAAGGTCTCATCGAATATGTATACACAACATTTGTCGGTCATCATGCGCGACCGTTTCACTGCGCCCCGGGGGCCAGCAAGGCAGTCCTGGACGGACTCGTCACTGGCTTGGGAGAGGAAGGACGATCTCGGCCCAGCCCATCCAGCCAGCCAGGCTACCTACCTGCCTCCGTAAGTACGGAGTAGGTCTCTAGGCGTGGATGTCAAAAGCTGCCCAATATGGGGCCTCCATTCTTGTGAGGATCCATTGGTGCCGAGTGTGGATGCGAGAAGCGCCTTAGGAGAGGCTACCGAACAGACGGTCTTGGACCCAGTCCCTTATTTAGCGCAGCTCGCTCGGCTCAGCCAGGCCCTCCCTCGCACGTACAGGTATGTACAGGCCCACCACCACTGTCGTTGCATCTAAGTAGGTAGGTAGGTAAATCAAGGAAGAACCTCCAGGGCTGGCTCAAGTGAATCACAGCACACGAGAGGTGATGTTTTTGGTTTGCCACAGGAGTTGTTATTGCTACTGAGTATGTCGAGGCCCCAGCTGTTATGTGTATAATCACGATGAGAATCATATGGGCGATTCCGAAGACCTCGGTCTGCGAAGCGGATGTGTTGAATAGTCGTAGGCTGGAATGTTGACCGAGTCTAAAGTGGGCGGGAGAGTAGCCCAGGGAGTGGCATTCTGTAACATCTCAGGATCAAGGGAGCTGAAGATCTCAATCCTGTAGAATGCTCAGCAAACCTGTCCTTTCCCCAGCTTGGGGTACAGAAAGTCCCCTTCCCTTGGCCCTGGCCCTCGTCCTCGTCCATCTCCTTGTCCTTGTCCCCGTCCGACAGAGCCGGTCCTCACCGCCTGGGTCGAGCAATATCACTCTGATCCTGGAAATACTACCGATGGCAAACAACGCATTATGCAGACATTAATAAGTCGCTGGCAAGGTGGCTGGTGATTGGCGGGCACTGCCTGTCGTCATACCTACTCGGGCGGGCCTTTCTGGTCTCCTCGGTCAAGCAATGGATGAAGCAGCCAGGTAAAAGGGCCTGTTCCCGGAGTAATCACATGTTTTTGAAGAGCCCTCAGCTGTCCATGTTATGGGATGCTCGTTTTCGTGGTCAGACTCGTGTGTCGGACGGCAGGGCAGCCACTCCAGCCCAGCTGCATGTACCTAGGTGTGCAGGAGAGCCATGATCAAGAATCGTGTGGGATAGTCGGCCAGTCCGTTGAATTTGGATGGATGCGAGGTGAAGTAACCAAGCTCTTGGGAACAAGATCGGGGAGCTCGAGGTACTCAGGACCCAATCGTCACCACCACGCTCCACCAACTAGCCAGGAGAGCCCACTACTACACTCCACCGCGACGGGGCCCTGTTCTAGCCCTGGCCAGTTGAATGAAGGCCAGCCCGAGGCCCTCTCCAGTGCTGTGTTGGATGTTCTCCATGCCGCCGCTGAGGTGTTCCTGGCCCGGCCGCAGCCATCCATCCATCCATGCTCGATTTGAGCGTGGGCGTCGTGCACCAGCCTGCAGGCACTTTACACATCCGTGTCTTGTCTCCTCTACACCGCAACTTCTCTTCCCTTGCCCGACTCTTGTTGATCCTGAACCTGTCCTCGTGGATAAACACCTTGGATGCGCCGCCTTTCCGCGCTGCTGGTGCTGGGCTGCGACTTTATCCTTTTTCTGCATCTGTGGCACGCTCTCTGTCTCGCGTGCGCACAAAGACACACACACGGCACACACACACACACACAGAAGCACTCGGCGCAAGGTCAAAGAGGGCCGGTTGCACTGCACCGACAGGCCATCATCACACCTTCTCTCCTCTTAGTATCTCATCCATATCCGCGACTCTCTCCGATCCGATCTCTGCCGGTTGACTGGTAGACTACACCACCACCACTTGAAAAAGTAACACCAGGAAAATAATAGTCATTCTACCAGAGCCGGACCGCTCATCAATCTCTCCGGATCCAGAGCCCGTTTCCGCATTCTCCCTGTCCCTGTGTCTGAGCCGCCATTCCGCTCCAAACACCAAGCCAGCTGTCTCGCTCATCTACACCGGCATTGGGCTTTGGACGGCCGGCCCGAGGCAGCGCCTGTCCACCCTCAACCCAGCCATAAGTTGCACGCAGCACATCCCTCTACCCTGTCCTCTGATGGAATATCCCGAGCGCAACGCAAGCACCGGCTACTGAGGCATAACCATCACCCGACTCTCAGTTCTACCTCTCTCTGGTCCGAGGTCTCTTCTTGTCGACATATCACACGCGATCACCCAGCGATCTAGTCCAGGAACGGAGTGGTGACCGACGAATTTATTAGAGTTCAACTCGTCAAGCCCGCACAGCGTAGACCTCTCCCTCCACTCATCCGCCGCCACCTCAACATTTGATCCAGAACCCCTCTATGAGCTTTCACCTGCTCACTGCTCACTGCTCACTCAATTTCAGACACTCAAACTTTGGATCGCATTCACTGCACCGAGGACATACCAGCAACGCCAGCGTCGTAGCTAATAATCTTCGACAGTCGACTCGAGCCCGTGCCAGAAGCCTCGCCCAATTATCCCCGCCATGCACTTGCGTCTCCGCTCATCTCTATCAAGGATGTTGAGCTCCGGCTGGGCGCAGTGAGCCTTTCCCAATTGTTCAGGACTCTCCTGTGCCTCTTTCCGCCCACAGTAGCCGGAGATGCTGGGGAAACTCTTCAATCTGACCTCGACCGCTCCGGTCGCCGCCACACCGGTCACGCCGGCAGGGCCTTCCAAGCCAATCTCATCCCTTGAATCTGTCCAGGAGGATGTTCACACCAGGAATCTCCTGTTTCCGGACGCACAAGCCCTCTTCCAGCACCGCAATGACCAGGTCTTTCCTCTGTCTGCGCCCTCGACTCACCCGGCCGCCTCGAGCGCCGATGCTTTCGACTATGAGGGCGACATAGAACTAGACACGCGCGATGTGCGCGTCCTTATTATGCAGGATGCCCTGAGCTCCACGCCGGCGACCGTCTTATATGACAGCCAGCCGCCGCCTCCTGTTCCCACCTCACCTGCCACTGAACGCTCCTCCACCACCGGCTTGGCGCATGTGAACCTGTCCGAGTCTCGCAGGCTTCCGACGTCGCCCCGGAAACCCAGCATGGGACATTCTGCAAGACCGGTCATCATTCAGCCAGGCAGCCCGCAAAGGCATGGAGTTTTCGATCGCCGCCCCTCGATCCAGAGCCGCGCGCAGCCTCGCGCCGAGTCCGAATCGCAACGTGCTCATCGCGAGTACACGGAGGAGCTGGCTGGGTTCTCGAGCTGTATATTCGGCAATTCCGAACTGCTGGCGTACAAGGGAACCTCGACCAAAATGCACCTGGTACCTAGCGACAGGGGCAATGATTTTGCCAGCCCTCTCCCCGGCGACGGCCGTGGATCGTTTGGTCGGGCCAGCATGCGTTCAAGCAAACTTTCTCAGTCCTTCTCTTCCGAGGCTGTATCTCCAAATCCAGCCACAGGCTCGCCCTCTGCTACTTCAAGAGCTGGGGACAGAAGGAAGGTCTTGATCACTCGTCTCTTTCCTGTCAGCCTGCCCAGCGACGATGATGACATGGTCACCCCACACAGCCGCTTCTCTGACGACAGTTCGGGATATCCGTTCCCGCAATATGGCGAGGATACAAAGGGCAAGAAGAAGAAACCGCAGCCAAAGCAGAAGCGCACACCCATGTATGCTGTCGCGTTGGTTATCAGCCTACCTCAAGGCTATTCCCAACCTAGCTCCGCCGCGCCTTCAAAGCCCAGCTTCCGCGGTCAAGGTTCCTATACCGAGCAAGACTCGTTCCCGTCATCGTTTGGATCGGCCCGCCGCTCAGGATGGACCATGGTGGGGATGGACTCCCTAGACGCCTCGTACACGAGCGATATCGAAGACCGTATCGACGCTATCACTCAGCATTGGGACATCATCATGAGGACCCTGACGCACATGCAGTCAGCGGTCGCGGCAATTCTGTATTCCATGCTCAAGCATGCCGATATTGCCTCTCCAGACCCGTTCCCTGCTTCCATCTCGTCACATATCTCGCGCACCCCCTCATTTTCCGGTCGTCGCCGCAGCGAAGATGGCGGGTCGACTAAGCCGCCGAAGTCTAACGCTAAGCTGATCAGCCTTTTCCCCAACTGTCTTTTAGACAATGAACAAATCAAGGCCGAGGTGGAGGTTGCGCGATCACGCGTTGTCAATGGACTGCGGGCAACACGAGTCGTCACTGGCCAGAACCGATGGAGCATCTGGAGAGAGGAAGCGAGATGGGTCGCCAGATGGGCCGCGGAAAAGGAGCAAGCGCCTTTCTTCTACAACCTACTGACGGGGTTCCTTGCCACTCATACCGACTGGCTGCAGGCTCTCAGTCCCGCCTGGTATCGGCGGCGGCATTTGCAGCAGCAGAAGGCGAAAGGGGATGAAGACACATCACTCCCTGCGCGAACCATCATCGTGTCTCAGGACAAGATGGCAGCAAGGCGTCTCATTTTCCTTCTGTCTGCCTTTCTCCCCGCCAACCAGCAACTTCCGACCATGCGGATGCACAGGCCCAGTACCTCGACCTCGTGGGGTGCAGGGTTCTCCCAGTCGCCCCCCTCGTTCGTCGTACCGATCCTCAAGGAGGAGTCATTGCGGCGCAAGATCAACCGTCGAAGCGGACTGCGGCGGGCTTCTCACTCGCGCAGTGCCAGCATGCAGGGCCCCAACCCTCGTACTTCAGGTGTTCCTGTTCACCTGGCGCACCTTGCCATGGAGAGGGGCCATGAACGAAGGGCATCCGATGCATCGTCGATACGGACCACGAACCTTCCGATAACGGGCGGTGACTACGCCAGCAGGAAGAGCAGTACGGCGACCGCTGCTACGATTGCTCCAGAGCCCACTATCCCTCACTTCGCAACGCTGCAGAGGGCCGAGACTACGGGATCGCACATGCGACCAGGGAGTGCCAGCAGCGCTGCTGCTGACGACCTGAAACGGACATTGCGGAGGGGCGACAGCGTGGGCCATGCTAGCATGGGAAGCACGGACTCGAGGCAGAGCTCGCGCTGGGGAAGCGTCATTAGTGGCTTGTGGAATGGGCGGCGACGCTTGTCAACGGACATAACCGCCCAGACGAGAGACTCGTTGGACAGTCGTGACAGTACGACATCGTCACCTACCAAGTCTCATCGCAAGAGGGCGTCTTTGACACAGATGGTCAAGGAAGCCCAGAGCATTGATCCTGCTGACAAGATCAAATCTCGCGATACATCGCCCCGGACCTCGAGAGATCTTGTCCAAACGAGTGGGCTCGGAAATGAGAGCTCGGACGCTCGGCAAAGCCGCGCCTTGGAGCAGTTCCAGCGCACCCCCGACCCGTCGGGTGCGTTCGAGTCGCCCGTCAAAACATCCATCAACGCCGAAGATGGCGTCATTGATGTCGACGTGCCGTTCCCGGAGTATATCACGTCTTTTGAGACTGCGGTGAGCTCCCCGTCGAGCAGTGGTTACTTGTCGACTCCCGGACTCGGCAACGGCCTCGAAGCTTTCGAGCAGTCCTGCCGCGTTGCCATCGACGGCGACGTACCGCTGAACGTGGCGGGATGGCTGCAGAACTACCATCCGGATTTTGTGTTGCAGGGAATTCCTCCGCCGAGTGGAGATCTCTTTGAACACATCCGGGACTCGCTCCGAGCGGAGCCCTCGCCGCCGCTGTCGTCGTATTCCATGTCGGTCGAGTCGCAGCACGAGCGATGGGTGGAAGTATCCAATGTCATTGTCGCTGACACTACCAACTTTACCATTACGCGCATCCGCTACCGGCGCCTCATCAGACCCGTCATCCCCAACGACAGGAGGACGCCGTCGCTGGCAGGCTCACTTACGCGCTACGGCTCGCTCCAGCCGACGCCGCTCTTCTCGCCCCCGGACATGCAGCTCGAGGAGGAATTCATTGAAGAGCCGGTGGCCTGCCTGGATGACGTCTTGATCGAGGCTGTCGAGAAGGTCATTGCCCATAGCAGCGACGCGAGCAAGGTCAGCTCCACCTGCTCGTCCCGGTCGGCTAGCATCCGACGCGACCGTAGCAACAGCACCTCTACGGGATCCGACGAGCCGCAAGGGCTGCCCCGGTATCTCGGCGTGACGTCGGCACCGCACGAGGTGCCGAGGGCGGAGTGCAAGACGGTGGTGCTCTCGGCCCTCGAGGAGATCGTCAGAGAGGTCATCGAGAAGCGGGAGAGGGAAGGCCGGGAGGGAGACGAGCACAAGAAGGTGCAGGAGAAGGAGGGCTCCCTGAGGCGGGCTGTGCGGACGTGGATGGAGAATGTCGAGATGGGAGAGTGAGTGAGTTGCCTTTGTTGTTGCTTGAAAACGTGATACCCTGAAATGCTCTTCCCCCCCCCCTTTTCCAATGCACTCGACGGCGCGAGTGGCTCGTATAGCGTCTGCTCTTTTGCCTGTCTTCTACTGCTTTGTGTTTTCTTTTCTTTTTATTTGCCTTGCTTGGAGCGTTCTATGTTGCTGTAACACTATCCATCCACCCTTTTGCCCGACACGGGGCAAATGATGATACCCTATGCTCTTTGAACACGTATCCATGTAGACTTGTTTCGGATATCTATGGCACAGCGGGTTGCATTTCATCCTAGAAGGACTAGAGAGAGTGGTTCATCGTTTAAGGGCATTCTTTCGAGACATGCAGGAAATATACTCTCTATAATTATACTACACACATTTGTTCGGACTTGTCCCTTTGTTTGTTCCCATTCTCTGCCTAATACGTGATTGGAGACGAGAGCCGAGCCGACTGGCCACCGGAATCTCCATCCCGATGCTGGAACTGGGTGTCTGGCCACTCACCGATGTTCCTTGGCCCCGGCTCATTCATGCCCTACGCTAAGAACCAGACCGCGGCATTTTTTTCTCCTTTCCGCCCACACACCAAAAACTCATTTTACTTTTCTTCACAAACCGAAATTACGGGATGTATCAGACATCGAGAAGGGGATATGGTCTAGTGGTATGACATTCCCTTAGCATGGGAAAGGTGTTGGGTTCGATTCCCAATTTCTCCAACCTTCACTTTTTGCAGTTTCCTCAGGCTTCCATGTAGTTATGTACACTGACCTACGTACTGTCGGGCTGCATTTTTGTTGTTTGGTTTTTTTTGTTCTTTTACTTCGACATTCTTCCCTTTTTTTATCGAGGAGCTCTCGTCACTTGGAAGATGCATTTATCTTTTTATTTGGTTCTTTGTTCGTGTTGTTGGGATATTGGGCTATGTAGACCTCAAGTGGCAAGTCTAACTTTGCGGAAGGCTGGATAACAAAGTCATGGAATAAATGCCATCGAGCCATCCCATACTTCTACCAGACTTCAGAGTACAAGTCACAAGTCGAAATATACCGCCCATCAGATTCTTAGGGTTGAGACAAAATCAAGATCATCAAAGACACTCGCTTCTATTTCATAACAAATGTGGTGTGGGAGGTTGATGCGCCTAGGATACGACAAAAGCGTAATATGTACAAAATGCCTCGCAGCTTCCCTCTCTCTCTCTATTCTGACTCTACGACATGACAGACAAGCCCTTTGCTCTTGTTTCAGCCCTACCCGGCAGCAGCAGGAGGGGGCTCCCTCGGGCTCCGAGACCGGTTGGACGAGGCGCCGGCCCCCTTCCCAATGATCTTCTCCTGCGTCCAGTTCCACGCGCCCGCGAGCGGGCTCGAGCTCCTCTTGGCGTTGCTGTCCTCCCCGACCTCCAGCGACCCCGTCGCGACGCTCAGCCCTGCCCCCCCTTTGCCACCGCCCGGCCGCGACTTGTTCATGTCGTCACCGTCCTCGCTCTTGCGCCGCGGGGACGGCCCACCGCCGTACGCGAGATCGTGCGCCTCGGCCTCGCTCTCGTCCTCCGTGTCGAGCCAGTCCCGGTCGCTCCAGCTCACGCTGTCGAGCCTGTCCGAGCCCGGGCGCGATAGGGGCCGGCCGCTCTCCTCGCGCAGCGGTGTGCGCGGCAGCTCCGGCACCGTGTCGGTCGCCTCGCGAGCCTCGCTCACGGACCGCTCCAGCTCGCGATGCGCATCGCCGCCGACGGCATTGGTGGCCGCGACACGCTTGTTCTTTCCCACGTCTGCTTCCTTCGCACCGCCACCACCACCACCACCACCGTCAGCCTCGTGGCTGCGGCCACTGCTCCCGCCGGGCGACCTCTCCGGGCCCTCGTGCCCCCCGCTCCGCAGCCCTTCCGTCTGCGCCTCCGTCTCGGCGCCGTGCCGGTCGGGCGCCTCGCCCATCGGGAACGCCATGTCGCGGCCGCTCTCGTCCTCGTCGCGCATGCGCGCCGCCGCCGAGTCGCTAAAGTGCGCGTCGACGAGGTGCTTGACGACGGGCCAGCCGAAGGCGTTGGCAAACATGCGGCGCACGATGAGGTTGTTGTGCGCGTCGGGCTCGAGCTTAACGAGGACCTTGCGCCACGACAGGCCGCGGTGGTAGGCCCGCGCGATCTTCTCCTCGACGCGCATCTGCGAGCTGTCGACGACCTCGCCGGGGTCCCGGTCCGGGTTGGTGTTGGCCGCGTCGTCGTAGTCGTGCTGCGAGGCCATCGAGTCCTCGCGCGGCATGGTGGGAGAAGGGGGGTACGGGGACGAGCTGCCGCTCTTGGCGCTGTTCTGGTGGGTGAGCGTGGAGCCTTGACTCTCGCCAGCTTGGGGCACAGAGTTCGAGGACGAGGTGCGTTGGAACGATTTACGCCGAAGAGAGAGGGCCCCTGTGGGACGCTTCTTGAGGGGCGGTGGTGGGATGTCGGAAGGATGGTACACCCGATCGTGGAAGATGGTCCGTGGTCTCTTGGATGGGTCGATGAGGTACTCAACGGAGGGCAGTCGGGGATTCAGCAGATCGGCAGTCGACTCGAAGAAAGTAGTCCTTGGAGGTGCTGACACGCCCTCAGGGTCGTCGCCGAGCTCGTGACCAGTCGTCACGCGTGATCTGGAGGACGAGGCAGAGTTGTTGTCTGTCGAGTCGTCACCAGCCATCACTTTCAGAGTCTGGCTCCTTTTGTATATCCTATTCTGCTTCTCGCTGGGTGGCGGTGTCGGCTTGGGCGGCTCATGGCTCTTGAAGAAATTGAAGATACCACTCAGAGGGTTTGGGGTGTTGGTCGAGGCTGTTGAGTAGCCCTGTGCGTCAGGACCGCTGCCCTGGATCCGCTCCGGGTACGGGTTTGTGACCGATCTCAGGCTTTGCCTGTCGTCCTCCAGGACCGTGTTTGCCGATGGCTGTGGAACCTCGTGGTCGTTGTGCCCATGCGCAGTTGGACTTGTAGGGCTTGTTGATACTGAATCAATCTCCTCTTGGCTCGGTTCTCCGGTCTGCTGGTCTGAGGGTTGGTACGGCGCTGTTCTGGGCGAGCTCACGTTCGCGCCCGTCAACTCTGCCCAGCCGAAGCCGACGACGGCCTCGACCAAGCCAGTCTCGCGTCTCGCCTTTTCCACCCGCTCCAGACCCTGCCAGTCCAGGAACAACAGGCAGCTCGTCCGGAGGGGAACGATTCCGTCGTTCACAACATTCGAGTAGACCGTTCGGTTCCTGAACTTCTTGAGCGCGGTGTGCGCAGGCCCCGTGGGAAGGATGCGCAGGAGCGGCTTAGACTCCGGCTGGGCCTCGCCGAGCACCCTTTTGTGTGCATTCTCGCCCAGGTTGACGATAGCGCCCCAACCGCTCCTGGCAATTGTTGGCGCCCTCCACGTCAGCCCCAAGTCCTGGCCAGTCCGACCTACAAAGCCGAAGTCAAGGGCAAACTTGACATATAGCGGGTTCTCGTGGTTGAGTCCAAGAAATGGAGATGCTAGCGCAATGAAGTTGATCGGCTTGATCAGATCGAAGAATTGTGGCGAGTGCTTTTGTATATACGCGACTGCGTAGGTCTGGACCAACCCGCCTAGAGAGTGGGCAATGAAACTGATCTTGGTGATCTTGTACGCCCGCCTCTCGACTTCGATGGGCGCCTTGTGAATCGTGCTGTGTTTGTGGGACGGTTTTCCCTCGGTCCCGTGCTTTGATGAGGACGCATTCCCCGGATGGAAGACGTTGGAGACGGACTCTGAGGCTGCCTTGACCGCAGGCAGAAAAGGCTGGTCCGGGTACGTCATCGAGAGAACATAGCGAGCCATCCGCTTCCCCAGATACTTGATACCTTTCTCTGTCCGGGTAGCGTTGCCCGAAAAGCCACGCACGATTACCTCCTCATCGTCGTCATCCTCCATGTCAGGGCGGGTCTGCGGCTCGGCACTCTCAGCGCTGGTAGCTTGCTCTTTCTCGCCACCCAGGTCTGCGTTCTTCTGCGCAGCCTCGGCCTCAGCCCTTTCCTTTTCTCTCCTCGCCTTCCGGTCTATCCGTGCTTGCCTCACTCCCGCGTCGATGCTCTCCTTCAGGAAGAGCATGTCGGCGCCAAGGTTACTGTGAATCCCATGGGTCAAAAGCACGAGGTGGACCTCGCGCAGCTTTTCAGGGGCCGAGCCGGATCTGGCATCGCGCTCTCCTGATGATCTCCTCGGCGGCGCATCCGGCACGACTGTGACATTGGCACCTGCTGCGGCACCTCTACCCTTGGCCCTGGGGCCGACCTGCCAGCCAGGGAGCTCGGGCTTGTTCCACAGCGCCGCCGTGTCCTCGACCTTGAGCCGCACCGCGCGGGAGAAGACGCCCCTGGGCTGCTCCGGGTGGTGCCCGTCGCGGCCCTTCTGGTAGTCGCTGACCTTGCCCGGCTGGGGCACCTGGGCCTGCCCGCCGACGACGGGGATGCCGGTCGAGGAGGCGCCGATGCTGAGCGACTTCTCGTCGCGGGCGACCATGACCTCGTAGTTGACGGCGGCCGAGGCCGAGAATATGACCTGGCTCGCGACCTCGACGACCCACGAGACCGACTGGCCCTCCTTGTCCGGGCCGCCGCCAAAGTAGCCGTGGCGCGTGCCCTCGCCGGCGGTCTGGCGGACGTCCTCGGGGACGACGAGCCGGCAGCTCCAGACGCCGCCGGCCTTGAGCATGGGCTCGAACTCGGGGACGCCGTAGCGCCGCGGGTCGGGGAATTTCCGGTTGGGGTCGAAGTGGGAGGGGTAGGCGGCGACGGAGAGGGTGTAGGGCCCGTGGACAAAGGCGGCGCGCAGGGCGATGGCCGAGGTGTTGCGGATGCGCAGGTGCAAGACCTCCGGGGAGGGCAGGATGCGGTCGTGTGAGGGGGTGTAGGTGACGGTGTAGCGGACCACCTCGCCTACCTTGACGCTGCCGATCTGGTGTAGGAGAAGCATCTTGTCGAGCGCCGGTCTGCCTCACGGACAGAGGCTAGTTGGATGATGCCGGCAGGATGATAGTTTGTGTTCAGGGGAGGCTGCTTCGATCTGGTCGGGGCAAGGCAAAAAGCTGCGAGGCTCGCACGCTCATATGGGTGCGAGCGGCGGCAGCGTCGGCGGCGGGTTTCTTATCAGGACCGGACGTGTCGGAATGTTGGTGTAGAGACCATTTTCGCAAGAGGTAAGGAGGAAGTACTAGGTATGTAGGCGGGAGGGATGGAGCGGAAGCTTAGTCTAAGTCCTTAGTCTTGGCAGGATGAGAATAATTGCCGAGACCCAAGAAGCACTTGGTTGTACAAGATCCGAGCTCTGTATTCACGGCTGTTGTGCGAGAGAGGGAGGGAGAGCATAAGCACAAGGAGGCACAGTGAGATTCCAGTCTTTATGTCGAGGTCGGTCAGACAAAGAGATGGGATGCAGGGCGGTCAGAAAGGTCCAGTCCATGGGTACTTGTATGATCACGGGTGGGTTTGGGCGCTACAACCTAAAGCTAATAAAGCACTGGTGGCCCGCCCGATGACGTTTTCAGCTACTAATAAGCAACTGAAGGGTCCCGAGGTCGCATGCAAGGAACCCCTTGGCAGGCCTCCAAGACGCTAAATTGGCAGCTTGGGACTGCTGGCTTTGGATGGATTGAGTGCTCACCCAGAGAAATAACTGGAGGTCTGCAGACACTTATACAAGTACCTACATACCTTAGCCGTCATGTTAGAACGGGGACAGTAAGGATTGTTTATTTGCCAAAAGGATTACCTTTTCTTGGCCCTGGATGGTGGGTAGGTTGAGGATCCATCCTACCGAGTAGAGTGTTGAGATCGAAATGACACCAGTGTTGATGTCACAAGACCTTAACTGTACTTTTAATTCGTGTGCTCACGCATCACATTACCGCATCTGTCCAAAAGATACGCATTGCCCTGTACTAGGTAGTATAAGCACGCACCAAGCACCAAGCACCAAGCACCGGTTAGTTAGTTCAGCACAGATATTCAGAAAACCCCACGTGGAATTGCTATCTCCTCCTCTCTGAACAAGATCAAGATACATCCAGAAAGACAAAATACAACATCCAGCACAAAGAGGGAATTCCTGAGGAGTTTCGAGTGTGTACACCCCATAGTGTCCTGCCCAATCCAGCCCGATCCTCCTCTTGCAGCAATTGATACATTACCCCAGTCAGTATCTTTCATCAAATCAAGTCTACCTACAACCCGCCAAATCCTCACTAGAACAAAGAGCCAAGCATCCAACTCCCAAGAACGCCCAAAGAATAATACAAAAAGATTGTCATCAAGATTTCGTGCTGTCATGGCCATTTCGTGTCGTGAGATCTGTCGTGTGGCATCGATGAATTCTGTTTCTGTGATCAAAAGAGAGAAAATTTGGAGAGAGAAAAAAAAAAAAAAAGAACAACATGTGCGATAAATGCATCAATAAAACAACATCAGGACCGCGTCGACGCCGGGGGCAGCTGCTGGCCTTCCTCCGGCGGGCCGGGCTCGACGTGGTTTCTCCACTCAAAGACCCTGTTCATCCCGGCTCCGGGTCCAGTGAGCCCCGCGAGCATCGAGCTCTTGATCTCGGGTTCCTCGCGCTGGTGCTGCCGGTGGTGGTGATGTCGTCTGCGGCTGCGGCTCGACGTCCGCGGCCGCTCCTCCTCCGCGTCCTCCGCATCCTCTTCGTAGATCTCCCGCCGCCGGCTGTAGTTGGCACTGGGCCGTTCCGACGATCTCTGCCTGTGCCGTCGCGGGCTGTCGTAGTATTCCGGATCTGCCACGCTGTGCCTCCTCGGTGACGAGGGGTAGCCCGGTACCGCCGGTGGCGGGACTGGAGCCGTGGGCATGGACATGGGCGGCATAGACATGGATTGCATTGATGGCATGGATGGCATAGACGGCATGGGCTGCATGGGCTGCATGGGCTGCATGGACTGCATGGGCAAGGCAGACATGGAGGGCTGCGTGTGAATCATTGCACCTGGCGGAGGTGGAGGCGGGCCAAACCCAGTCGGAGCATGGCGGTGCGTCGGGCTCGTCCTGGGCTCCGTGCTGAACCGATCTGCGAGTCGTCTTTCCATGCCCGGCGCGAACACGCCTCGCGCCTTGTTCACGCCGGATATGTAATCCGTCGCAGAGTTTGACCTCTCGAGCGTGGCAGCGTGTTGCACAGGAGGAGCTGCGGCCGGAGGCGGCGTCGGTGCCGCTGGCGCCAATGGGTTCATAGGACCCCGTCTGTAATCTTCGCTCGCAAAAGGGCCTGCCTGATGCCCCATGCCCATCGGGTCGCCCATACCACCCCGAAAGTCATCATCAAGTGGCACAGCTTGCAGCCTCCGAGCTAGTGCGTCGTCATCCTGCTCCTGTGGCATCCGACGCCTCCTGTCATCGTCGTATACATGGGCATTTACATGAGGAGGTGCATGAGGAGTATGAGGTGGAGTGTGGGGGGACATGTGGTTTACCACCATCGGCATCGGGGCAAACGGAGGCGGCTGCATGGCCGGCATGTGGTCTCGAGGTTGCAGCGGCATCGGGCCCATAGGGTTCGCCCGGATGTCCATGGGGATTTGCATGTGTGCAAGGCGGTCATTTTCAACGTCGTCGTAGTTGAGCCACTGACAGTCACAGGTCCTCCACTTGTTACCACATACCATACAGAACTCTGCTCCGCATCGGCTTTGGATAGGAAGTGTTAGTCAGGATAAGATGAGATTGCTTTGGGCTGTGCACGAGGCGGCTTACCACATCATATGGTTGCATCCCTCGTTGCGTTCAACCAGGCTCTTGCACTTGTAGCATCTCTTCCAGCCCTCCTTCTTCGCTTGTCGCAGCACCTCGTTGGTGTCTTCGTCTCTCGGGCAGTCTCCAGAGCTGTGCCATTTTCCATGGCACTGGCAGCAGATCTTGGTCTTGCAGTGGTGGCACCGGGCACATTTTTTGCCTTCGTCGCGATGGATGTCTTCGGGTGGGATCCATTCGCCGCACTTTCGCGACGGGCAGTAGACACGGTTGCGGGTGGAGTACTCGCGATATTTCTCGTTCCATGTCTTTTTGAATTGCGCGTTAAACAAGCGATCAACATGTTTCAGGGGGATGTGATCTTTGGTGCAACATCGGGGCGGCATGTGCTGGGGGTCTGTGATGGAGAGTTTGAAGCTCCGCTTGAGGCATGAGTGACACATTGAGTGGCCGCACCGAAGCTTGGCCACCTTCTGCCGGGGTAGGCCATCCATACAAACAACGCACTCGACGCTGGACAACATGTTAGCCAGGAGTTCTGCTCCAGCAAGTAGGCTGCAAGGGGTCTGGGTCACTTACTGTTTGACAGGCTTGCGAGACGAGGGGCGGGTGTGCTGATGTGATAAACCGAAGAAGCCCTTCAACAATCTTGAGGAACGTCTTGATGAGCTTACACTTTGCGTATCATGGGGACCACCCGTGGTGTTTGACCGCCTAAGAAGCGCGGGCTTCTCTGGGTATCGAACTTCGGCTTCATAGTAACGTGAGGACGACCTACGGGGTGTCATTAGTGGGACATGCGGCAATTGCGCCAGACCAAGCGCCGGGTTCGAGATCTACCTTCTAGACGATGAGCGGAGGTGAGGATCCCTCTCCTCGACAGGAGCTCGGTGATGTCGGTGAGAGCTGTGGTGGCGGTGATGATGGCGATCCGACGAGTGCCGGGACGGCGATCTATGGCGGTCAAGCGACGGTGGGGGCCTTGGGTCGGGGTCGCGATGGTCAAGCTCCTCCTCGAATATCACGTCTTCCGGCCTCGTGCGGCGGCGGCGGCGTTTGCTCCTGGGCCGGAGGCGGTCGGCAAGAACCGACTTGTCTGGAATGATGTCGGGCCCTTTCCCGCGGCCTCTGTTGTCTTGGGTGGATGCGGTCAGCTCAGTCTCTCCTTCTGACTCACAGACCGAGGTGCGCGGCGAGGAGCGTCTCGAGTCTGGCGTGGAGCGGTACAGGTGCGATGGCGGGCTCATGTCTCTGCGAGAGCTGCTTCTCCGGCTGTCGGAGTGGGAGAGGTCATCATCGTAGGAATTGGAGTTCCAAGCCTCATAAGTGCTCCTCCTGTTCGGCGCCGTCGACGATCTCGTCAACAGCGGCATGGCAGTTCTAGGTGGACGCAGGCTGGAGAACGAGGACGACAATGGTGCCCGAGTCGTAAAGGGTCGCCCGTAGTGGGATGACTGCCCACGATGGTGATCGGGTCTATGTATCTCTTCTTGGGCTCTGCGACGAGGCGGCGAATGGACCGGCTGGTAGTAGGTTCTGGTCCAATCATCCTCGTAAGCAGGGGAAGAATGGCGCTTGTGCCTCCTTGGTCTCGAGCTTCGGTCGCCCTCGAATGCGTCGTACCCCTCCATTCGTGCCGGCACAGTCAGCCCCGGGCAACTGGCGTACGGCAAAGGCAATCGATCATTAGAAGCTCGTCAGGGCTCCTCTGCAGGAATGGCATGCCTTTGTGGCAGCGTGGTAATGCCTAAGTGGCCGGACCGGAGCGTCGCTGCACGAGACTGTCAGCGCTGATTGGGCCTCAAAGTGTACTTGTGCATGACGGCCCTGCAGGCCTCCAGAGGGACAAGCCGCACCGGCTCGCCCTGCAAAGCTGTTTGACTGGAGGTCTTTGAAGCGGGCCCCGGAGCCCAAAGAACTGGGGGGTTGCTTTTGATCCTTACCCGCGATAATCGTTGGGCATCAGCGAGGGCCACGGAGAGCCAGCGGAGAGAAGGGAAAGACCGAGGCTCTCCCAAAAACCAAGGGCAAGCCGCCAGACAGGCTTGACAGGCTTGACAGGCCACTTGCAAGCAGAAGAGTGGCTCCAAAGACGTCAGGAATGTGTCAATTGCTGAGATCTTGGTGGTTTTCACCGATTGGGAACACAAGTTGGCGACTGGGCACGACTTGGAAGGATCCGCCGGCGGGGAGCCAATAGATATGACCAGAGCCCTCCAAGACAGGTATTGACGGGCGTCTCACAACAGGATTCTCCTTGTCGCACTGTCTCTGTGTGTCTCTGTGTGTCTCACGACGGCGACGCACGACGCACGACAGCTCTGATCATGCTCTTCCCGGACAGCCTGATGGTTTGATTCACAGCATATACCCCGCGGAAGAGCACATGGGCCGCACCTGTCGACAGTCCAGCTGATGCCGTTGTGGTCTGGTACGGTGGTTGCATTTACTTGCTCGGTGGCTGGGCCAATCAATAGTCGGTGTTTGCGTCACCAGCTGAGCGAAATCCGGCATCAGTGAAAAGGTCCACGGGTGCCTGAGGCGGGCAGCAGACCTCAACTTCTCACTCCACGTGACTGGCACAAAGGCCCATTCGATACCTAGGTAGATCGGGCTGCCTCCTTGTTGAATGAAAGCCGGTTCCGCACAGAGGATGGCACATTGGTGACTCTGTACTCTTGGGTTTGCATTTGTCACTGGCTCGGACCTGGAGGATTGGCAGTCGTCAGATGTTGCCCAATTTGAGCACTAAGTCCAGGCTCCCACCGCCCTAAACAGCGCCCTGAATCTTCAGAGCTCGTTAGCTCTGTTTCAGGCCGCGGGGCAGTGCCTGGTGCGAATGTCACAGCGGCTTCGGGACGCCCCTTTTAGTGCCCGCAGCTCTCCACTCTGCCCCGCATCCCGGCAAAGGCACCAGGGCACCGAATTCTCCGTCCGTTCCGTAATCTTCCACCTGGCTCAAGCTGCGACAAGACCAAGATCGGACGGGAGCCCGGTGTGGATGGCCACTGGCATATTCCAAGCTCGATGTCGATGACTGTTTGTCAAGGGTGAAGAATAACTAAATACGCAGCAGACCAGGCTGCTGAGCAGGAAAACTCCTGCTCCATTCGATTCCAACCCTCCAACCCTCCAACCTCCAACCATCGTCTTGGACCACCCTGCACCAACAGCACCGAACGGGTCAAATCCCGTCCGCAGCCTCAGATGTCATCCAACATGCTCCCCTGCATAAGGTCACCCCAAAATTGCCGGTGTCAAACATCGCTCAGCAGATTTGGAATGAGACCCATGACACGCGGTGACAGCGCCCTTCCAAGTGGAAGCTTGCATGCCCAAATGTCGTACAGACGTCCCCGTTTGGTCACAAGCATCAGGCGAGCGTCTCACCGACACGTTTGGAGAGTACAGAGTCCAATACAAGATCCTGCACACATCAGGCACTCACCTCGTCAGGTCTTCTCACGAATAGAGCCAATGAAGACAGACTAGAGGCCCATCGCAGGACAGCTAAGAGAGCCGCACAAGATCCGGCTCAACTCAGCCTTCTGCCGCCCTTCTGGAAGGCCCCCCCCCCCCCGGGCCCATCGTGACATGAATCGCATTTCGCGTACGTCCGTCCCCTTGTACCTCCAAAGCCTGGTCAACCGCCCTCACACCGACACCCTGTCCCACGCATGGCAGCCCAGTCACTGCACCAGACTGCCAGCCCTGGTACCCATCAACTACGCCATAGCGCAGGTCTAATAAGGTCTTTGTAAGACATGGAGCAGGCACCGCTTGGTCGCTTTTGTGCTCCCCTCCTTGCAAATGGACCAAAGAAGGTTGGGAGTCAAAACATACGACGTACATCACGCGTCGATTGCCTTGATGGTGGTCTTCACGCGCCACAAAACGTCTGTGCGAACACTTCTTCTACTTGTACCCAAGAATCAGTCAACCATCCGGCTCGAATCTCCTCTTAGAAATGGCGTTATAGACCGGGAAACTGCTATTAAGTCGTCTTTCGAAGCTTCCAACCGGAGTGGAGCAACAAACTGTCAAGCTGAGATGCTTTCCTGGCAGCATCCGCAGCGAGTTAACATGATACCTACCTCATTTGTCCATTGAAAAGCCCCCCAGTTCTGTTCAATAGGTCGATCAGGGCCCGGGTATGGCTGGAAGGCATCAAGATCACACGCCCATGGGTCGTGTTGCTTGACAGTAACCCAACCCACCTTGATCATGTGTTCACAGCCTGAAAGTCACGTAGTGCAAAAGCGAAAAAATGCTACGAATTAACACCCATGTCCCGGAAATGTGTGGTTTTGAATATAGCGTTTGTACATGTAAAAGTTATATATACGAATGTGTATATATATAGATAGTAAGGGGAAGTTGAAATGCCAGCTTTGATCCATTCAGAAATCCCACCAATACCTTCATGCATACTTTGCCGTGCATGTCTCTTCCAAGTCCTCTCCACCAAATGCGACCTGGTTTAAGTCCGTTTCGTGACGATAGCAATTTTCCGTGTAGGCTGATGATGGAAGACGGGATCAGGAAAAGGGATGGAAAAAAAAAAAAAAAAGGACGTCGTAAAGTCTCCCCAGTAGCTGCGCCAGATGTCCCCCCGGTTGCAGGTATCCGCAAGAAAAACAGACTGCGATGCTTTGCCCCCGAGTCCCAGGAACGAAAATCAACATGACAAAGACTCTCGTAAGAGCAAAAGTCTGGTATCTTCCCCGTTAAAAGACATGCATGCAATAAGGCCCAAAGAGGAAAGACGTACACTCCAAAACAAAACCAGCATCCAGAAACAAGGCCTGCTTGGATCGTCCAAGTTTAGAGATGAAATCGACAAAGAACGCCACTCAATAGGCAGTACTTGTACAAGTACTAGCTGTAGTTACCCTTGTATCCATCCAAAGACTAGGCTCGGCCGGCTGGCCACTTCATCAAACAAAACGTGCTGAATGGATCCCTCGGACCAGGTTCAAACGACGACGGTGCGGTGCAGCGACACGCGATGGCTCGGAGACTGAGGCAAGGATAATTTGGTGGGGTCCCTCTAAAATGGGAGTGGAGGCGACCTTCGGCTGGGCGGACCGACGAGCCTGGGATGGAGTCCTCGAGAGAGCTTGGGTGCGCCCAATGAGGGGCCCCACGCAGGTGACTGGATGGTAAAGGATGGTCATCCCCTTCCAGAGAGCGCTGCCCACCCCAGCAAATCTGCTCCGCTGTACCCCAGATGTCTCATGGCGTCGCGATAGCTGTCTTCCCCCTGCACAATGTACCCCCCAGTAGGTTGCAGCAATGCGGGAATCTGCAGGCTTGGTAGATGTCGACAAGTCGAACGTTCGTCCGGAAAGTGTCCGTACACTCGTAGTATCTTCCAGCATGGCGATCTAGACAACCCCGGAACTCTTGCCAGGCCATGCGCCAATCCCTCCCATCGGCCAATGGAAGTCGCCGCCCCTCCATCTCATAGGCGATGTGGCCACGGTTGAATCAATTGGATCGTCAAGCAGGCCACGAACATGGGAAGAAATCCGGAAGGTGATCATCTGGGGTGCAACAGCAAGCCCTCGATGGCAAATGCTGCTACAAGGGTTTGCGATGGTCAATGTTGCGACCCATGACCAAGCGCATGATGATAGCTGGGAAATCTCCACACGTGAATTTGCAGATTCTAGCGAGCTGTCAGACAGTAGTCACAGTCGTCCAACAGCTGCAGAGAGCCATGCGACGGACTGGCGAAGCTGCATGGCACCCATGGTCGGCGATCGCGGTGCTGCAGATGGCTGATGTCGTTCCTGGTGGTTGAACCTGCGGTCAATTTTGCCGAACGGATGCTGCAGGCTCGGATCCGTAAGGCCGGACATGGCCTTTTCAGCCACTGAGAAAGGTCCGCCTCCTCACCTCGGCCTCCTTGATAATCTCTGCGGCCAGGCTAAGGCTGGGCGCTAGCACCGCGTACCGCTCGATTTCCAGCACGACGTCGTTGATGATCTGGTCGATCGCTTCCCGGTGAGGCACCAGGGTCAGAAGAATGCTGGACAGGGACGGCGACATGGTCGCGCCCATGACGAGCAGCGTCTGCGACACGATGGAGAGCGCGCCTTGCCAAAGGTAGGGCATATGTCCGGCGTGACTACGGCGAATTGTTAGATTGACGGGATAATCAAGACCGAAAGGTATTGAGACAAGGCGGCGTGGCACGCCGACCAATGAGGGGCTGCATGAAACGGGATTGTGAATCGATTACTTACTGGGCGGCAATGTGCTCTAATTGCCGGATTGAGGCTTCGAGGCACTTGTGGCAGCTGTCCCGCACCGAGGGGTCCAACACTGCTTGTTCGTTGTCCAGCACTGCCAGAATGTAAGGCCGGTAGATAATTGTCCTGCACGCAAAGAACCGTAGCCGCAAGACCGTCTGAACGGGGTCTGGCAAGGGTGTGCGTGTGAAGGGGAACTGTAGCGGCATGGGCAGACTCTCGTACCACTGTGTGAGCTGAAAGTCCAGCTCGGCCACGACGGGCTCGAGGCTGGTTGTCGACGCCATGGAATCCTTGGAGTATATCAGCTGGCTCACCCTGTTCAGCAACCTTCTCAAGGCAATTTCCGCCAGGAAATACCAAAGGTCGTCTCGGCCAACTGCCTCTTGCTCGTCTCCTTCAAATCCTCCCGGGAGGCCGACATTCTCTTCGAACTGCACCACGCCAGAGTGTGGCAGGTCAAGCTCGGCCAGCAGATCACTCTCAAACAGCAAGGCGTTCCAGTAGATGCGCTCGGTAAGCTCCCGTTGGTCTTGAGGCACGCGGTTGGGCGTCATGAGCAGAAGCTGTAGCTTCGTGCTGGTAGAACAGATCAGGTTCCATGCCTCGAGCGGACGCACCAGGTAGAAGAGGTATGCAGCTGCTAGAAGGTGGCATTGCGCAGCTAGGACGCTGTTGGAGGTCATCATCCCGGGAAGTAAGGACCACGCCGCAGTGAAGTACTGTAGACCCGGGGGATCCTCCTGGGGCACAATCCTAGATATACTGCCTCTGAGGCTAGCCTGGCCGAGAGAAAGAACCAGGAGAACGATACAGCTCTCGGGACCCTCGCGGAAGCCGTTTGATAAGGCAATGCGGTAATGGCTTCTCCACGTGTAGGGGTTGATGCAGGCATACCAGATATTGACGCGTTCGAAATACGCCTCGATGAAGGCGGTGGTGTTGGAAAGGTCGACACAAGGCGTCTTGGTGAGCGAATGGAGAGGTTCCCTCGCCATCTCCATCTGAAGGAGGATCTGTGGATCATAAGGCCGAGAGACGAGATCCCTGATGAGCGGCCATTGGAGCAGATGCAGGGCTGCGTTAGTATGTATCTTGGGCATCGTTGAGATGTTCGTATTGTTGCCGCTCGTCCATGTGCCGATCCCGCCTGCTGGAATGATCGAGACAAAATTGGCAGATGGCCCGGGCAGGATGTTGTCTCCTCCGCTCAGCGCCGTCCCATTACTCATGTTGGGGGAATCATGAGGAACTGCCAAACCATGGGGGTGGGTGGCTGCCATGTTCATCTGCAGCAGACTCTCAATGCGGTTCAGACGTTCCAGGATGAGCTTGTCTCCAGCATCAAGCTTGATGCCGGGTTCCCGGTAGATGCATTCGGCGCCGAGTTCCGTGCAGAGCTTGCATTTTGGCTTGGTGCCATCACACCGAGACTTGCGGGACCGGCATACCTCACACTGCAGTTTCGTGTCAGCAATTGGTCGTCGTCAAGTGATATGGAATGAGGGGCGGTCAAATGAAGATAGGAAAAGAAATCGACCAGGTACATACAGCTATCGTCGCTCGCCTCCGCGGATAGTCGACGCCCGCATCCGTGTTTCGCCGCTTCAGAGGGTTCGAGCCCTCGTCGCTCGTAGGGGCTTCCAGCTTCTGCATCCCGTTCGGAGCCGGCTCCGGCCGGTTGTCTGAAGACTGCGACAAGTTGCGCGCTTTCTGCGCAGCGCCGAGGATGCCCTCTCTACTAAAGCTCGGGGCGCGCTGGGATTTGACCGAATTTGGTGATTTGATTGTGCCGGTTCCATTCGTGGAGGAAGCCGCCATTGGAGGGGGGACCTCTATCGAGAAGTCGCGGGAGGGCAGAGGGAAGCCTCGAGCGACGGTCGCCGTGCCAGTCCCCGACGCCGAGCGAGGGGAATCGCCCGTCGAGGACGGCGCCATGTAGCAAGCCTGCACGCGGAGCAAAAGCGCGGAGGTGGCAGGCGATTGCGGAGGCTGCGGTGGCACAGAGTGCGGCTGTTCCGCGAACAGCGGGAGGTCCGAAGAGCTCGCCGTGGCCGCAGTGTCGAACGAGAGACTGCCTAGGGCAATGTACGTTGGGTGGTTCGCTGCAGCTGAGCGGTTCCAGCTGCTGACTAGGCGTAGGTTAGTGTCAGCGTTGAGCCGTTCGTCGTCGTGTCACAGTGACGCTGTGTGTCGAAGATCCGGACGTGTCAGGACGAAGACTGGCGACTGCTGGACGGTGGTCATGAGCAGAGAGAAAAAGGGTCGTGCTCTGCAAGGCACGGTGGGGTCCCTATTCTGTTTTAAAAGAGGCCGTTCTCTTTTCTACTTACAGAAAGGAATCCCGGAGGCAGAGGTCAGTCAGTCAGTTGCAAAAGAAGTATGGGCATAGCGGAGCAACGAGGTGGAACCCACATGGCCCATAGTCTGGGGTACAAGTTAGGTACGAGAGGTACTTCACAGGCCTTGATGCAACTACAATACAAGAACGGCGGCCAAGGATGTCCGCCCAGGATCACGGCGGGGGACAGGGGTCCCGGGATGGTGGGTGGCCGGGGGGGAAGCGACATGGAAGGGGGGTGGGAGAAAGTGGAAAGGAAAGCCTTTTCGAGACGTGCTGGGGTGAGGGTGGTGGTGTCAAAGTGGTGACCCTTCTTCGACAAGCCTGCGAGATTGGATTGCTGCTTGGCTACTGCAGGACGTGGAGTCGTTGGAGGAGCACGCACGCGCTGGAGCAGATCTCCTCCTGCATTTGGGACTTTGACAGTCGAGCGGGGAGTGTGGACGCCGGGACCCAAGACGTGCCATCCCATCCCATCCCATCCCATCCCATCCTGGCCCTTGACATTTGACACTTGACATCTTTTGGCTCTCACCCAACGCCTTCTCCTCAACCGGCCGGCCGACCTGCCGCATCGACTATGGGGCACCGGTGGATGGGCGTGCTAAGGCGAGACCAGTCAGACCAGCGTAGCCGTGAACGGTATGGACTGTCACACTCGCCCCATATCGCCAAAATGTACCCGGGGCGGCGTTGCCAGCATCAAATCCCTCCCTCATATCTACTTGTATGTCTGCCACCAGCCATCAGTCCGGCGCTTGTTGCCCAAGTGGGTGGAGATTTGGACGGATGAGAACCGGCGACGAGGTCCGAAACAGACTGCTGCAGGATGCTATACAGCGAAAACTGTCTCCAACTTTGCCTTTCATTCATCAACAGCAAATAGCCACCGCAGAGTTGTCCCTGCCAGCACGGGCAATGAGCTAGGACGCAGGAGATCAAGGGTCCTCCACCCGCGATGCCGCACATCACAGCACGGTGGGCACGGTTTCTGGCCCCCGTGGACACCGGGGAGGGGAGTGGAGAGCAAACCCTATCTTGTCGTTCGCTTGACTTGCGCTCTTTGGTAGGTGGTGACTACAGACCCAGCCTTTTCCCATCTGGACCTTGCACCAGAGGGCCTCGCTCACACCCTGCAGGGCCAATGAGATGTTAAGGCGCCAGATTTGTACCGTGTCTGCCATGCTCGAAGGGCCACTGAAGCCTGCTTGTGACCAGCGCTGGCCAACCTCGCTTCATTCCGTGTCAGTCTTACTCTGTTATCATAGGATCATCTCTTGTCATCTCGCCTGCTCGAGACACTCCATACCACTTGGGAAGCATGTATTTTGTCATCCCGGCTGCCTGGACTGAGGAACCAACATGCCTGCCGAGCCTACGGAGTACATCCAGCCCTGGGCTGGGGGCCAGAAGGGAGGATGCAGCAGCACGACCACATGCTCTAGGCTGGCAGCGGGAGCAAGTGTTATCCTCACAAGGTAAGGGTAAAAGGCTACCTATCTTGGCCATGTTGTGCGGCTCCAAAGCCAATCATAGCTCCTGCATCCACCTTGACCTGCTCCACGATCTCCCTCAGACCAGCGACAAGCTCCGCCGAGTCCCCGAGGCAGTGGCCGAGTCTTGTCGCGAGTCCATTTAGCATAATCTTGCTCCAGTGACAGCACGTAGCCTGCGTGATCTCCGGAAAGCACTCTGTGCCTCGCAAGGGGTGGGGACGCCTCCGCCTTCTCCCTTGCACATCACAACCACACAGCAAAAAGATGAGACGAAAAGAATGCATAAGAGATTTGCGCCTCGTGCCTGCGGGGCCACGCAACAGTGTCTTGACATGTCCGGGTCTACCCCACACGGCCACACGGGGAACTCGCACATCAAGCACATTAACACGTTGATAGAATGCCTGTTATGGCTCGGGATACGACTGCATTGATCTCCAACGTTATGACCAAGAGCACCTTGGATTAGTATCCGACAATAAGGTCAGAATACGCGGGGCTTGCGACGAAAACAGCATCCATGCCGCCGCGAATGGACAGTGAGACCCCACGGGAGCCATGGCAGCTGACGTCCAGCTCTCTGGTCTTGACGGTTCGATATGAGCACGTAGCACGCGGGTCTGCTGGTTGACTCGCGGGCTGCAGAAGCGAGATCCTACGACTACCTACCTTAACGGCGAAGGGCCTCGAGCTGTAGCTGAGTAGCTGCTGCGGATAGTATCCAGGTCTTCAGCGGGAAGCTATTTCGGGCAGCTACCGTGCTCCAAGCAGGGAGTTCAGGCAGGCTATATTGCCCGAAAATGCTACCTCGTTAGGATAGATGCCACTTTCGGCAAGGTGATCTATCAACGTCCTGCACTGCATGCCGCCCAATTCGAGACAGATCTCTGTTTCTGACCCTCTCTCCTGCTGAGGTGTCCGCTGTCCAAGTCGCTCCCTTACTGCTTGGACCAGAAACCCCCACACCACTGTGTCTGTCTGGTACAAGTAGAGATTGATGAGTGACTGACTTGATGCTGCAAATCCCCGTCATCCAGTCCGGAACGGCACGGCACGGCACCTGGGCACCATCACTGATCTTCGATTGCGATGCCCTGTGCTACGTTATGTCCAGCTTTGCCGGCTGCCGCCTTCCAGAAGACCCACGGTTGCGCACAGACGAAAGACCTCTACAAGTAAAGCCTAGCTGTTGTCAGCCAGAAAGGCTAACCCAAACGAGCCTCTATCATCTCATAACTGGGTGACTGAAACCGGCCCGGATCCTTGGGAGAAATTGAAAGGCAGACGGTTGTCCACTACGAGACGACCCGTAGGATGCTTGGAGTGCGCAGAGCCCCATGAGCCGGGAGCATTCCTGGATCCACGGAGAAATAGCTATGGCATGCTGGCTGGCGGTACTCCGTAATCAATTTGATTGCAGAAAGGGCACTAGGCGCGCAGAGATCATGATGGGCCCATTCTCTTAAACCCTGCGAGGTCCTGTGCCCTCACTCCACTCGCCAAACCTGTAACTGTAGTTGAACGTTAGCGTGTAGCATGTGTGCAGCACTCAAGCTCGGCTGGTGAACGGTACTCAGTTCAGACGAAGATTCCTATCCTCGCGTGTTCACGGTCTGGGCCCTCCCCCACCTCTTCAGCGCAGACTTTGAGAGATCTGGTGGTAAATTTAGCTCTGTGACATATCAGACAAGTCCGCTTTGCAAGAGGCTCGAATCCCTCTTCCGGCACAGACTCCCCGAGGTTCAGCAGGGATTGTTGCCGTGTTGACACTCCCTGACTATTTCGTCCGAGCATGGATCATGAGGATCGAAGCAACCCTGGTTCGCCGTACATGAAAACAGATTGCCGGTACTCTCCCCACCTCACGATCTAGACCACAGCCCTGCCTCGACGTGACGGGTCTGATACCTAGTGTTATGTTACCGAGGTTGAGACCGCCTGATGCTACCTGCCACGGTACCCTATCCCTGCTCTGTCGACCGTCTGAAAGCTCGGACAGCTTTGAAAGTACTCTCTACTTTACTAGAGCCCTATTTGGCCTGTTGGTGAGCTGGGTACTTCCTCGAAGGAGACTCTTCGATTCAGATCGTGGGTGGGACTAACATGGTCAGTGAAGACGGATAGTCACGGCAATGGATACTTGGGTTACACGACGTGCCGTGTAGGAGGTCCCATCCATCCACCATCACTGGTCTCGGCGGCACACTCCTGCATCAATCTATGAGCTCTTGGCTGACGAGGTTATCGGCCATGTCTTCTTTCTCGTCTCTCCATGATCCTCCTTCGAAGATTGGTATAATTAAGGATTTCCAGTAATTCCCTTACTACCCTGCCCCATTGGCATCCATGGCCCCATTGCTGGAAACCAAGTCGAGTAGAGTGAAGTGCGGGAGACATCACATAACTGTTCTGCCGTCTAAAAATAACCAGTATCTATATTAACGACGAGACCAGGCTTCTTCAGCGGCAGGCCTGGTCAAGTGACACATGGCAGGGTCGCTGGCAATCACAGTCACAGATTGAAGTTGCATCTCCTAGTGTCTACAATGGATCTCATCCATGGAGGTCTTTTGAGGGTCAAATACTACACGCACATGAGGCTCTTCTCCACATCCCGGCCGGGGAAGTTGAAAATCGGTTGCATCCGCGGGCGGAGGGGAGGTGGGCTTACTCCCCGTCGTTACCGAGCCTACGTTCCCCTCCCCAGAAACCGACCCTTTCTTTCCCCAATAGCGTCACGACCTTTTTCAAGCACTGGTGATGAACTGCTAGTTTCTAGCAGGGGAAAGTCGGTTGACTTCGCTTACCTGTCACGAGGCCTCTCATGCAGCTTCATCGTGGCAAATCATCGCTCATTATGGCCTGGTTGGGGTTGAAATCGCCACCAAATATATTACCCCGATCCACCTCACGAAGATGACAACAACTTACACATGGCGCTTCGCCTGCGGAGAAGGACAACTTTGGTGGAGCTTCTGGATATTGCAGTGTGCGTCTTGCTTTGTACAGCGGTGTACCTCCATGCTTAAGCGTCTGTGTATACATGTAACTGAGAGTGTCTCGAACCCCACGATCCCCCCCCCTCACTCATGTCCAACGGAGAAGTGGCACGGTAGATGAACGGGTTCCACGGTACCTCTCGAGGTCGAATTGCGGAAGATTCATGTTACTCATCAAAGATGACGAAGGTCACTTCACCGTCCAACTTGATTTGCGCAACAATGTCCCCAAGCCTGCCTGTGGCAACGTCCCGTTTCATGATAACCACTCGGAAATCCTGCTGCAGACCAACAGCAACAAGAGTCCCAGCCTTGTTCATGGAAAAGTGGCGCGGCACCATGCCGCCCGCAGGGACAGTCTGTACCAAGGAAAGAGCACCAGTCTCCTGCTGAACCTCAAAGTTAAAGATGGGATCAGACGGGATCGCTGTCTCGTTCTTGGGATCAAAATTGGGAATGGATAGCGTGCCTTCGAGGCGAGACGACACTACCAGGTACTTGTTGTCGGGCTTTGAGGGAACGGTCAGTAAGGAACGGTACCGAGCTTGGCCCTACTTCCAGTTCAGAGCTATTGCTAATCAACTCACAGAAAAGACAAGTTCGGCTGCAGCAGCGCCCTTGGGCGCCGTGTTCCCTTCGCCATGCGTGCTGGTCACATAGACTTGGTTCAAGACAAGGCCAGCGTTGTTTGCCTGGTAGATTACTTCGAAAACGGTGACAGTGTTCCCCAGCTCGCTGGCCAGATACGCAAGAGTTTTCCCCTCGGTAACATGGAAGACAAGGTGGCGCGGCCCGCTGCCCGCAGGAGTAGCGTGGGGTGTAAGAGTGGTCAACTTGAGAGTGGTCCGGTCGATGGCGAAGATGCGGATCAGGTCAGCGCCCAGATCCGGTACCAAGATGAAGTTCCCAGTGGGATCGACCACCGCCTCGTGAGGATGGGGAGCATTCTGGGGATTGGGGCCGGGCTTCTCGAGCTGCCATGTCCACGATTCGAGTTGCTGGAGCGAGGCGGGATTGGCAATTGAGTAGGTGCTCATGGCGGACCCTGAATAATGGGCGACCACCATGCCCTTGCCTCCATCGCCGTAGATGGACGCGTGAACGGCCCCATATGGCGTGACGACCTGACTCAGCGGGGTCAGACTGCCATCTTTACTGGTCTGGAAGGAAGTGAGCGAGCCGTTAGGAGTTCCGAACCCCTGGTTGGTGCAATACATCAACGAGTTATCGTGGTTAAAGGTCAACCATGACGGTTTCCCGCCGCACTGGTCCGTGGTAGCCACGGCCCGCAAACTGGCGGCGCCATTGCAGCCCGGGGCCGGCAATGTCAGATTCAACGTGTGGACAATGCCGGAGTATGACGTGGCATAAAGCAGATACGAATCCATGGCCGAAGATTGACTGCGGGACAGCACATCGTTGTGAGGAATGGCCTCGGCAAGGAGGAAGCACAACCCCGTAGCAATTAAAGACTTGGACAACATGACAGGCTTATCTAACAACGTGTTAAAATGCGTAAATCAGTAAACAGATAGTATGACCAACCTCTCCTCGTAAGTCGAACCTAGCTTGTCTCTTAAAAGGAAGCAACGCGTCTCCATATCTGGCCCATCCCGGGCACAACAGCTCATTTCCGTGAAGCTTGAGGCTCGTAGGATTGATATCCGTTATGGCATTCCGAGAAGGCCAGCTACATTTCCGTCTTCCCTGACCCAAACAGGATGAGCCATCCTGTGGCACAGCGACGTGCCTCAAAGCTGCAGCCGGTCCCCGCACCCCGCACTGATCCCGCACCTTGGACTCTCTCTATCCCACATTGTCATGGATCAGGGCTTTTGACGGAAGTTGAGCTGAGGTCTGTCATCTCTCTTGTTCCCTAGAACAGTACCGATTAGTGGCCATCATATGTAGAGAAAACGCCATTGAGGCGGAAATGTCATTCAGTAGGCTCTATGCTGTCACGACAGCCGAAGATCCCGACTTTGGCATACGCCTTGAAGCATGACCGAATTGGGTTGCCGCTCCTGGCTAACAAGTAGAGGCAGAGTGCTGCTTGTTCATAGGCGGGTCGAAGTCTATCATGAGTTGATATATATAGTCAACTCTGAAAGACCGGCTGCAGGGTCTTGATGGCCTCACGATCTGTAGTTATCACCCATCAAGTTATCCCAAGACATCTCTAGCAGCCTGGGTAGCTGATCCAACCGTTTCCGCAATTTACAACGTTGCTTCGTTCCTTCTTAGGCCAAGGCCAAGCCCACACCGTTACTACACCGTTACCCAAGCTTGTGCAGTTTTCTTCTTCAAGTGACTATCGGGGCCCGTAGGTCAATGTTCCAATTACTAGTCAGCGCTCCAGCACTGGACGTCTTGGCTGGCGGAGATTGTCCTTCGAGTGCGGAGAAGGTGGGGAAGGTTGGGGCATCGGCCGAGAGAAAGTCTCCTTTCGCTCCAGCTTCCCCGAGAAAGCTAACCTCAGTGTTGCGTAGGCCACGTGTGAGAGCCGTTCGCGGGCTCAGGGGGCGAGTATGATCACATGCAAGCGGCGGCATGGCAGAGCAAACGGGCCAGATCATCGGCCGCCCTCCTCCTCTAGATGCCATGAGAGAATACCCAGGCTCTGAAAGGGTTGGGCCATGGCCATTCGTCGAGGCGTCGGGCCTTGGGTTTTAAGCGACAGGGTCTCAACCATGGTACTGCCCCTTGCCCAGCCTGCAGCTTTCCAACCTGGTCGCTTCTCACTACCACCACGAAGACTTGGTTGGAGGCAAGCCACCACATCAAAGTTTGCACCTCCTCTCATCTGGTTTTAATTAATCAGAGCCCTTCCAATCCCCACCAGAGCCTCGCAACCAGTCTTATCCACTGGCTCGGACACTTTTGGGTGGTCTGATGGCCAGCCAGTCAAATCCGCGTCCATCTTCTAGTCGCCAGTTAAGAGACAGCTTCTTGTCGCTAGGATTCTCCTCGAGGCGGAGCAATTATCAAGGTTTTCACGGGCTTGACCGAGGCATGACCAGGTTGGGAGACCGGTCATGAGATAGGCTCCCACTCTTCCTTACTTAGGAGCTCCCTACAGAGGCCCTTCGTCTCATTCACGGCCAACCATGGCTCTCTTCGGGTCCCGCCCGGGTTCCGAGGATGGTGTAGCTTCATCTTGCTCTCCGATCGGAGTGGCACGGACGTCTTGTTCGTTTGGGGACCTCTTATAACTGTTGGCTTTGGAGCACCCAACAGCTCCAAAGCGGAACATTTCGAATGCAGGTTGGTCTCAGTCCTCGAAAGCGGTCCTACTCCGCCCTCCTACGGAACACTCCGGGGGTTTCTGGCAAGTTGAAGCGAGGGTGGACAAGCCCTTGATTTTGGATGCATGGGTGATTGATCGGCTCGAATATTATGTACCAGCTCTGTTATTCGTGACAACCGTAGCCTGGCAATTCCGTTCAAAGCTCCTTCTTGGATCGAGTGAGCGATACAGGGTCAGCACTCTTTATGGAGGCACGCTGATGGCTGGCTAGGCTGGTGTTATGAACTCTCAGAGATGCATCAGTTTGACGTATTGCTTCCCGAACTCGAGGAGCCTTGATCTCGTCTATGGCTCGGACAGTAATCGATGGCCGAGATCCATTAATCCGGACCATGTCTATGGCCCGATCAGCCACCTCAAACCCCGAACTCCGACCTTACTCGCCCTTCAATTTCCAACCATGAAGCTTAACTCTCGTCAAGACTGTGAGTCCCACCTTTGACTTATCAGGTTGAGTACACATGATCGACGGCTCTGCACGTCTCAACAGTCACTACGATACACACAGACACTAGGGTGGGATCAGATGCATGCACATTATGCCAAATTATGCGTCTTGTGTCTTATCCCGTCAGCTTCTCCAGGCGTCAAGGACTGCCCAAAAAGTGTTCTCAGGCCCATTTTAGTCTTAGCGTTCTGCATGCCGCTCGTTTTGTTCAGAAGTCATATCGATGCATGCCCGATGTGACTATTAACATCACGTCTTAAGGTTGAATACCGGGCGCCCTCAGACGTGACGCGTCTGTCAAGAGCCTCGTATTCCCTGACAGACAGTGTCCCTTGGAAACCCTATCCTTCTCTGTTGCAATCGCGCTTTGGACTACATGATAATATGCTGTCTAAGACACAGCCAGGCCGTGATGCTCAGTGCTACATGACCCCGGGGTACAATTCCTTTCACTGCACCTTCGCGGAAGCTTGATTTGGACCATGTGTCAGGGTAGTAGCCAACTTGAGGCTGGTGGTGATGTCGTATTCTCCCGGTTCCGGCAAAATTCAGTAGTGCAACATCCAACCCAAACGGTGGCGAGCATCGCGTAGCTACCGTTCCACCTGCAGGTTAAGAGTAACCGATGCCAAATATGAGCTTTGTTCTAGTAGGCTCATAGTCCTCAAGGGCAACCAAAATACTCCTTTCGGGCCTCCAAAAGTACAACTCTCCCTGCCAGTTCATCATCTGGAGGTCAGTGTACTCGGTACCAACCAAGATGGACATCGACAATTTGAGCTGTCCATGTATCGTCTGGCAATGGGATAGTGCTGATCCTGGATAGTCGTTAAGCGAGACCCGACTTTCTGACGGAATCTTGCCGAAATAGCAAGGCCAACAGCAGTAGGCAAAGAAGACAGATCTGGCCAACTCTAGGCTTGTACAGCTTTGGAATTTGGCTCTGTGTATTCTCCGCAGAATGCTACCTGCGCCGGGGGTTAGAAGCCGCGATGCTAATGTAGCACCACTAATGGACATCTACCGGGCTGTCAACCTCACGATGGTGTTCCCTCTTATGGCAACTTTTGTGCAGGAACGGCAGGACTATGTCTTTTTTTGAAGGCTATGACCACTTTAAGGCTGTTCGTCGAGGCCCTATTGCTTGTACCTTGTATGTACCTAAAAGTCTCGTTGTTGGGTGATTCGCAATGGACTATTTCTCTTCGTCTTCTTCGTCGTCATGTATCCCAGCTAGCTTGACGCCGAGCACATATCTGCAAACCCCACTAGCCGTCTTCTTGACCCAGTCAAGCTCATCGTTGAGATCACCCTCCTTTGGCTTCTCGAAGACCAGTCCTGTAATTCTCCCAACGGCGTCATCGAGGCTGTTTCCAGCCGTGAACATGGTGTTGACTTGGAACACCACATCAATGCAGCTCATCCCTGTCCAGCTCCGGATCATGTGCACAACGCCCATCTTCTCGTCAGGCTTGAGATCAGCCCCCTGTGCCAACGGAGTTACAGGGAATGTCGTGTAGATGAACCACTTGTCATCCATATCCTGAGGCATGAACCCCAGGAGAAGGCGGTTTAGCACTCTTCTCGATAACGGCACATCCCATGGTGCCGAGGTAGGATTCTCGAACGGCTTGACGTCCCAGTCCATCACTCCCACCGGGTCCTGGGGCGCATCGCCGCCCGGCTGGCCGTAGATGGCGTGATGCAAAGCGCTGACTTGCTTGACACCAGTGTCATCGCCGTCTGCCTTGTCACTCATCGCTATCAAGTGGATTGATAAAACGCGCGCAAACCTTGCCTTGCTCGTGGTTTGCTAAACCAAAGGGACTCGAATGATATTTGCGCGACGGAGGGAAAGGGTTGAGACCAATAGTAGTTCAACTTAGTAGAATGGACATTGTTTGAGATGAATGTGGAATGTCTGACATTCGGTATTTGAGAGAATCCTAGGAGTGGAGTACTGCTGACAGGTCCGCAGTTGTGGCCAGTGATTAACCATTCATAGATGACCTTGAGATGAAATTAGCAATGCATTGTAGACAACAGCTTCTTCTTATGGACGGACTGATGCAGATCCATCTGACGTGCAGAACGGATACTATTCGCCAGGTAGGCATCTATCACTAGGACATCAAAGTACAAAAGCTCGAGACTGGTATCTTTCTATGGATGTATTCGCCTTGCTAAAACCGCAAGTATGAATGTCTTCAAGCTACTAGGGACCACTGAACTACATGGGCTTGTTGCTGCCGCCAACTCCGGGTTGCGATGCGATGCCCTATGCGTGTATGTGCCAAAGCGGGTATCAAAATAATGAAAATGCAAATACTCAAAGATGCTTGGCTCGTGCTGAAGACTCTCCCCCGCCCCAGACGTTTCGAAACTCTTCTTCCTCATCGACATCGTATCTCGGCGACACATTGACCGGCGTGACATCGTGCTCCTTCCACTGGCGAGTCTCCTCCATTCCTGGGCTCGAAACATTCTCGTGCACTGATGGTTCAGGCGACTTACCCTTCGAGACGTCAAAGTCTATCTCTGACAGGTCGGGCTTGTCATCTACTTGCAACCCCGGCCGGAGCGTTCCTCCCGGGGATCTCGGTGGTCCCGCCGAGGTAGACCCACGCTCCTTCTGTTTGCCTTTCTTGGAGGGTTTGACGGCTTGGCCCTCTGCCGAGCGCTGTCCACCCTCGTCCATGCGAGTTGAAGCAGGAAAGTATGAGCCGGATGCTCGCGAGGAAGACTGGTAAGAACTGGGGCGCGGCGTCCATCGTTCTCTTGATGCATCATTTGCTGGGATAACCGGATACTAATATGGTCAGCGGCTGGGGAAAGCAATGGAGAGGGCTTGAAGGTATTCTTACATTCCAGTCGCCATACTCCAATTTTCTTGCGTTTTCGTAGAGATTCTCGTCATCCTGGTCCAGTTGTGTCTCCTCAAGTGCTCCGTTACTTTGCTGAGAATTGGCACGGCTGGGACCCCCTCGAGATCCAAGCAACGGAGTATATGGATTGATCTCGGCGTTGATTTCATCAGGTTTCGGTATCCAATACTTTCCCTTGCCTCCCCTTTCGTACCTCATACCCGCCTGCACTCTTGCCAGCCGGGATTTTGAAGCCTCGTGCGCCATGATCTTGTCGCCCGAATCAAAGAGGCGGTAGCCATATTTATTGCCAGTGAAGGTCTCCTTGGTGTCCTCGATGAGGTCCCGTGGGCCGAATGCATCTCTGAGAGCATACTTGACTGGCATTCTCGCTGCAGAGACTCGGTTGTCGGCAAAGTCGTGCCACGAGAAAGCGTACCAGTGCGCAATAGCGAAACCTGGCATCTCTATGCAAATCAAGGCATCCTGGATAGCAGCAGCCAGGTTGTCTGGTGTATACCCCTGAACATTATCCGGAATGGCACCAAGCCAGACAAGTATGGACAGGAAAAAGCCTTGCCAATACGAGGCGAAAATGATGAGCTTGATGCAGAGAAACTTGGGGACGGGCCGAAACGGTTTCAAGTCTTCGTGCATGCATACCCAAAAGAGTGCTAGGGAATACAGACTGATTGTGACGCTCGCATTGTACGCCAGGCCACTCCAGAAATAGCCCGAGTTCAATCCGATATAGCCTTCTTGGTAGACGCCTGTGGCCTTCATGATGATGGCCGCCAGAGCCAAGATAGGTTTGAGCCAGGCATATTGCAGAATACCTCGTTTCACACCGAGAAATGTATATGGGTCGGAGATGTCAACCGGAGGGAGGACGTAGTTGAGAGGCCACAGATGATGCACAGGTTCTCGACCATGGGTTGCGATGATGAGGGACCTCTCGCCGCCGAGGTAGTTGATGAGGAGCTGGAAGAACGTGTATATTGTAAAGGCCTACGCCGTCAGCATCTCTTTACAAGGCCGGGACACAAGGGGCTTCACCTCGTATATGTCCCTGATAGGGTCAAGCCAGAAAGCTAACTTGAGCGAGACCATGCTTGCCCATGATGCGATGGAATAGATAGGCACCCTACTGAAATGAGCACGCGAGGTCCTGCCCAGGAAGTGCTTGGAACATACATGAGCAAAATCCGCACCACATATCTCTGCAGAAGTGGCTTCCGATAGTTCTTACTACATCCTTGGGTTAGCCGGGCCTGGAGTTTCTAGGACGTCGCCCAATTCTTACGTCTGAAGCCATATCGACCTGCATCGCCATTTGATTAGTACTCGCGTGCCGAGCTCGGATGCACGTAATACTCACACAATAGACATCAGTGTTGCAAGGAGGGACGCGACACCTGCGACTATGATCGTAGCTGTCGTGAGCTTCTGCCCTGTACCTCCCGCCATCTTTCGGGCGTATCACCTCGAGCAATGTCGAGAGTGGTACCAAAAAAAAAACTTCAGAATTGTCGGGGTCAAGTAGAAGGCATTCCGAGTACAATCTATCGGGACGTCCGTCGTGGGCGAAGAGGTATGGAAGAGGAGAGTGACGTGACGACCCCATGCACACCCAAAAGTTGGAGACAGGTTTGCTTAGTGGGGGCCAACGTCGTGTTTTAGGCTGCCCCGTTCTGGAAATTCCGCTAGACAATCCCAGTATCGGGCCCGGGAAGAGCTACCCATATGCGTGCTGGAGGACTAATAGCTCTCCACGCGTCATTCATGCCCACAGGTGCTACCCCGGCATCGCATGGGTTTGTGCGCCCCTGATTCGCTACCGCATCATGGAGCTCTCGGGAATCGCGACTTGACAAACACTCTATCCAGAAGTAGACAGCAATGAACATTGAACACAGGCAATCGCGCTCGACATCCTCGACGTTCCCGACGAAACATTAACCCGCTGCGTTGAACGACTGCGCAATTCCCAGAGTACCTACTTTCAAGAATGGAACCAACATAGACGTTGATTGATTGGTATTCGAGGCGAGCGTGGTACAGTTCGGGGGGCCATTCTCGAGAGATTGGAATGTTCGGCAACATTCCCAAGCAAAATGGCGAGCGATGAGACTTCACCCGAACTTCAAAGGGGATCGATCTTTCGAATGTATGAAATCCCCTTTCATCCACGAGCTCTCGAGTCAACGAGCTCAAGAGCAACTCGATGCTGATCCAACCTTTCTCTTCTAGCCTCTTCCTCGTCTACATCGTGATCTCTTGTGCCTTGTGAGTCCCCGAAACAGTTTTGTGGGCGGCGTTCGTCCTGGCGGGCACTGATATCCAGCAGGGCCATCTTCTTTCTTCTCTATTTCAACAGAGTCTTTTCGTCGGTCGTATCCTGGGCCATCCGAGGCTGGACGAAGCGCCGCTATGGCATCTACATCGAGATACAGGCGTTGCAGATCTCTTTACTGGGAGGTCGCATATTCTTCACGGGCTTCCGCTATCATGGGAATAACGAGACCATACTCATACAGAACGGACACATCACATGGTCATATTGGTTGCGGAGGGTGAGGCACGTGGAATTGGCAGGCAAGAATGCCGCAGACAAGGAGAGACCTGGAGAGAGCGTAGGAGGCAACGGAAAGGAAGCACGTTTGCCATGCCGCATCAATGTCTCTGTCTCTGGCCTCGAATGGTTCGTCTACAACCGAAGCGCCGCGTATGATACGGTCCTGGCGGGAATGATTAGGGAGGACCCCCCTTTGGACGCCCTTCCCGACCCGGAAATTGATATGCACGCAAAGCTTCGGAAAAGGCGTTCCAATGACGCTGAGAAACCCAACGGCGCCATCTTTGGCGACGGCACAAACCCGACGCCTCACGGGGAGAAGCATCGGCGCCCGTCTCTCTCCTCGGAAGGGGAGCACACCCTGAGCTCACAAGATGGCCGACATCATACTAATTCTGGACCTGAGGCTGAGACTAATGATATTCCCTTGATGCTGCGGCTTTTCCCCATCCATGTCGACTGTCAGAAAGCAGCGCTTGTGATGGGTAATGAGAATACGAAAGGCGTCTTGATTATCAAAACAAAAGGTCTTCGAGGCGAGATCAGTGCTTCTGCGACCGACACTCCTGATCCTTACCGTCAGCTCTTCGATCTCCAGTTCGAAGACCCCGTCGTTGAGATGAGAGACAATGAGGATTTCAGGGAGGAGCAAGCTGATCGTGCCGCTCGAGAGCAACGAATAGCTCGCGAGACCGAGCCTCCTCCTCGCAAATCGTATTTTCGCAGACAGAGGCGGAAGATCTACGGCCAGCTTCGGAACTTGGTTCCATATTGGAGGCGTTCCGTCGAGTCTTTGTCCTCAAGCACAAGTAGTGCGCCTAGAACCGCAGCCACCCAGGTCCCGGGTTCCAATCATTGGCAAGGGCTCTCCCGATATCTCGACGACTACGACCAGGACGAAAGAACTCGGTGGTCTTCTGTTGAGTATGCAGCCCTCAAGACTATCGTGGAAAGCCCCAGGGCTATACTCTCCATCTACTGGGATGCAGCTGGCAAAATTCCTGCACAGAACAGTGCCTCCGGCTCCTCCAAGCATGCAAAGCCCTGCAACATAAACGGCGCCCAGCCTCCCGCTTGGGGCATTCGTTTATCTGTACAGGGAGGTACGGTAAATTATGGCCCATGGGCAGATCGGCACCGGGCAGATCTGCAGCGAGTCTTTTTTCCCGGGCTATGTAAAGATGCCTCACCGGCACAGGAACTTCTCCCTGGGTCATACCGTGTACCTACCAAGTTTGAGCTGTACGTTGAGCTCAGTGAGGAGGTCACACTGCGAGTCCCTACGCGAGAGGTTTCAAAGAACTGGCGATGGAAGGGTCAAGAAGCGGAGAACAAGAACCGCCGTGTTCGCGACAAGAGAAAATCACGAAATCTGTTCAAGAAGTCTGATCCCGCGCCCAATGCTGCTCATCAACGACCTTACGGGTGGCTGGACATCAAGGTGGCGGCCAATGCGACTATCTCATACTCGATGGATATGGTTGCTGGAGCGGAAGGCTATTCGAACAGTCTGAACCTCGATCTTCCAAGTACGGAGATTTCGACCAGTGTCAATCAGCAGCCGCTATGGCGCTCTGGGGCCCAGAATATCTCCTGTGACCTCTCGACACCACTGAAATGGAACGGTCTACGCGAGTGGCATTTCGGAATCGATAGTAAAGATCTCGAGCTGTTCATTTTACGGGATCACGTATTCCTCTTGATCGACCTGGTCGACGACTGGTCAAGCGGGCCGCCAACAGAATACCTCGTTTTTACGCCCTTCAAATATCATCTGGACCTCAAATTGCAGAATATCAGACTTTTCCTCAATGTCAACGACGCCAACATCATCAACGATCCAACGAGCTCGGACGACAATATTTTCGTTGTTATCTCGAGCCCTGTACTGGAGTCCCGGACCTGCATCCCCATCGATCAGTTCCGGCCCCCGAAAAACATGATTCCTTTCGATGTCCGCGCGGAGAAGGCCGAGATAGATCTTCAAGTGCCTCCTTGGAACACTCAACATGCTTTCCTCACGTCGAAACACATAGGCCATCTAGAGAACCTTGTTGTGAGCGGCCAGTACCACTACAATGCGACCACATCGCCCGCAAATACTGATACACTGGTTTTGGACGTGACTGGGCAATCGCCGGAAGCGAACCTCCATGGCTTCGTCGTTCGATACTTTTTGAAAATCAAAGACAATTACTTCGGCGATGACGTCCATTTCAGGACTCTAGATGAGTACCAGGAATTCTTGCGGCTCAAGCAAACCGATCCCGAAGCAGAGGTGGCGAGTCGACCGCCTCACAAAAAGTCCAACGATTTGGATGTTATTCTCAGCATTAGAGCAGATGATCCCAAGATACTGCTCCCGACGAATTTGTACTCGGCCAAGGATCATGTCCAAGGGGATGCTGCGTCGCTTTCCGTCGATCTACGATTTACGAACTACTACATGGATCTTGAGTTGATGGTGAGCCCCTTGAGCTTGTCCTTCGGAAATACTGAGAGGGGGATGGAAACCCCATTCAGTGCGACCTCAAGCACGCAGCTGTTCATTGACGGACTGCGCGTTTACGGGCACCGTGTTTTCGGGCTCCCACCCACTGAGCCGACCTACTTGTGCAACTGGGACCTTGCTGTCGGCGCGGTGACTGGAGAGTGCACCGCCGATTTTCTGAGTGCCTTGGCGAGAGCAGGCCGAGCTTTTGCTTTCACCTTTGATGACGACGAGAATGCACTCATCTCGTACTCGTCCATCGTGTTCTATGACGTGACGTTCCTGCGTGTCTCGGTGGATACGATACAACTCTGGATCCATCTTGGAGAGGCTGCGTTTTTGTGCTCAACAGCCGCCATCGATATCAACTACAACGATTGGGCAAGGACTCATTACTCTAAGCGAGCTAACGTCTCTATCCCAGACCTACAACTTTCATGTGTCAACTCAGAATCGGCGATTAGACACAAAGCTCGAGCACAACATCCTGTCCAGACGGATGCCTTCTTCAAGACCAGCATCCAAATGGCCATGATTGGTAGAAAACTGGAATTTTCCCAAGAACGCAAATTACAGCAGGAGTTGGTTAGACGGCATGACCAGCGAACTCACAGGACGCCGTTCCTCATTCTCCCTGAGCTACTCGACCCTCCGACCCCAATTGCTATTGACCCACCTGCCCAAGCAGCACCTCCTATCCCTCAACCCATCAATTCAACACATTTGGGAGATGAAAGTGTATCAGTGGCCTCCCAAAACGTCTCGGCAAAACGACCGAGGGCACTCCGCCACAAGACCTCGTTCATCTCAATTGCTAGCACGTCAAAAAGCAGCCTTAGACAGACCTATGGCTCGTTTCAACATCGGAGTACGGAGAACACCGAGGACCAGCACACTATCCATGGACGGAGAGGTGACGAAGAGAGAAGCTTTGAATTGGGAACTGGGGTCTCAGGACGCGCACAGCTTTTCGCGATGGACAACGCAACTACCAGGACAATGGAGCGTCGTGATCCAGTCCACAATACCGTTGCTTTCTCGAGTCCCTATTTCGCGCCCTATTTTCCTCTGGAGAATGTTGTACCGGATACTACTGAAGCCACAATGCAAAGCATCGAAAGGGACAGTGGTGAATCCGTGGAGAAGACGACCCCAGGGTTCAACCTCGAAGACATTGATCCAGACCGTCTGGATGAGCACGCCACTTATTCGAGTCTCATTATCGAAATGAACCCCGGAATTACAGGGTTCCTGAACCCGACCTCAGTGACGCATATCGCAAATCTAATCTCGGCGTTGAAACCGTACGAGCCTGACGATGTACTCGATGCCATTCAGCTCGACGCGATGACTGACATCTTTGCTCTGCAAAAGGAGCAAAAGGCGAAGGGCACCGTGAATGATCTTACCCTGAGACTGCCTCAGGTGAACGTCCGCTTTTTGAACTCTTCGGACACAGAGTCCCCTGATCCATGCGAAGAAGAGCAAGACCAGTACGATTTGGCATTGTCTGGGATCGCTTTGGCAACACGCACTGAGAAACAATGGGCCGACGAACATAGGCATGCGTCCAGAAAGTCACGGCAATCTTTTCACTTGAGGGTCGGTTCTGTCATTGTGAAGGCATCGGAACGCTTGTTGAACATGGATAGCCCTCAAGCAGCCTTTACATGTCGACTTGGGGACATCATGGTTTCAATGGGATCGCGAGATCTCACTTATCTCGACGCCGAGATTGGGTACGTTCAAGGACATATGGCGTCTGAGAAGATCGAATATCTTGCGTCACTGATCCATCGGACAAATGTGCTCGCTTCCAACCTGGAGAAAACCTTGTCCGGCACTCTGTCTGAAGGGGGGCGCGTAAACAAGTTCCTCACTTACACACTTGTCAAACAAGGGCAGGAGATTGCGGATCCTAGCTTTCTTGTACGGCCATCGGCGGTGCTCAGATCTGCAACCAAGCATCTGCGGACGTACGACTCTTGGAAATTAGCAATGCGCATTCGTCAACTCTGGGCGGTGGCGAGTGAGTCTAGGAAAGAGCAACTCGTCATGCACTGCCGAGCGCGTGTGCAGAACTCACCGGAGGATGCTCGACAACAGGTGACGGCTGCCTTCCAGCGCTGGAGAAACTGGGATTTGGAAGATCTTTCCAAATCTCTGCTTCTGAACAATGTTTTCGGTAAACTGAAAGGCATGGCAAATGTGGAAACCGATATGCCTCCTTTCATGGCGGTGCTCCGTGTCAAGGAATCTCAACTGGCCCTGGACCCTGGGCCAAAACAGAACGAGATCACCATCCTCGATCTGACCGCTAGATTTCAGAGTAACGCGAGCAATGCCTCGGTCAACACCAGCCCCAGCATTCCCACGGCCGTGCTGAATGTGTATTGCAGCGATGCAACCGTCGGTTTGAACTGGGAACTCTGCGAACTTGTCGACGATGTTTTGAAGCTTTACAAGAGGATGCAGCCGGCGTCAAGCACCGCAACGACTGAAATGCAGCCTGGCAAGGCTACTAAGCCAAAAGAGACCGCGCCTAAAGCACTTCATATCGTTCTAGCTCTCGGCCAGGGCTCAGTGATACTTGACACCATCAACTTGAATGCAAGATCCATGAGCAGTGACCTCAAGATCTCCTTGCTCTTGCAGAACGGCGCCAACAGCGATCAGGTCTCCAACTTGATCATCAGTTGTGATGCCGTTTCTTCTAGGATTAAGAGCCATTCACAAGTGCTGTCCATGTTCCAGTTACGCGGCCCGAGTGTGTTCGTTTCCCACGAGTTGCAGACCTCGGAACGGATACCCACACATACTGTCAAAGCCACAGCAAGTAGCCGGGAACTCACGCTCGCTATTAAGCAAGACCCTTTGATCTTGATGGAGGTCGCCGACTTGCTCATCAAAGACGAGGTGGCACAGCTTTACGCACTCAAGCATGCGCTGCCCTCATCACCAGCGGTGGCAAAGCCAGTCAACAACGGCATTAAGGCGTCGCAGGCCATATACAGAATCAACGCTGCTCTTTTCCTAGACGAATACACCATCAGCATACCACTCCTCCGCTCGCTCGAGTACACAATTTCGGGTGTGGTGGCAAGAGCTTCCATGGCTGCGAATGTTGGCAAGGAGATCATCTTCGACTTTGATGTCAAGGAGAACTCGCACGAAATGGAAATCAGTACAAATAACTCGCGCCGAAGTATCTCTCTTCTGCAGATCCCACCGACCAACGGCAGAGTCACCAGTCGCATGGGCCAGGCTGAACATTCGATCAACATCTTCGCGTCGCTCGAGCTCGTACAGCTTGATGCGTCCGCGGTCTACAGTCTACTTTCAGCTCTGAACCGTCCAGAGATATCCAACGCGATCAACGATGCTCAACACCAAATGAGAGTCATGGAGGAGCATATCTCAGAGATATTCGGCAGTGATCGCCAAGTTCAGCCACAAGCAGCCCAGGCACCTACTAACCCTCTGGTCTACGGCATACACCTGACCTTTGCAGGTCTCCGAATCTTCGGCAACAGCCCTCTGAAGAGTGCGCGAGAGCCCCTGGCATATCTCTCCTTCCGCTTAGATAGCGTGCACCTGGCTGTGTCGAACCGTGTCGAGAACCGTGGTCCAACCCTGGAGAATCCCGAGATCCATGTGAACCTCGGTCAGATCGCGCTCGAGATCCAAAAGGGGACCAGTGAAGTGATGAACACCTGCGGTTCACTAGCGTTTGGCGCTTTGATCACAGCTACGTCGAGGTTGACAGACGATGGCAAAGAGGGGCGACTTTTCAACGTGCGCAGTGACGAGTTCAATGTTGCTCTTTCGCCCCAGACCATTGCGACTGTGGTCGATATCTCGGGCTACATGAGCGACAAAATCAAGGACCTGGACACGTCGAGAGAGCTTGAATACCTGCGAAAGCTAAGACAGTCCAAGCCACGCATAGCGATTAATGATCAAGAGGAGGTGGAGGAACCAGATGTTATTGACTCTTTCCTTTCGTCCATAACATATTCGTTCGAGATTCGAAGTATCCGAACAATCTGGTCCTGTGGCCTTGGTCCAGATTCTGCCGTGGCTGGGCAGGAAGACCTGGTAGTATCTCTACACAGGATCGAGCTCGCCACTCGCACGCGCAATTCTGCTCGGCTCACTATCGAGAATCTGCAGGTTGAGATGGCACCACCTTCACAAGATCGGAAGATCAGGTCTGCAAACTCGGCTCTGCTTCCTGAGGTAATCTTCAACATCGGCTATGTCGCCACTACGGAGACCCGGCGTCTAGCCTTCCAGGCCGTCGGCAAGTCCCTTGATCTCCGCTTGACATCTGGTTTCATCATTCCAGCTGCCAACCTCCGGGACTCGATCAAACTGTCGATCAAGAATGCGCGAACAGCGTCGCAGCACTGGAATCCAAGTGATTTGTCCAAGCCACAAAATCCATCTGCAACGCCAGGGACAGCTAAACCAGATGAAACGAGACAAAAATCAATCTGGGGAAGCCGCAGGACAGAATCTCTGCTCATTGACGCCGATTTCGCTGGTGCTGTCGTACATTTGACCGGAAGGCGAGCGACGGAAGAACACAGCAGTCGGGCATCCGCCCCAGGCCATGGCGGCAAATACGGCCAATTCAGTACAGATGAGTCTGGGAACAGCACCGTGTTGAAGTCGCCTGGCTTGGCCTTCAAGATGGAGTATCGTGACTACGGCAAAGAAGACCCTTCTGTCTACGCCGAAGTCATGCTGGATGCTTCGACCAACATTCTTTATCCTTCAGTCGTTCCGCTGGTCATGGACATCACTTCCAGTATCAAAGAAGTGGTCAGAGACGACGAGTCAGATGAGCCATTGGTGCAACCAAGTCCGATTGAGAAGTCTTCGCAAGGAGATAACATTCTCACAACCGATCCTAGTGCAGTGCTGGGACGCACAAAGCTGAATCTAGGCTTGCGAATCTGCAGACAGGAATTCTCACTCAGCTGCCAGCCCATCGCGCGGGTGGCAGCTACGGCCAGTTTTGACGATGTCTATTTCACAATGAATACTGTGCGCTCCGCTGACCAGGGCAACTTCTTCGCTATTTCAGGGACCTTCAGCAGACTTCAGGCCTCGGTGCAACATGTGTACTCGCGAGAATCGACAGCGAACTTTGACGTGGACTCAATCGTACTCTCCCTGATGAACAGCAAACATGTTAGCGGGACGAGTGGCGTGTCGGCTATCGTCAAGGTCAGTCCTATGAGGATCTCAGTCAATGCTAAGCAGGTCCAAGATTTCCTCCTATTCAGGGAGATTTGGATTCCGCGAGACGTTCGCCACAGCTCCACGGCGCCTGTTGCGAAGCTGGTGAGCGAGACTTCGCAAGGCCACCTCGTCCAGCGTTATCAGCAGGTCGCCGCGACTGCAGCGTTTCCCTGGACAGCCACCATCTCTATTTCAGCGCTGGAAATCAATGTCGATCTTGGACAAGCTATTGGCAAGTCAGTCTTTGCCATTACGGACTTTTGGGTATCTTCCAAGAAGACATCGGACTGGGAACAAAATCTATGCCTTGGCTTCGAGAGGATTGGTATTGACAGCACTGGTCGAATGAGTGGATTCGTTGCCCTTGAAGACTTCAAGCTCAGAACCGTTATCCAGTGGCCTAAACGTGAGGAGGCGCTGAACGAAACCCCGCTCATTCAGGCCTCGCTTGCCTTTAGCCAGCTCAGAGTCAAGATTGCGTTTGACTATCAAGCTTTCCTGGTGGCAGACATCACTTCTATGGAATTCCTCATGTACAACGTTCGCCGGGGCCGAGAAGGGCAAGGCGACCGACTTGTTGCGAGCTTTGAAGGTGACGCAGTTCAAGTCTTTGGCACGACCACGTCCGCGGCGCAAACTGTCGCATTGTACCAGGCCTTCCAGAAGCTGGTACAAGAACGGAAAGCCAACTTTGCGTCGTCACTGAAAGAGATTGAGAAGTTCATGAGAAGAAGAACCTCGACTGCCGCCGAGACCAAGCGTGTCTTGAGCATGGGCCAGGCATCTGATGACGAGGCCCTAGCCAAGTCGCCCATTTCACTCGACACTGACGTGGTTGTGACGCTGAAGGCTCTGAACCTGGGCGTGTTTCCCAACACATTCTTTGACCACCAGGTTTTCAAGATGGAGGCGCTGAATGCGCAAGCGAGGTTCTCGGCAAGCATCGACCAGCGTCGTATCCATAGCACACTCGGGTTGACGCTGGGCCAGCTAAGGATCGGCCTCGCGGGCGTGAGGCATATCGAGGCCCCGAAGAGTCTCAGCGAGTTGACCGTGGAGGATGTGGTGCGTAGCGCGACGGGATCACGAGGAGGGACGATTCTCAAGGTGCCCAAGGTCGAGGCAGTCATGCAGACCTGGCAGACACCAGACTCGAGGAAGATTGACTACATATTCAAGTCGGCATTTGAGGGCAAGGTGGAAGTGGGCTGGAACTATTCCCGCATCAGCTACATCCGAGGGATGTGGGCCAACCATTACAAGATGCTGGAGCAGACCTGGGGCAGACGGCTACCCCTGTCGGCCATCAAGGTGACTGGTGTGCCCGAGCCAAACGAGGAGGGCAAAGACGGCGAGGCAGGGACGTCGCAGACCAAGATCACTGCAGAGGTTCACGTTCCCTTGAGCAAGTATGAGTACCGGGCCCTGGAACCGCCTGTGATCGAAACGCCGCAGCTCAGGGACATGGGCGAGGCAACGCCGCCTTTGGAGTGGATCGGGCTTCACAGAGACCGCTTACCGAACCTGACTCACCAGATCGTGATCGTCTCACTGTTGGAGCTCGCCGGCGAAGTCGAGGACGCCTATTCTAAGATTTTGGGCTCTTCTTGACGAGAAAAATCGAAGGGGCGACAGGTGGCGGAAGCAAGATGACTCACGCGGCGAAGAGTAAAAGCATCAGCATTGATAGGCGTTTGAGCGAGACTGAGCAAGTCACCGGCATATGAGAGGCGTTTCTAGAACATAGCATTTTCATTCTTACAGCATGAGCAAAAGATTAATCCCCACTATCGTGAGAGCTATGCACTGAATGAGTGAAGCCGGGGTGTTGCCTCAGAGACGGAGGCGGAGGCGGAGCTAGAGTTGGAGAGCTTCGGAGAAGTGACGGGAGAAAGTGGGGACACAAGACCCGACTGAACACCACTAAAGCTTGAGCATCACACCGAGTAGTCATTGGCCTGGAGCTCATCCAATGCTGCCTCCATGGAGGGTTACTTAAGAAGAAAGAGGTGAGGTTCTATTCGAGGCGTCTTACAAGGATAGAAAGATCATTGAATTGAAACTTCATGGAAAAAGCCATGTAGCTGTCTCGATACTATCAACGAAGCCAACTTCATATTGTGAAATTAAAACAGGTCAGTCCTTTTACTCCTTGTATTGGCCATCGCGGCTGTTCCCAGAGGTAGTGCGGTACGGCTTGGGATAATCAGGGCAAGGTTGCCCTCTTGCAGCCAAAAAAAATTCCCGCCACCTTTTTTTTTTTTTTTTTTTTCAAGCAGCAAGCTGCCGGTGCTCTACCTCAAGTGGGGTTGTTGCTGTGGGTGGGGCAGCTCTTTTCCAGTGAATAGGTGAAGGTGTAGCAAAAAAGAGGCCCAAGCACTGTTCAAGGCATCCCTTTCGAGCGAGAGTGCTTTTTTTTGGGCACAAAAGAAAATCCCACTGTCTTCTGGCTTTCTGTCATTTCCACCTGCGACACTCTTTTCCCCACTGGTCCATTTCGAGGTCGTTCTGGAGGAACAAGAGGAGTAAAGTCGGCTCGAGGTTCAGTACTCATATTTTTTAGTCAGCAGGTGCCCCACCCTCTACCTATCATTCCTGATCCAACCTTGGAACCCCGCCTAGGTGCCGCCCGCCAGACACAACTTTTTCACTGACTTTTTGCCCCGCCGTCCAGACTTCCAAAACTTCTCCCTCTTCAACCCATCAAAACATCACCAGTTTTAGGATCGGACCCCCAGCAATACCGTCAAAATGGTGAAGTAAGTAACCCTTGTCCATCTCCCTTTCGATGCCTACATGGCCAGCACTGTCTCTCGTGTCTCATACTCGAGCGCGAGCTTGACCAGAGACCATGTCGCCGTCCTCTTACCCCTCCCCGGACTTAGGAGATATGGAACAGTTTTGCTAATTTTTTCATCACCTGCTCTACAGCTTCACGATCGACGGTATGTTATATTCTCACGGCTTCTAAAGCATCCTTCACGGCAGTTGTCGAGCTCGGTGGTGCTTGCGAAAGCTTGCAGCTTTGCTCGCGGGCGCAGACAAAGTCGACTCGACAATGTCCCTCCGACGGCCGCCGCAAGTCTCAACTTGATCATGAACACCTTTCTGACTTTTACCTGCAGAGATCCGGGCGTTGATGGACAAGCCGACCAATGGTACGTACCGAATACACTTGATTTGAGCTCCTGTTATATTCCAAGTCTTTTTTTGCTAACATGATTTCTTCCAGTCCGGAACATGGTAATGCGCACCCAAAGCAACTAACCCCACTTGCCCAAAATATCTCTACTAACACACCCCTGTCCAGTCGGTCATTGCCCACGTCGACCACGGAAAGTCCACCCTGACCGATTCCCTGCTGGCTAAGGCCGGTATCATCTCCACCGCCAAGGCGGGAGATGCACGAGCAACAGATACTCGTCAGGACGAGCAGGAGCGTGGTATCACCATCAAGTCTACCGCCATTTCCCTGTTCGGCCAGCTCGAGAACGACGATGATATCAAGGACATTGTCGGCCAGAAGACTGACGGCAAGGACTTCCTTATCAACCTGATCGACTCGCCCGGTCACGTTGATTTCTCCTCTGAGGTCACTGCTGCTCTTCGTGTCACTGATGGTGCTCTCGTCGTCGTCGACACCGTCGAGGGTGTCTGCGTCCAGACCGAGACTGTCCTTCGTCAGGCTCTTGGTGAGCGCATCAAGCCTGTCATTGTCATCAACAAGGTCGACCGTGCTCTTCTCGAGCTTCAGGTCTCCAAGGAGGACCTGTACCAGTCCTTCTCGCGTACCATTGAGTCCGTCAACGTCATCATCTCCACCTACATCGACAAGTCCCTCGGTGACGTCCAGGTTTACCCCGAGAAGGGTACCGTTGCCTTCGGTTCCGGTCTTCACGGCTGGGCCTTCACCATCCGCCAGTTCGCCGTTCGCTATGCTAAGAAGTTCGGTGTCGACCGCAACAAGATGATGGAGCGTCTGTGGGGTGACAACTACTTCAACCCTGCCACCAAGAAGTGGTCCAAGTCTGGATCCCACGACGGAAAGCAGCTCGAGCGTGCTTTCTGCCAGTTCATCCTTGACCCCATCTTCAAGATCTTCTCGGCTGTCATGAACGCCCGCAAGGAGGAGATCGCCACCCTCCTCGAGAAGCTTTCCCTCAAGCTTCCCGCTGACGACCGCGACAAGGAGGGCAAGCAACTGCTCAAGGCCATCATGCGCACCTTCCTGCCGGCCGCCGACTCCCTGCTGGAGATGATGATCCTGCACCTGCCTTCTCCCGTTACCGCCCAGAAGTACCGCTGCGAGACTCTGTACGAGGGTCCCCCTGATGATGAGGCTGCCATTGGTATCCGTGACTGCGACCCCAAGGCTCCTCTCATGCTGTACGTCTCCAAGATGGTGCCGACCTCCGATAAGGGCCGTTTCTACGCCTTCGGTCGTGTCTTCTCCGGTACCGTCAAGTCCGGTATCAAGGTCCGCATTCAGGGCCCCAACTACGTCCCCGGCAAGAAGGAGGACCTGTTCATCAAGGCCATTCAGCGCACTGTTCTCATGATGGGTGGCAAGGTCGAGCCCATTGATGACATGCCTGCCGGTAACATTGTCGGTCTGGTCGGTATCGACCAGTTCCTGCTCAAGTCTGGTACCCTCACCACCAGCGAGACCGCCCACAACCTCAAGGTCATGAAGTTCTCCGTCTCTCCTGTCGTGCAGCGCTCCGTCCAGGTCAAGAACGCCCAGGATCTGCCCAAGCTTGTCGAGGGTCTCAAGCGTCTGTCCAAGTCCGACCCTTGTGTCCTGACCACTACCAACGAGTCTGGCGAGCACGTCGTTGCCGGTGCCGGTGAGCTTCACTTGGAGATTTGCCTCAAGGATCTTGAGGAGGACCACGCTGGTATTCCCCTGATCATCTCCGACCCCGTCGTCGCCTACCGTGAGACCGTCACCGAGAAGTCGAGCATGACTGCTCTGTCCAAGTCGCCCAACAAGCACAACCGTCTGTACATGGTTGCCGAGCCCATCGATGAGGAGCTTGCCCTCGCCATCGAGGCTGGCAAGGTCAGCCCTCGTGACGATTTCAAGGCCCGTGCCCGCACTCTGGCCGACGACTTCGGCTGGGACGTCACTGACGCCCGTAAGATCTGGACTTTCGGACCCGATACCACCGGCCCCAACCTGTTGGTTGACCAGACCAAGGCTGTCCAGTACCTGAACGAAATCAAGGACTCTGTCGTCTCTGGTTTCCAGTGGGCTACCCGCGAGGGTCCCGTCGGCGAGGAGCCCATGCGCTCGGTTCGCTTCAACATCCTGGATGTGACTCTGCACGCCGATGCCATTCACCGTGGTGGTGGTCAGATCATCCCCACCGCTCGCCGTGTCCTGTACGCCGCTACGCTCCTTGCCAACCCCGCTCTCCAGGAGCCCGTCTTCCTGGTCGAGATCCAGGTGCCCGAGCAGGCCATGGGTGGCGTCTACGGTGTCCTTACCCGCCGTCGTGGTCACGTCTTCAACGAGGAGCAGCGCCCTGGTACTCCTCTGTTCACCATCAAGGCCTACCTGCCTGTCATGGAGTCCTTCGGCTTCAACAGCGATCTGCGCCAGGCCACCTCCGGCCAGGCCTTCCCCCAGATGGTCTTCGACCACTGGCAGACCCTGCCCGGTGGCTCGCCGCTTGACCCCACTTCCAAGGTCGGCCAGACCGTCCAGGAGATGCGTAAGCGCAAGGGTATCAAGGTCGAGGTTCCCGGTGTTGACAACGTAAGTCTACGGTCCCCTTTGCCTTTTTCGTGTTGCCTTGGCTCCTTGCTCCAAAAGATGGATGCTAACGTTGTTCTTTACCCTTTCAGTACTACGACAAGCTGTAAAGTGTTTCTCTCGATGCTCATAGACTGGACAAGAAAAGCCCTGGGCGGATTACCTCATAGAAATGCCCCTTCACTGTTGGTGTCAAGGAGCACTCTCAGTTAATGACAAAAGGGAGGAGGGCTGGGAAAATGCCGGGTCTTGACGGACTCGAGACGCCCAGAGGATGTGAGGACGAGGTTGAAGCAGGACACGCCAGAACTTTCATGAATTCAGTTCAGTTAGGTCGAGTCAGCTTGCTTTGTAGTTTGTGCCGATTTCCGCGCGTCAGTAGCAAGAAAAACGAAGAAGATTTTTCAGTATGACATTGCTGGCTGGCCCAGAGCAGCTCGCATGACATGACACGCGTGGCCCGATGACTGCTGCTTTATTTGTCTACTTGTATGTACATGTGCGTGTAGAAGGGTTGTCGTCGAATGTTCGTTCCCGCAATGGATGGATGTGTTCTCAAGCCAACCTTGGTTGGAGTGTGCGATGCGATGCGATGCGATTCTCGGGGGATGGTAGCGTGGGCCAATCATCTTTTCGGAAAGGATGAGATCCTCAGCAGAGCTCTCCACTTCTGGTTGCAAGGCTGCAAGTCAACTCTCGCTACCACAATCTGCCAATTTTTATTGAGCTCACGTTCAGTTTGATATTCGCAATTCCTTTTCATATTGATCAGGCCATCCTCTATCCATGACTCTTCGCAAGTAGTCGACGACTCGAGCAAAGGCTTTGTCGAGGGAAACGAAGATGCTGTTCCCAGAGGAGGATACGCCTCTCCTCAAGGCCTGGATTGTCAAGCGTCTCGAGAACACGTGCGTGGTCCCCTGGCGCTGTCCTAACGCGTGTATCGCGAGAGCTGTGCGACTGACATAGAAATGGTTACAGGTCCGACGCCGATCCCGATGTCTTGGCTGATTACATGCTCGCGCTGCTGGGTCACGATGCAGACCCTGCCGGCGTCCGCAAGATGTGCGAGGAGGAAATGCCCGATTTCCTAGGAGATGGTACGTGCTCTGCATGCGGATTTTCACGCTCTCCAAGTATCCTCCGAGTTAGGAACAAGGCCGCTGACTCCGGGGGTGTTCTGGTGCCCACAGACACGACCGCATTTCTCAACGATGTCTTCGAAGCAGTCACTTACAGGTCGTACCGTCCCGGCGCTCCGCCACCACCGCCCAAGCCAGCTGCGCCGCCCATGATGTCGCAACTGCCCCTGCCCACGGCTAGCGGTGTTATCGTCCCCGCGGCCGGCCTCGACCAGTCCCAGAGTAGCGGTTCGAGAAAGCGGTCCTTCCACGATGACATGGGCGACGGAAGCGGCGGCGGCGGCGGCGGTAGATCCTCCAAGCAACAACGTCGCGGTGGTTTCGGCGCTCGCGGAGGAAGGGGCGCGATGGGCGGCCGAGGCGCGCATTCGAATTTCCAGAATGCGCAGCCCTTCGGACAATTCCCTGTGGCCGGCTTCGACCCGGCAGTCATGGAGTCCATCATGAAGATGCACCAGATGGGAATACCGATCCCGCCCATGCCCGGCTTCGACTCGCCACAACAGCAGGGCGCATACGGGAGGGGACAAGGGCCGAGAGGTCAGCAGCCGCGTAGGAGGGGCAAGTGCAGAGACTACGAGAACAAGGGGTTCTGCACGAGGGGCAACAGCTGCATGTATGAGCATGGCGATAATTCCATCTTTGTCCCTGGTGGTACTTCCGCCGAAGGTGAGTCCGCGTTTGTAACCGGCGTCCATACACCAGTCTACTAACATGAACGTTCAGAGTATGACCCCAGTCAGGTCAGCCTGATGATGGGCAACAACGAGAGCGACAAAGCGCAGTTCACGCAATCTGGACGAGGCGGGCGCGGTCGTGGTCGAGGAGGGAATGCCCGAGGGCAGGATCGGCACAGCCAAAAGCAGCGCCGGGGCAGAGCCCCCTTCTCAGCTGATGGCCCTATTAACGACCGGAGCAAATCGACTGTGGTGATTGAGAATATCCCCGAAGAGAATTTCACCGAGGAAGAGGTTCGGTCCTACTTTACGCAGTTTGGAAACATCCAGGAGGTGTCGATGCAGCCGTACAAGCGACTCGCGGTGGTCAAATTCGACAACTGGAACTCGGCCAATGCCGCATACCGTTCCCCCAAGGTCATCTTTGACAACCGATTTGTCAAAGTGTTTTGGTACAAAGACGACGCCTCCGCCGGCGTGGTGCCAGCCTCCAAGGGAGCCAGCGGCCAGGCGAACGTCAGCAAGGACGTGATCATGGGAGAGAATGGTCAAGAGGGCGAGGCCGGCGAAGGTGAAGCGCCGCTCGACATGGAAGAGTTCAGGCGGAGGCAGGAAGAGGCGCAAAAGACCCACGACGAAAAGCTGCAGAAGAAGCAGGAGCTCGAGCGGCAGAGACAGGAGCTCGAGGAGAGGCAGAGAGAACTGCTTGCGAAGCAGCAGGAGGAGAAGCAGAAGCTGTACGCCAAGATTGCTGCCGCTAGCGGCAATGGAGCAGCAGCAACGAGCGAAACCGGCACTCCTTCCTCGTCGACGGCGAACGGCGGGCCGCCGAGCAAGAGCGGTGGTCAACCAGGGTCGCAGACCGAGATGCTGCGCGCGCAGCTCGCCGCCCTAGAGGAGGAGGCCAAGTCGTTGGGCATCGACCCCAACGCCGTGGAAGACGACGCCGCGTCCCCGTGGCCGGGCTCTTTCCGGGGTCGCGGCCGCGGCCGCGGGGGCTACTACCGCGCCCGGGGCTTCGCGGCGCGCGGCGCGCGAGGAGGCGGGCCTCGCGGCGGCGGCGGCGGCGGATCGCCGCACCAGGCCTACGCCGCGTACTCGCTCGACAACCGGCCGCGCAGGGTGGCCGTGTCGGGCGTCGACCTGTCGGTGCCGGAGCGCGACGAGGCCCTGCGGCAGCACCTGCTGGGCATCGGCGACTTCACCGACATCAGCTTCGCCGCCGACGGCAGCGGCGCCGCCGAGATCACCTTCAAGGACCGCCGCACGGCCGAGAAGTTCTTCTACGGCCTGCCCCCCGCTGCTCCTGCTGCCGGCCCCGCCGGCGCCAATGCCAAGACCATCCCGGGCGTCGAGGGCCAGGTGGAGCTCAGCTGGGTCGCCAACACGGGTCCGGCACCGGCGCCGGCGCGCGCGACGGCGACGGCGACGGGCGACAACAAGACGGAGGTCAAGGACTTTGGTGGTGGTGGTCAAGGTGGTGTTGCCAAGACCGCCGGCGGCGACGGCGATGCTAACGGCGACGTCGCGATGGATGGCGACGACAACAGCAACCACAACGGGCGCAGAGACACGGGGGTCGCGGCGCACCAGGACCAGCGACAGGCGGCGGATATGGACTACGACGTCGCTGCCGAGGAGGACTTTGACATTGGCTAAGACTGCCCCCCCCCCGTGAGATCGTGGCAGGGCTGGTCATTGTGTGGCGGAGAAACATGATGGCCAAGGGCCCAGGTGCAAGAAGAACAGTGCGAGGGGGACAAATTCTACTATTACTATTCTTTCCTGTATAGATACTTTGTATGAATGTATGAAGTCTCGAGGTTTCTCCTGAACAAAAAGCATGTGCTGTACGAGGTCTCAAAAAGGTGGTACACATTTCACAGGATGGCATCAAGGACTTGGGAAAGGGCTCAAAATAGGAGTGTTGGCATAGGTTGTTGAGTTTGCCAATAGCGGCGATGCATATCGCGTCAACATGTATTCGAAGCTGCCTGCGCAGCACAGCCTGCTACTCTCCCATGATCCCGATCCAGGTCCCGACCCATTCGAACAGCTTGTGTTGGAACAGCTTGTTTCATATCACTCCATCTCCATCCTCCTCCCAGCGCGACTCGCCCATTGAAAAAATACGCGGAGGATAAGCTCCGTCCCTTTGATTACTTTGAAAAATGAATGCCCCCAGTGTGAAAAGCAGAGGCGACAAGAACTCCTAGCACCCAGATGATTGTTGAATTCAAACCCAAATCCTTTGTCGCCTGTTTCTCTGTTCCTTTTTGGTCCGTTAACAGGGGGTATCGTTGAGATATGCATCATGCCCATTCATTTCCATTCTTTTGCCCTTCAGTCGCTCTCTCCCCTTACCGGCATACCCGGGTCCCCAGTTGGTCCCGTGGTTGAAAATGGCCGTGTTTTGTTGAAAATAGTCAAAGTTATCCCAAAAATCGAAATCTTCGGGAGCCAGAAAACGCCTCTAAGTTTTTATGCTCCAGCCTAGTCCCAGTTAAATGTTGAAAATTGGTCATGTATCGTCATTCGTAGTAGTCGAGGCGTTGTTGAATGCCTCGAATCATGCTCTGTCGTTGTATCGCTCTACCAGGCTCGTCTGCCTCCCTCCGGCAGAACCTAGTTGTGTGCAGCGCCCACACCGTTGGTGGCGGACTTTGGCTCGACCGGTGTCACAAGGTTGTTGACCCTGAGGCCGGCAAGAACCTCGAAAATGGTCTTGGGCTGATGGAAGTCGTTGTTCACTGTGACGGATGTGTCAGCAATGCTCTAGACACGGCATCAAGGAGAGGAGGAAAGACCGAGATCGTGCGACTTACCAATGTTGATGAGATGCCAGTTCTCGACGATGTCAGTGATCAGAGCGCGACTGGGGCTGTCGACATCGTAGCATCTCGCCCAGTCAGCGCCGAGCTGGAAAGCCTCGTCCTTCCAGGCCAAGAAACTGATGCTTTCGACAATGGTGGGTTGAACAATCTCCTTGCCCGGGAACACACCCCAAGTGACAGCATTGGGTCCTTCAGAGGGCGCGTTGGTATCCAAGTCGCCAGTCTTGGTGACGGCGTAGTAGGTAAGATCCGGGTTGGCCCGGATGCGCGCAATCAGCTGCGGGTACACCTCTGGCGCAACGAGAAGCTCCAGGTAGGCCTTCTGGTAGACGTAGCCATTGGGGGGTCCCCAACCGTGTACCGGGTGGGAGGACTTGAGGCCGTTCACAGCAGGTTGGGAGTTGATAGTGATCAGACCTCTCTTGTTCAGATCGACGAGGTCGTCCTTGATGGAATCAGCCTCGTTGGTGAGGGGCGCTTCACTCCACGGCAAGGACTCTATATCGTTATCAAGGTATCGCAGAAACAGGGAGGCGATGTCCTGAACGGACTTGGGCTCGCCCCATTTCTTGCGGTTCTGCTCGTTGGTTCCAGGCAGGCCGATACCGTAGGCATCCAACTCGCCAAAGGCAGGAGACCGTGAGTCACCCCAACGTCCGTTGGGGAACTCGTCCCAATCCTGTGTGCGGGAGACGTACGACTTGTTCCGGTTGCGCCAGAAGATGGGCCGCACGTCCTCCTCCCTCCTACCAAGACTGAGGGACTGCTTCCAAGGCAGGGCCTGCTTCAAGGGCTTGGCAGCAGAAGGCATCCAATCCAGCTCCTCGAGTACCATGCGCGTTGCCTGAGCCAGGTTCATGGTGTAGAAGTGCAGATGCCTAATACCGGCGGCAAGAATCTTGCGGCACATATCAGCGACGAGGGTCTTGCCAATCTCTCGGACAGCGACATCGTCGTTCTTGACCGGCTCAAGGGCAGCCATGAACTCGGGCGGGACGTTGCAGTTCATGTGGTTGGCGCGGCGGATGAAGCTGGCGTAGGTTGCGATTGGCATGATTCCGGGCACGATGGGGATGGTGATGCCGCGTTCCCTGACACGGCCAACCCAACGGATGAAGTTGTCGACGTCGTAAAACATCTGAGTGACGATGAAGGTGGCACCCATGTCGACCTTCTCCTTGAGGTGGTCCAGCAGCGATTCTTCGTCCTTGTTGTCGTCGCAGCCCTCGGGATAGCCGGCAACACCGATGTCGAAGTGGTTGCCGAACGTCTTCCGGATGTAAGCCACGAGGTCGCGGGCATACTGGAACTGGCCGTCGGTGGCCTCCCATTTCTCCTGGTCCCTGGGGGGGTCGCCGCGGAGGGCGAGGATGTTGGTGCAGCCAGCCTGGTAGGCCTTCTTGAGAGCGTTGTTGACCTTCTCCTCTCCCATGTCGGTACAGGTGAGGTGCATACACGTCTCGAGGCCAAAGTACGTCTGGGCCTGGGCGACCATTTCACACGTCAGCTCGGCATGGCGGCCACCAGCACCCCAGGTAATGTCGATGAACTTGGGGCCCATGTGGTACATGCGTTCCATACGGTCGTAGAGGTTCTGCACACCCTGGGCGGTCTTGGGCGGGAAATACTCGAAGGAGAAGGAGGGTTGACTCGTCCTCTCGGCCTCGGCCAGCATCTCCTGGATATGCATGGTGTCGGCGGCGGTCGGGTAAGAAGGGGGAGGATATCAGCACCGGAGCCGGAGGAGCAGCTGAAAAGTGGAGGAAGAAGCGGTGTCAGTATGGACTACCTATATAAGGGACCGGGGGGGGACCAGGCAGCGGTTCGGAGTACAAAGACAGCAGGAACTGGTGCCAACGTGTACGTGCGAGAACTACCGAGGGGATATGGTCTTTGTTGGAAGAGAGGATCAAGGAGGGAGACGAGGATTTCAAGTGCTGCAGCAGCTAATTCCTCGAAGCAAGGAGACAAGCAAGCCGAGGGTTGCAGAAGGAAGGAAGACGGAAGAGATCTTACCTTGACGATCAGTCTGTGTGGGCAGCAGCAGCCTCGAATGCAAGACAGATTCACAAATCACCTGGCAGGGCGCAAGGAGCGGCACCTTTGGCACAGGGAAAAGTAGAAAGGTGTCGCTTGAGGGACGGGAAAGGGCCTCGCTCGAGCTCTGGAGGAGGGACAGTAGTAAGACGAAGAGAGAAGAAGGAGAGAAAGGCCGGTTCGGTGACTTTTTCGAGGGTCTTTCTCTACCTAGGTAGGTACGTGTAGATACTGTGCTTGGCTTAGGTACCAGGGCGGGTCCCAGCGCTAGTTACAGGGAGTGCAGGACCCGGGAGCAGGTACCTAGGGTGGGGAGCACTAGGTACCTTGTCCGGGAACGGTGAGCGAAATATGGGGGGGGCTTAATGACAGTGTACCTACCTCTCTTTACTCTACTTTATTCATTTGTATTTGTCCTCATGTTTCTCTCCTCGAGCAATTGGTCATCCTCGCATGCCCAACTACTACTCCTCAAGTAGATCTCGAGTGGTATTGCCAGGAAGGGGCCCCAAGATAGGTTACTTTCAACTATTTGCTGGCAAGGGGCCGTGTCAAATGTGCATGAGACCGTTTATTTGACTTGCCATCCCTCGCTCGACAGCCCTAGCATTCCCCAAACCCCAACGCTGCACACCGCGGGTGGTGGCTCCAATCGAACAGCAGGACGTACAGTAGTGCATCTGTCTATCTGTCTCTCTAGGTAGCCAGCAGCAGCTTTGCAATTGTAACCCATAAGGTAGGTGACTGCATCAATTGACACGATCCCATAGCACTCTGATGGCATTGGACGAGAGCTTGAATATCATAGTATTTGCTACCCCTCCCTCCCTCCAAATGATGCTGTGCCTGCCCCTCGCCCGACCAGTGTTATCGCTGTTATCGCGACCCGGATCTGCCCCTCCACAACAGCCCAGGCCGAGAAAAAAAAAAGCTTGCTACCTTACTCCGTACCTAGGTAGGTACTGGACCCGGCGCCTGGTTCCGGCTCTCCAAGGGCGGAAGCAGGGGTGGCCCGGCCTTGAAACCACCTACCTAGGTAGTTAGCCCAATCGTTTTTGGGGTGGTGCCAAATCAAATGCACCAAGGCACTCTTGGCTGCCAGCAAGCATGCTGCGACTCTGGCCTTTCCAAGGTTTCGAGTTCAATCACACAAGTTGTTGTTCTCCCTCAGACGGCCGAGAAGAGATGGTCAGCCAGCCATGGATGGCTGCGAGGGCTGCTTACGAAGTACCTATGTCTTTACTCAGTGATAGTGACACAAATCCCACACCGGCCGGCCAGCCACATTCCTGACGCGCAGACCCGACCAGAATGCGAGGTCTCACAACAGCGAGCGACGTGCACTCATGCCGCGCCGCCCAGCCAGTCAGCTCACAGCCCGGATGCTACAAGTGTCCCTGAACGCGGCAATTGGCACTGAAGCTTCCTTTTTTTGTGTCTCATTGGAAAGTCTCACCAGAGCATATGGCCCGAGTACTTTGATCAATGAAAGAATAGGTAGCAAAGTATTGTACAGTGCCATAGGTACAGTGATACTAACTCCCGGCTCCTGCCGCCGGCCCCATCCCGGCCATCATCCCGAACCCGCCGCCGCCCATATCCATCCCATTCCCGCCGCCGCCGCCGCCGCCGCGACCCAGGCTCAGCCTCGCCGCGCCCCTCATCTCCCTCCACCGGTCGCTCTGGTCCACAATCTCGCGGTCAAACATGAACCACCACCGCTCAAACACCACCTGCCCCACCTCCCACGCCCCGGCCTCGTACGGGTCCGCGCCCCAGATCCGCAGGCCCTCGGCCCCGTCCTCCATGTCGTACACCAGCCGCGACAGCACCAGCGCCCGGTCGCACTCGGCCCCGCCCCCCATCGGCATCATGCCCACCAGCTCCGCGTCTTCCTCGCCGCCGCCGCCGCCGCCGCCGCCGCCGCCGTCCGCGCTCGTCGGCAGCGCCAGCACCTGGATCATGCGGTCCCGCGCCGCCGGCCACGGCAGCAGGTCGAGCACCGGGTGGTGCGGCACCGTGCGCTGCGTCGCCGTCGGCCGCCACGACGCCGGCAGCGCCGCCGCCGTCTCGGGCTTGACGGTGCCCAGGTAGAAGGGCGACAGCGTCTGCGGGTGCCAGATCTCCGAGCTGATGCCCAGCCGGAAGGCGACGCGCAGGAGCCCCTTGAGCAGGGTGAGCTGCGGCATCGGCAGCAGGTAGGTGTCGGGGAAAGACGGCGGCGTGGTCATGGACGTCGAGGTGGTCGAGGGTGACGAAGAGGAGAAGGCGGTGAGTATGGAAGGGTCGATGGTGGACGGTGTCAAATCGTTGCCGAGCGCAGCCCCCAGTGTCAGATCCGTTGTCGAGGAGTCGTCGGTGGTCGAGAGCGCAGGGCCTGCAAGAAATTCTGCCGTAGTTGCTGGCCAGGACGGGTCGATTTCCCCGTCGAGAAACACGTCCATGTCCAACGGTACCGCTTCAGTGGACCTGGCCAACTCCAGGTCATTCTGTCTGCCCGCGGCTTCCTCCGAGCTGCGACTGGAGCTAGCTCCTGGGGTTTGGCTGCATGAAGATGGCGCTTGAGAAGATGTTGTGGCATCTCTCTTCTTAGACGTATCACTGGCATTGTTTCCCTTCCTCCTGCGCTCTCCTGCGTGCCATGCATTAGCCAGACTTCATCGTTCAAGTTAGGACAGCGCCGGGGATGGCTCACGATATCTTCTCTGGGCCAGCACGTTCAGCACCCTCTTCCGTTCCGCAGCATCGTCATTGATATCCGGCACATGCAACTGAGCTGGGGTCTTCCGGATCCGTTGCCTCGTTCGAGGCCTCGTGTAAGTCATGTCCGAAGATGCGCTGACCTCCACGGAGCTGGCAGTGTCAGCCGGAGGGCCTGCCGACTTCCCTGACATGTTGTACAAATCTGGCAATCGGCCGGCTGACTAACAGCAGTGTATCGATATGTACTGACAGAGGATCGCCAGCTTCACGATAACGAATAAACATGATGATGTGTCGGTAGGATTTCCGCATGTTCAAGACGAACGGGCTGGCGGTCTTTTAAAAGAGGAGGTCATGATGGCTTGGCATAACGTTTAAGCATTACTGTTGGGCTGCTACAAGACGCCTGTGGGTTCTCTGGGCCAAGATGTGCGTCTAAATGCCGGAGCGTGAAGTACTCCCTAACTATTTCCTTAGCTCTGATGTTTCCGAGTGTAAGACGGACTAATTGTTAGTCTCACTGAGCGGCCAGCCATCTTTCCCTTACTGTGATTACCTGTATTTCAAGTTGTGTGAATATCACAAGGAACAAACACCGTCGTCTTGCAACTCTCACGGCCAAAGACCGTGCTGCCTGCCCCCTTTATCTACTCTACGCCTTACGGGCATTCCGGCGGTCCATTTTTGGCGTAACAGAGGCACTTTCTCGGCCCAATCAAAGATGGCATGATCTTTGCGGCCGTCAGCCCCCAATACACACTGCCTCCGGCATCCAGCTCGACCAAGCCTGTGCGGTGTCATCGCCTCTCCCCTGCTTCTAGCGCTGACAAGCTGAGCATTGTCTGCCGGGCCTCGCGCCAATTTTCATCTCTGCCCCCAATATGGCCCGTTTGCTGTTCGCGGCCGTCGCACAACACCATGTTCATCCAATCCAGTGGTCTTGGTCGTCCTCCGAGGGAGGGGGGGGGGGGGGGACGCCTTCGGTCTGCAGAGATGGCCCGGCTCCCAGCTCGCCGCGGGGGCCAAGCCATTCGGTCAGAATCCAACTGTCACTCCGCGCAGATCTGATGCCCTCCAAGCGGCTGTTGGCTACCCTTGCACGGCTTACACACATGGACCTGCATATCGTCCCTCTCGCATTCGCTGATCGATTCTCCTTTCATCTCCCAAAGTGCGTGCATGGCCATCGTGAGCTTTACTCATCGCCAGCGCGGCCGCATGTCAGCGGGTTGCATCCAGAGGCAAGGCCTGCAGGTAAGGGGTTGCGAGGCTCTGGTATTCCCCTCGCTCGTCTCTTTCTCCGAGTACATCAATCCTTCCCCGTGCCCTTCCGGTGGTCGTCGTTTGCCCATGCTCCCAGATCATACTCTTCCGGATATCAAACAGTCTTTGATATACCAGATCTGAAGAAAGCTTTGCTGCCAACGCCCACAATGGCCGACCACGAGCACCAAGATCCCCGATCTCCCCAAGATCATCAAGAGCACCAGGAGCATCAATATCCCCAATCTCCCCAATCTGCATATAGTCAAGATCCCCAAGACCTCCTATCTCCCCAGACCCCCCGCGAACCACAAGAGCACCAAGAACGCCAGGCGCAAGATGAACCACCCCCGCGAGCAACGTCCCAGTCCCCGTACCCCGAAGTCGCCCCGCAGGGTGATCGGTACCCAGAGCACAACGAGTACGGATACGGAGAGCACTCCCCCTCGGGAGCAGCCTACCCGGCCGCCTACGGCGGCGGCGCGGCCACCTTCTACGACAGCACCGTCTCGCCCAGCGTAGCGCAGCCACCACCGCCGCCAGAGACCGTCCTGTTTCCCTCCTCCCAGTCCTCCTCCTCCCAGGGCGGGGACAGCAACAGCAACAACATCAAGGAGGAGATCGCCGGCGGCAGCGGCAGGAAGCCGCCGAGGGGGTCGACGATCTGGGGCTGCAGCGTCGCCGTCTTCGTCCTGGCGACCGTCGTCGCGCTGCTCCTGGCCGCCGTCGTGGGCCTGGCCGCGGGGACGGGCATCGAGGCCCGCAGGGCCAGCGACGCGGCCGACCAGCTCGCCGAGCTGAGCGCCTCCGCCTCCGCCGCCGCGGCCAAGACCGTCACCGTCACCGCCCCGGCGCCGACCGCGACGCCCTGGGCCGCCCTCGACCACAAGTGCTCCTCCGACCCGGACAACGTGAGCGGCCAGACCTACACCTCCTTCACGCGTAAGTTTTTTTTTCTTTTCCCTTCCCAACAACTCAAACACCGAAAAGAAAAACGGGGAATGTTGTTCCCCCGGAAAGAAAATAGAAGATAAAAACCAGAAAAAAAAGAAAAAACTAACCATATAAAAACCCCAGTCCTGGGAGCCCAGACCTTCACCATCCAGTGCAACAAGGACACGACGGGCACGGACCTGCTCTCGCTCTTCGTCGCCGACTTTGACGCCTGCATGGACGCCTGCTCCGCCTTCACCATGTACGAGACGGCCAACTTTGGCTCCGCCAACGCCAATGCCACCTGCGGCGCCGTCAGCTTCATCCCGCTCTGGACCATCAAGTCCGACGCCCAGAAGGGCAAGGCCCCCGGCAACTGCTACCTGAAGCCCGCGCCCCAGTCCCTCAAGACCTTGAAGACTCCCAACATCGGGACCGAGTGCCACGCCGCCTTTGTGAGCCGGGATAAGTAATAGGGCAAGGCAACTAGTGGCGTTGGTGTGGTGGTTTTTGGGCTGATACCAGCGCTTTGGCTTATTTGGAAATGGATACAAGCGATTCGAATGTATACTCTGGGACTTTGGACAGATGTTGGTAAATTTGACAATGGTATATTGGGTACTCCAAAGGAAACCTGTGATATATATAAACCAAATGGGAGAGCAGCCATCCAAGACCCAAATCCACGCTCTCCTCGTAACTTTTTCTGCATCAACATTCAACGCAACGCTCAGCCTGAAGTCGGCCTGTTCGTATACTTCAGTGACTCCGCCCTCGCCCCTTCATGACATTCGTTGCAACAAAAAGAAGACTCCCGCCCCAAACTCCTCCACGTCGTCCGACTCATCTTAAACGAGCGGCGCACCGCCGCCGCCCAAGTCAGCGCCCTCGCCAAAATCAAAATTCATGTCCATCAGGATATCATTCAACTCGTGCTCGGGGATGTCGACGCCCAAATCCACCCCCGTAAAGTCAAGCTCGTTGCTACCAGCAGCAGCTGCTGCCGCCGCAGGGGGTGTCATCGTCGAGGCCTGGATCCCGCACTTGTCGCGCACCATGTCCTTGAACTTGGCCAGCAGGACCTCGTCGTCAGCCGGCGTCGTCGCCGTGCCCATGACTTCGCACGCCTTGGCCTTGAGCTGCGCATCCGAGGGGAACAGCGCGCCCTTGGCGACAGCCGAGGCGCCTCCCGCCGCCGTCTCAGCGATGACGTAGTCAATGAGCGCCTTCTCGAGCTCTCGCGAGCAGAACACCGTCGCGGGCGCCGAGTAGCGCGTCGTGAGCGACTGCAGAAACTTGTTGACCGTGCTCGAGTCGGCGGCGTACGTCTTGGCGGCGCCGCAAAGCTCGAGCTGCACGTCATCGCCAAACGGCGCCATCGAGGCCTTGGGGAAGGCGTATGGAGGCGCGAAACCCGAGCCGCCCTGCGAGATGGCCCACGATCCGTTGGCCACAGGCAGGCCAGGGCCTTCCTCGGGTGGCAGGATGCCCACGTCACGCTTGAAGCGGCGAAGCCATTCGGCGTTGTCCGCGGCTGTCTGGTTCCATGGATCGTCGCTACATTGAGAAAGTATCAGTAAACATGCGCCCACAATGATGATTCCTGATCCAGGAGGAACAAGGCTTACCTATCATAAAGAATCCAGCGTGCTTGGTGCTGTAGCTCCTCGTCACTAGGGACGTGGGAGTTGGGGTTGTTGGGCGATGTAGTAGACGCGACGAATCTGGTCAGTTCCTTGGCCAGTCTGCGGTAGCAGTTGGCATCGTTTAGGAAGAAAGGCGACGTCCTCAGCGAGGAGTTGCGGCATGAGAGACCCATCGTGGGCGCCGCACCGGCCGTATAGGCATCAGACAGACCTGCAGTGCTGATCATGGCCAACTGCATGCTCGATGAAGACTCAGGGGTGACTGTGCCAGCCGCTAGCGTGGTATCGGAGGATTGAGCCGCAGGGCTATTCTGGTCGACATGTCGAGCCCGAAAGGCAGCCAGCCACTCCGCATTGTCGGCGGCAGTCTGGTTCCATCCGTCGTCGAACTCGTAGATGATGATCCTCGCCTGCCTCTGCAGACTAGCATCATCAGGCTCGATGCCCAGAGCTCGCTGTGACTTGACAAAGTCGGCCAGATCGTTCTCGAGCCTACTGAAACTGTGGATGGTGGAATCGATGGTCTTGGGGTCCTTGGACCGCACACCCTCATCGAACATGTCTTCAGAACGAGCCAGCTGGGCTCTCTGCCTAAAGTCGGCGAGCCACAGCTTGTGGTTGTAGATCAGACGGACCAAGAAGTTGGCAACGAAATCTGACGGGCTGCTGGAAGATTCCTCCATCCGACTGATGATCTTGCAAGCCTCCGCCTGCAGCTCGCTGTCCGTTGCGGTTAAGCCGAGGAACCGTCTGGCCTTGACGTATTCGTGCAGCTCGCATTCCATGGGACAGCCTTCGAAGAGATTGTCCTTGCCATTGATCTTCATGATGGACATGCGGTTCTCGCTTTGCCTGCGGATGTCGCCAAGCTGAGCTTGCAGCTTGATTTGCTCAGAAGACAAGACCAGATCCCGGAGCCAGGATGGCGCAGGGGTTGCAGAATGGTTTGTGGAGAGGATCTCTGAGCCAAAGATAATCCGGCAAGCCTCGAATTGTGTTTCTTCGTCCGTGGGATCCCGTCCAAGCTCCTCACGCTTACCGACAAGCCAGAACATGAGTTCCCACTTGAGCAGGTCGTAGGCATTCCTCGGCGTCTCGGGAGAGCGGTGGTCCGCCGTGAAAGGAAGAGGGCTATTTCGTTCATCGTGAATCAAATCTGCGACGTTTGTAAGCATCCTGGTTGTTCGGGGAAGGACTTCAAGAGATATGACTTACATGGAGGAATAGAGTTCTCGACCATTTGCAGCACCGGAGCGTCGAAACCCCAGTCACCCTTCCAGTCCGCCATGGTATTACCGGTCTTGAAGTGCTCTGCGAGATGGTCGATTCTGATAGTCCAGGTATCCATGACGATACCACAGAAACCACAGCGAGACCGGATTTCCGGCGTGGCAATCTTCCAGGGGTCCATAGCCCAGTTGAGGAACTTGACATTGTGCACAAGTTTGAGATGCTGACGCAGATGATCCTTGCGATAGAAGGTCCTCTCGTCCAGGTTCTTTTCCTGGCATGCGGAGCAGTTGTGCGCTTCGAGATGAGCCTCGTCGGGATTGGCGTGTCCGCAAAAGACACAGGAGACCAAGTTTGTTTCCGGGTTCACAACAGTTGCGCCTTTGGGCGCGCACACCCATCGCTCCAGAGACAAGTGCAGGGACTTCTCGTGCCGCTGCCAGTCATGCTTTGTTCGGAAGGTTTCGGTACAGAAAGTACATTGGTAGGTCTTGGTCTGTGGAATGAGGGCAGTAGTGCCATCTTCAGGCCTCTTGGGCGTAGCCCGCCTTCTCCTTCTCCTACGTCCTCGGTTTCCCATGGAGCCGAAGGAGCCAAAGGAGCCTCGGGAAGCATGAGAGTATGCAGACGCAAAGGAGCCACCACTGGAATGAGACGTTCCCAAACTGCTAGCTGACGACTGGTTGCAGAGAGACCGGCCAGAGCCGTCGTCAGTGAACCGGAAACTGTAGGGGCTGTTCAGGCCGGAAGACAGGGCCGACGAGGACGAGGCGCCGACGGCACGAGCAATATCGGAGACGGAAGCCGGTTCGTTTTCTGGGGGCGAGTTGGCCCATCTTTGCAGGGGGTTCATGCTCTCAAAGGGGATGGGTGTGCCTCGCCTGAAACCACTGTCACGGACGGAGGGAGTGCCAGGCCGGGGCGGGATATCAATGGCGCCCGAGAAGCTCCTGACGTGAGGCGAGGTGGATCGAGGAGCCTGGATCTTGCCACGACGGCGAGCATTGGCAAGCCAGTTTGTGATCTGCGTTTTGTTGAGACCAGTCATCTGCTGAAGTCTCTCTTTCTCCTCGTCAGTGGGATAAGGGTGTCTTCCATGAGTCGAGAGCCAATTCTTGAGGATCCGGACAGACTCTCGTGAGAAGCGGGCGCCGACCTTGGGCGGGTTCTTGTCTGCCGGGGTCTGCTCGCCGCTGGTAGCAGTAAGACCTCTGAGTTCAGAGACGGAAGACCTGTTGGACATGACGTGGATGCTCTCATCGAACGGGGCCGAGCCATCGGGACGGAATCCCAGACCCAGAGTGGGCATGACGGGGTTCGGATGGTCTCCTAGAGTCGGCCAGGGGTTGAAGGGAAAGGCGTTGGACTCCTCACGCCCGCTGGTAGCGGCGGGTCCAAAACTACAATGGCAGCGGAGAGCGACGCAGCTTGTGCAGTAGCCCTTGTAGCGACCTTCTCTGATGGTCTTGCAAGAGAAACCTCCCGCCTGGCAGTGAGCACACGGGACCCCGGAAGCGTACCAATCCATGGCAGCGAGGGAATCCTCCCGCTCGGGAGCGTTGTCCAGAAGGGGATTGAGAGCGGAGATATCGGTGTTGCTGTTGCTGTTATCATTCAGGGGCTGCATGTTGGTCTCGTAGTGCTCGAGAGCCCAGAAGGAGAAGTCGTCTCCAGTGACGTTGGCGAGAGCCAGATTGATGTCGTCCGGGCCGCCGTCAAGTGCAGCCAGCGGAAGCTGCGGGTCCATGGTGAGGTCAAAGGCGGCGGCAGCCCCAACGGGGGGCTCTGCTTGGTCCCAGTCGACGAAGTTGTCCATGGCTTCGTCCTCGGGGATGGTAGGCATGTCGAGTCACCGGGGGATAGGGCGTGCCAGACAAAAGGGCGTTGCGTCTTATAAAGCAACACTAAAGGCGGGCTGGGCTTGCGAGGCTAGGGCCGTCCTCGATGTTGACCACAGGGCGTGGGAGGGACACTGGCTGAGGAGGGTGTGGAGACGGCGTGCAGTGGTAGCGCCGGAGAGCCCTTGCTGCCTCCAGTTTTGGAATGCACGATGCCCGCACGGCTGACCCGGTCGAGGAGAAGATAGGTATATAAAGCCCTGATCGCCAGCCGGTTTTGCGAGCAAAGAAAGTGGAATTGCAGTAGGCCGATGGATACTCGGTCCTTGTCCCCGAGACGACGACGACAGATCAAATCAAATAAGAGCCGCAACACCAGGCACTCGGGGCACAACGGCTTGGCGTGGACCAAGGGAAGAACAGATTGCAATCATGAAGTGGGAAGACAATAACAAAAAGCCCTGGAGGAGAAAAGGGGACATTCACCTGGCAGTTGAGTCGGAGTTGAATCGGGGCCGTTGCACGCGACTTGGCGGTGGCAGCAACGGCGGCAGCAGCAGTAGCAGCAGCAGGGGTTCAGATCACCGGTGGACAACGGTCATGGTCGTGTGCACAGGCATCAATCAATTGGGATGCATCAACCCTCTCACCGTCATTACGATTGTGATATGGACAGGAAGGGATGCGATTTTCGTGGGAGAGGCTTACATTGCTGACTTTCCTGCATGACTCCCCCGGTTCTCCGTCTTCAAGATGCAGCAGGAACGACCAATGGCGAGTGGGGCATGGCCATGTCGAGCTGCGCATCAGCAGTGCGCCCTTCTTTTGACAAAGGCCCCACTTGTCGTTCGGCTCTTTCGACGTCGTCCCTTCGCTTCTTGGTGGGTGGTCCACTGTCCGGGTCCACTGTTCTGGTCCACTGTCCACATTGTTCTGCAAGCTTCTTTTGGCTCGGTGGATAGATCGGTGGACGATGTGGGTGGGGAGATGTAAAAGGACGGGCTGAACTAACACGCAGTACCTGATGTCCACGCTCACCACGGCTGTTCCAGCAACCAAACAGCCTCCCGACGCATGTCTCTCAAGTCAAGGCGGTTCCAGCCCTGTCCAGGCTGTCCCAGTGTCCCCCATCCGACCTGGAGCCGGCCTCGGAGACGGCGCAGAATAATGACATACCGCACATCCTGCACCGCTAACGCCCGCCCAATAACGCGGGACTCGACTGCAAAGCTGGCCTGAAGTTCGGGGCCGAGGCATCCCCATGGCAGGGTGGTTCTCCTCAACTCGAACCGGTTCTGGAAGCATCCCCCAAGCCCATCAGTGCGGGAGACAGACCGCGGTCCAGTGCGGAATGGACCGTCTTGTTCCTGACGCGATCCAATAGCCAGCCTTCAAATTTGAAGCAGAGGATATCGAGCACTCGAGTTAACCTTCCAAACTGGGTAAGAAGGTCAGGACCCGCAGAGCAGATTGGGAAAATTCGATACGCTCCGTCTGTCATTGGCCAGGCTAGAACGAAAGCCGTTCTCGAATTACTAGTTGTAAGCTTAAGTATATTTATCGGACTTGTTCTCGGACTGGGTCGAAAGACGTTGTCCGCGGGCGGGATTCACGAGCGGAGTTTGCAGCTGGCCGACCGGAGTTGATGGTGCTGGCATTATTGAGTCCGGCCACAGAGTCAGCCAATTCAGCCAATATTGCTGGCAGAGATAGCCTTCAATATGTGTGGCTTGATTATCTCGGTTCGGGAGAGAGGATGATGTTCTGGGAGTGCAGTACTCCGTACATACTGCCTCGACTGCCTAACTACTCCGGGGTATTCGCATCGCAGATCCCGGGAGAGCAGGCGAGATGCACACCGCCACACGGCCTGCCGGAGGCTGCTTTCCAGCTCAGCAGGCGGCTCCGGCAACCCGGATCCTTGCGTGATCTCTCTCGGGCGAGAGCTTCCCCAGATCCCCGGATCTCTGGATCTGACGATTGTCGCCTTCTATTATGTACCTTAGGCAGTTATGGACTTTGCGATCCGATCTGCTGAAACACCTGGAATGGGCTAAAACCGGCAGTGCCCGTTACCACTCATAGTCTGCGGGTAGTTCGTGGTGGCTTGCAGCATGAGTGAACCATGGCGATCAATCACTCGTCTGTCCAGGGATTCTTTTTCAGCTCGCAGCTTTTGTAAGACATAGCTTCTGGTCGTCGACGAACCTCCATGGGCGGGACATGAGAAGAAAGCGGCATCAGCCATGCTGTACCTGTGGACAATTGATTTCACTCCCGCAATTGGGCCTTTTTCCCCCCCCCCCGGTACTGGCACTGGCGCTGAAACTCTCACTCACCTGCGAGACGCGCGCGGTAGACTGACTGCATGCCTCCATCATTTGAGTTTGGCGTCCAGTACAACATCTCACATCCATCGCAGACACAACCTGGGCCCGACGCACTGACGCAGAATCTGTAAGCCTCCTGTCCCTCCCTTCATCTCCCGCTGCGACAATCTGGAGGCGAATGCACACGTGCCATTGAACAAGCTGAGGAGCACATCCCGAGACAACGCTCCAGCTTGTGTGTCTTGCAAGCCATTCGGACCTCGACATCGACATCGACGTCGTCGTCCATGTGCCATCGTCGCATCGTCCCATCGTTCCATCGTCTCATCCTTGGCCATCCAATCCTGTCGCTGCGACAGCTTGTGTTTTGACGACCGTCCATGCTCCTGATCCTGCCCAGGCACAGGCCGCCTCTTCCCCTCCTTGCCCTACCATCCCATCAACAGCCACACATCCGTGCATCTCACATCCAGGTCCGATATATGAGGCCATCCCAGATCGGAGATTCCCACCCCGGACCTCCAGCCGTCTCCCACCATCGAATTGGACCATTGAACTGGAAGACTAGTTGCCTGCAGAAGTTCCAACTTTCTCTCTGTCTCCCTCTCTCGTGACACTGCGTCATTGGCCCTCATAGTTTGAAACTATTTCTATCCATAACCACCATCACATCTCGCTTCCCACATCTCTCTCTCCCACACCGGCGACGCGTCTTGTCCGAGAGGTCCGCCAGCAACTCCATCCCTAATGCCCACCTACCTCTGCCACGGCTTCCGCTGGCAGCGGCGCAGCATCCGCGTCTACGTCGTCGTCCAGAACCTCGACGACGCCGCCCCGGAGTGGATCATCCGCCGCGGCACCTCCCGCGCCCTCCTCTCCTCCTTCTACTCCCTCTTCGACTTCCTGCCCCGCTGCGCCGCCCCGCCGCCCGGCTCCTCCTCCGTCACGCCCGCAGCAGCAGACCACCACCACCACCACCCCCACCACGCGCAAGCCGTCGTCGACGGCGGCAGCAGTCGCCGCCGCCGCAGCCGCTCCCGCAGCCAGGGCGGCGACCCCGCGCGCGGCCGCGCCGCCTCCTCCTCCGGCCACCAGCCCGCGCC